TTGAAGCGTGGCCGGACCTCGAGATACCGATCCCGTAGTTGCCGCAGCTCAGGTGCTGGTGCGTCGCCGTTCACGCTATTCAAAAGCGATGTCAGCGACGAAGGACTCAAGGACCGCCAACGCACGTCTCGAGGTACAGCAACCGCTCTTCGAACGCCGAGAGCACATACTCCGCCACGCCCGCCATCTGCATCTTCAGCTCTGCCTGTACCGCCTGCTTCTCCGACATGTCCGCGCCCCGACCGAACCGCGCCTGCTCCTCGTGAACTCGTGCGCCAAGCTCGCGCACACGCTCGCGTAGAAGACCGTCCGTCGCTTCGAAGTGCCGCTGCAGGCTGTCGAGAAGCAGCGGACGGGATGATCAGGGTTCTGAGGGGATCGAGGAGGAGTCGAGGCCGTAGTGAGACGACGTCTCCGTGCGTGACGAGCGACGGCGTTCAAAGCGAGCTGCCAAAGGCGAGTGTGAGTCCAGAGCGTAGGATGGCGAATTGCGGGACGCACCAGGACCGCCTCATTCGCCTCGCGCAAGTGCATCGACTTCTCCTCAGCGGAAGCCTGCGTCGACTCGGCGACTGCTTTCGCGCGCCTCGTCACCTCCTCGAGCACGTTGCCCAGACCCGAGACCTGTCGTACAGGTCCAATCAGCGGAATGTTGCGAGTGAGCGAGAGGACGTGAACGCACCTTGGTTCGGAAGAACAGCCGCAAGGAGTCCTCGCCAAAGCCCTCGCCGATCTCGTCCATGTACTGCAGGATGGCGTCGGACAGAATGCTCGAGCCGGATCTGCGACGATGCTGATGTCAGCCAGCGAGCGACCGGCAAGCGGCGTTTCGAAAGTAACACACCCGAGACGAGCGTTTTGGTTGTGCCACAGAGCAACAGCGGCGGCGAGACGTTCTGCGTCCCAGCTCAGCTGTCGGCGAGCGTGTTGCGCGAGCTGCACGGTATAAGTCAGTCAAGTGAGCGAGGGGGATTGGACTCGGAAACGGACCTTGCCGAGAACTCCGTTCACGTTGATGTACTCGATCAAGGCCCTCGCCCGGTGGACACGGTCCGCGAGTTGTGCTCGCAAGTCGAGAACGAGCGGCATGTTGGCGGAACCTGCATGGTCATCCCGTCAGTCTTGCTTCAGCTCGGACGAGAAAAGCGGACGAACTGGAAGCGAGGATCCCGGAGCTGACAGCAACCGCCGCGACCGCCAAATCACCCTCAAAGTCAGGCTGCAAATCAAACGCGAGCCGATTCTGAGCCTCGTTTGCGCCGAAGAAGGCGGCCTGCTCGATGCGAGTTTGCAGCCGGCGAGTCTTGTAGCGTTCGGTGCCGGGCGCGATGAGGCGGTGACCTTGTGGCGGCGAGACGCTGACAGAGAAGGATGGAGGGCGAGGAGTTGAGGAGCGAGAGGGTCTCGATAGCGGCGGCGGGAGAAGGGAGGTAGGAAGGCATCGAGAGGCCGAAGAAGCGGTCGATCGGTGTTCTTGCGGAGCAGGAAGGCCTCTTAGAAGGTCGGATCGTGCGCGATGGAAGCAATGACGACGGCACCGGCAAAGACGACGAAGGCGATCTCGCCCGAACCGAGACTCAACCGAGGTGTCGAGAGGGGACGAGGATCCGGTCGCTGTAGAAAGCGAAGTCAGCAGTATACCGAATGCGAAGCACGAGGATACGCACGCTCTGGTAGGCCAGGTGCGTCAAACCTGCGACGGCGACGCTGTTGGCCAATGTGCCGACTTCGAGCATGACAATGGCGAAAGACAGCGAGTCGGAGGCGGTTCCGTCGTGGACGTGCGAGATGAGGACAGCGAGGTGTCCACTTCTGCAGAAGTACGGAGTTATCAGCTCCATTTGCTTGCGCGAAGAGACGAGAGCACGCACGCAGTCACCGCCGCATCGACAATCTCGACCTTGCCCTCATTCAACGCCCGCTGCTCGTTGCCAATCTTCTCGCCTGCCAACGCCTCAAGTACTCCCGCAAAGATGTCCTGCTCGACAAGGAGGCGCTCGCCTCCCTCGCTCCGCACCGGGACCTTCCACACCTGCACATTCTTCTCCATCACCGCATAAACCGTCCGCTCCGCCTCGTTCGGCTGAGGCTGCGACAACGCAAGAGCGAGGATGCCGGCGCGCGGGTCGACCGTCTTCGAGCCGAAGACGGCGGACCAGACGCATCCTGCCCAGCCGAGCGAGCGCTCGAGGGGACGGACGGAAAGGTCGGCGCGGCCCGCGTGAGAGATGATGTTGATGGCGAAGAGGCGCGATTGGGTCGTAGAGAGGAGGTAGGTCGTCGGAGAAACGAGCTTGAGATCCTTGACCAGCTCGCCCTCATTCAGGGGACACGAGGCCGACTTGAAGCGGTCGACGCCAGACAAGGAGAGGCTGACGGATTCCCAGAAGCGCACAGTGCCGACGCTCGAGACGACCGCAAGTCCAGGTTCGCGCTGGCCGGCTTGCTGGACAGTTTGCGAAGGCGAGGGAACAAGAGAAGCGAAGGAGAGGGGAGAGTAAGCGGCGACATTGGGCGGGAAGGGCGCTTGTGGCGGGACGGGGAAGACGTAGGTCGTTGTAGAGCCGACGCACTGCGCAGCGAGGGATAGTCAGCCAACAGCGACGCAGGTGTATGGAGGCGAGAATCTGTCAGGCTCACCGGGAGCAACTAGATCTCGAGTGCCGATTTGCCGAAGAGCCCTTGCACCGTGCTCCTGATACCCTCCGCGACTTGTGCCCACCCATCGCGCCGACTCCGCAAGCTCGGCAGGGAAGTAAGTCTTTTTTTCTCATCAAGCACCGGGTTTCGATCGAAGTATCGTCGGCGAAGTATAGCAAGTCCTGGTAAGAGGTGAGTCAGCAGCTGAGACTACCTGATAGTAGCTGCGTTGAGATAGTCGCAGTTCACATACCTGCGGGTCCTCTTCGACAAAGATTCGCGAACTTGAACTTTGGCGCGAGCTCGGCATATTCCATCATCAATCCCTTCTGCGCGTCCCGGTCCATAGATCCCATAGCCACAAAGCGCCTCTGGCTGTAGTCGCGCACCCAGTCCATCAAAGGGTCCCAGTCGCGCTCAAACTTCTCCCGCACTTCGTCCCAGCCCGAATACGTCCAATAGAGCTGCTCAAACTCGTCGTAGTAGCCACCGCCATCTTCTCGGTCAAGCTCGTTCTCTATGGCGTCCTGAATGAGCGGCGGCACGAACTTTGTGAGGTCGGGCATGGAGGAGAGAGGGATCCGCTCGTCAGGAGGCGGAGGAGCGTGAGCGGGAGTGGGTGACGAGGTAGACGGCATCAAGGACATCGCAAGCGGTCTGATGGAAGGTCCAGCTGATCAGTCTGAGCAGCGAGCGTGAATGGTGAGAGCGAGACCAGCGACTTCGCCTTCTCGCTCCGTCATCGCGCTGCTCTTTCCGCACAACCTCGCTAGGCTGGCCTGTGGTCGGTTGGTGGCTCACAGGATATGTGCACGACCCGGTGCGCCCGCCTCCCACCGCCTCGGGGTCGTTCACCAAGCCCTCCGGCCTTGTTCGCTCGATGAAACTGATGAGGATCTTACAGCAAAATAACAACGTGTGTCCACCTGCGAGTACCGCCGAATACTCCAGCATCGGGTTGTGTCTTCACCACTGGTACTGCTTCTCCCATGTCGCCCACTTCGCCCGTCGTAGAGAGTGTGCGTTGCGGTTTACGCGCCTTGTTCCCGTGCCCCCTCTGATGATCTGGTTGTCGCCCGTAGACGTCCAGCTCCGGACGGCGACGCCCGTGCACTTGCAGCGACGGCAACTTGCGGCGCTCAACAACCCGGACGACGACGACTCTGCCTCGTCCTCGTCTTCCTCCGAATCCGACCGTGACTCTGCCTTCCACTCTTCGCCCTACACCTACCAATCGACACATCGGACAACGACGACCTCGTCCCATCCGCACCGCCACCATTCGTCGTCCCTCTACCCTCCGACGATCTCTGCCATCCCGCCTTACCTCGCCGATCACAGCCGAACATCCATCGACGCCGGCCCGTCCTCCCTCTCTGTCCCACACGCGCCCGACTCCAGCCGAAGACCAAGCGGCTCAGCCTCGCTCTACAACGGAGCCTCTGCTTCGAGCGCGGCATACGACCGCATCGGCCCGGGCTACGGCTCGCGCGTCACGTCATCAAAGCTGAGATCAGTCTCCACGCCCGTCCGCCAGCACCCGACGACCGCCTCGTACCAGCCTCCCGCACCTGCTTTCAACCCGAACGACCCGCTGCGACTACCCACTCTCGGCACCTCCACCGTTTCAGGCGGCGACGCCTCTTTCATCCAAGAGTCCACCGCGCGTCTCTCGCTCGGTCCCGATTCGACAGCCGGCGGTGCAGGCCATAGCGGCTACGACAAAGCTGTCAAAGCAGGGCACGCCTCGTCGTCCACCCGCCCGCCAAGATGGACGGGTCGGCGATGGTTGCGGGCATGCACGGCATGCAGAGGAGCTTTGATGCGTTCAAGCTCGACACGAGGTTCGCGGCGCACAAGGTCGGGAAGAAGATTAGTCGCAAGTTGAACTCGTTCCTGTAGCGTCGCTGGGGCGTCTATACTTATCTCCCTCGCACTTACACACACTCGACACGTACATACATATCCTCCCTCTCGTCCCCTTCCTCGCTGCTCTCTGTCGTCCTCGCTCTCCCCCTCTTCCTCAAGCAGTCCCTGTTGTCGCTCTTACTCCTCGTCTCCCTCGATTGTTTATCTCGCAAAACGACTCGTTTCAGGCTTTCTGTCGGGCGTAACAGACAGCTGGAAAGCGTCTCGGGTCGCTCTTCTGCTCTCGCTTCCTCGCGTTCCGCCTCTTCAAGGTGACCCTCGACCTCTCGCGCGACGTCGCTTGCCGCGCTCAGAGACGCTTGCTCAGTGCTTTGACACTCGTACAGACCGCTACAAGCACGCTCCGACTTCCCAAAGCTCCTCAGTCGCCTCGCCTCGCCCTCATCTCCTCATCCCCACCTCGACTCTCGCACCTCCCGATCCGCCCTCACATCCCGCGCGATAAGCTCGCCGACTCGCGCATCCATTCAGCAGTTCTCTACAAACCCGCACACCGACTTCCACCTTCTCCTGCGGCGACCTCGTCCAGAGCGCCAAGCCCCTCCGCCTCGCCATGTCGTCGACTGTCAGGAGGCCTAGCGCGCAAGTGATCGCGTTGCTGGTCGTTGGGATGCTTGTTTGCGGATGCTCGAACAGTGCGGACCGCTCTTGCTCCGTCGTTGGCAAGCTTCACCAGCTGATCCCTCCTCCTCCTCCCTCCTCTCTCCTCCCTCCTCCCTCCTCGCTTTCCATCGTCCTGACTGCCCCTCCTGATCGCGGTATCAGGCTTATGGACCAAATGGCAAGATATGCAGTGCGTCGCCAATTGTGGCCCGCTTGACGACCCGACGACACGCAAGACCTTCGAGCAGCCCGTCTGGCAAACGGCAACCATGTTCGTCGGCGAGACGTTCTGCCTGATCGCCTTTTCCCTCATCAACTCGCGCTTCAATCTCTTTGCGCGGCCCGTCAAGGCCGGCGTCAGCCTACCTACGGACGACGTCGTTGTCGAGGGAAAGAAGGAGACGAAGAAGATGCGGTTCGGGGACGCCATGTTGTTCTGGCTGCCTGCGGTCTGCGATATTCTCGGCACGACCTTCATGTCCATCGGCCTGCTCTTCATCCCCGTCTCGGTTTACCAGATGCTCCGAGGCGCGCTCGTCCTGTACGTCCCCCTCCCCCTCTTCCTCCTGGACGCCATCCAAACTGACGCTCTCCCGCACTTGCAGCTGGGTCGGCCTCTTCAGCGTCCTCTTCCTCCACCGCCGCCTCACTCGCGCGCAATGGGTCGCCCTGGGCGTGATCATGCTCGGCGTCGGGATCGTGGGCGCAGCCTCGCTCATTCAGGACAAGAATCCGGCAACACAGCCTGAGGCGGAGGGCGCAGAGAAGGACGTGTCGCCGCTCGTCGGAGTTGGGCTGGTGTTGCTTGCGCAGGTGTTCAGTGCGTCGAACGCATCGCTTCTGCCGGCTCTCCTGCTGACCCGTTCGTCAACCGGCAGCTGCCTCGCAGTTCGTCATCGAGGAGCGCATCATGGAGCACCACTCTGTCGAGCCCCTCGTCAGTCCTCCCTCCTCCCGCTCTCGATCCTGCTAACAATGCCTGTCCCTCGCAGCTCGCCGCCGGCTACGAAGGCATCTGCGGCCTCCTCACCACTCTCTCCGGCCTCTTCCTCATCTACCGCTTCTACGGCTCGACTGCCGCCGGCAGGGGCGGCTACTTCGATGCCCCTGAAGGCTGGCACCAGATAATCGAGCACAAGTCGGTCTGGTCGAGCAGTATTGTGATTGCCATCTCGATCGCGCTTTTCAACTTGTGCGTGTAACGCTCGTCTGCGGCCTGACAGCGCACACGCTGACGAACAAACTTGGCCTGGACAGCTGCGGTCTCGCCGTGACCCGCTCGTGCGTCCGCCTCTCCAGCTGCATTCCCTCGTTCAAAGCTGACGCGCCATACTATCCTGCAGCGTCTCGGCCACCTCGCGCTCAACCATCGACTCCTGCCGCACCCTCCTCATCTGGGTCGTCTCGCTCGCGCTGGAATGGGAGTCGTTCGTCTTCCTCCAGGTCATCGGGTACGCCCAAACCTTCCCTTTTCCGCACGAGTCCGCTAACAAGCCCACGCGCAGCTTCGTCCTCCTCGTCTACGGCACATTCGTCCACAACGGTATCCTCGCCTTCCCGCACTGGACTGGCCTGCGCGAGATCGAGCTCCCAGGCGTCGAAGCGGACGACGTGCCCGACTCGGACTACGACGACGAGCGCAACACGACTAGTCCTGGAGGTATCGCGACGCCGCCGTTCACGCCTAGCCCGGTGCAGAGGCGCACGGCTGAGACGCAGCCGCTGCTCAAGACTGCGCGGGAGTAGACGAGGCGGATTATTGGCTTACCACTCCCTTCTCGTTCCGCTTCCGGTCCGCGACCTCGACTCCTCCAGCTTTGTTGTACGACCACCTGCTCTGTCCCGCTCGCATCTGTTCTCGTCTCCGCGCTAGTCGTGCATCCTGTCTGTCTGCTTCCGCGTACACTCACCTGTAATGCTCAGCCCGTTCCTCGAGACCAGATACCAGTGGGAATGCAAGAATGAATGAAGGCTAGACTGGGCGATGCGAGAACAGAGGATGTGATGAGTGTCTGTGAGCGAGCGCTACGATAGATGGCCATGCAAAGAGAATTAGGGCGAGTCGTCAGGAGACTGAAGAGCGCGAAGATAGACTACGGGAATAAGCGAGTGGATGGTAAGATTAGTACGAGAGCCAGTCGTGCGCCTTCTTGGCTGGTTTGGCGGGAACCTTCGCTGCCTCCTTCTGCAGCGCGACCGCCTCGCCAGCGCCGGCGGCGAGAGCCTCGACGGACCTCGACGACGACGACGAGGGTTGAGAGGCGACGGGCTTGACGAGCGACTGCCTCCTCCACTCCTTGACTTTCGCGATCCTCGGACTGGCAACCTCGGCGTCCTCGAGCGAAATCTCCTCGATCTTGTCGACGATATCGGCTTGGTCGTGCGAGACTTCGAGGAGGGTGCCGAGCGAGTGGCGGCGGATGCGGGTGTCGCGGAGGAAAGGAGGGCGAGTGCGCGAGGTCGAAGCGGAGTGAGAGCCGACAGCTTCGGTGAATGAGCGACGAGGGCGAGGGCGGGCGGAGTCGATGGTGGTCGACGAGACGCCGCGGGGCAGGTGCTGGAGCGGGATGTCCTCGTCGGACTTGCTCGACTGCTCACGCTTGAGTAGGCCGCTCAAACTTCCGACACTCGCGCTCGCCCGCCTCCTCGCCTCCTTCTCCTTCGTCTCGGTCGGCGAGCTCGAGCGACCCTTCGTGCCGAGCAGATGCAGGTTCGAGTCGACGCTGCGACGAGCTTCGCGGCGGCGCTGCGCTTCGGCTTCTTCGCGCTGGCGGTCGGTGTAGTACGCGCGAGCTGCGTCGGTAGCGACCTTGTCGTTCGCCGAGCCTTGCATGCTGTGGATCTCAATCGCGTCAGTCGAGTTGGTCGCACTTCAGCTCGCCGCCCCATGCGACTGGACCGGCGAGCGGAACGGGAGCGGACGACTCACACCGACAACCTCTTCTTGTGCCTCTCCTCCAGCTCTCCAAAGTCCATGATCTTCGGTCCGGACTCCCTCCCCTTCTCGCTCTGCCTCTTCGCTCCAACAGTCGGACTCGTCTTCCGCCTCTCACCCACCACGATCCTCTCCGCATCCTTCGCAAGCTCCTGGTCCTGCCGCTTCTTGTTGAGATACGGATCGAAGGTCGAGGGTGCGGAGAGGTCGATGAGGGTGTTGCGCCGGCCGATTTCGCCGAGCGTGCGGGGGTGAGCAAAGGATGAGGATGAAGGCAGGGGCGGCGAGACGGGTTGGGCGAGGATGGCGGGCATCGTCAGGGAGGCCCGGGAGCCGGATCGTGGAGGGACGAGAGCGGAGGTTGAGGAGGAGGCGTGAGGGCGAATCGAGGGCGAGGGAGGCGAGAGGGAGTAGAAGGTTGCGGGACGAGGAAGAGAAGGCGACGAGCGGGAACGGAGGGCGGCGACGGCGGCAAGAGGCACATCATCGTCATCGTCGTCCTCACTAGAGATTCGCGCGCCGCTGAGCGCAGGAAGCGTCGGCGAGAGAAGCGAGACAGTCCGCGAGGCGCGCTTGACCTCCGGCTTGGCGACGGCCACCTTCCGCGACGCGAGGTACGCGTCCCATTCTGCCGAAGAGTGCCTCGAGTGACTCGCCGAGTACTGGCCGGGCTGGATGGGTGAGGGCGTGGGTCGGACCTGGACTGTTGAAGCGCCTCGAGCGAGAGTCTGCGGAAGAGGAGGAGACGGCGTCGACGGCTTGATGTAGGCGACCGCCGGCGGGGAGTTGCCAAGATCAAGCTTCGGCAAGTAGTCGATGGACGTTGACGACATGCCCTTCGACGAGAGGAAAGTCGAGTTTGACCCGCTCGAGCGAATCTTGAGCATGTCGACCGCTTCGGGCGAGGATGTCCGCCCCTCGCTCGATAGCGTCGTCGCACTGTTCTGCGCCTCCCGCTGCTGCAGCTCTGACCGACTGCGACGCTGCAGCTTCTTCGCCGCCTTTTCCTCCTTGGCCGCCTGCTCCTGCTTTTTCCGCTTCGCTTCGCCGTCTCGCCCGAAGATGCGGGAGAAGAGGGGCATCGCTTCCGGAGAGCGAGAAGAGGGAAAAGGATTCTGCAGACGAAAAAGCAGCCGGTCAGCTTGGTTTCCCTGCACACCGAGACGGAGTTCCCGCCACCGTTCAAGGCTAGCCTTTCGTGTTCTGCATACCCTTCGAGCTTGCACGGCAGAAAGGAGAGAGAACACACCGAAAGGCGGAAGCGAAGCTGGACTGAGCGCGGACGGAGGGGCGAACTGGCGGCTGCAACAGTCGAAACGATGTGAGCAGGGTTCAGCGAACGGAAGGATCGAGTCGTGCGCACCTTTAGCTATATTTTCACCCTGCCCTCGGTCCGTCCTCCTGGCCGCCAGACAGACCGCACGCGCCGATAGCTCAAGATGCGAGTGAAGATGCCGAAGGGAGCGAGTGGCGTGCTGGGTCAAGTGAAGCCGCGCGCGCCCGCCTGTGTCACTGGACAAGTTGCACGAACTCCAAGAAGCAGCGTCGGCGGGAGAAGGAGAGCTGGCACGCTGTCGGGCGAGAAGAACGACGGTCAAAGCGATCGCGGGGCGGGAGGACGCGTCTCGGTGGAGAGGAGGTGCGTACGCTGTGCGGGTCGGCACTGGCGGTCGTCCGTGTGATGGAGCGTGTCTGCGCGCTGTACTGCGCTGCCAGACGTCGTTGCTGAGCTCTGAGGACGGGGACAAGCAGACACTCCCCACATCGCAGACCGCGGGACTAAAGTCAGCCTCGATCGACGATGCAGGCCGCCAGTCGTCCTCATCGACGTCTGCACACCGGTCGCAATGCTTGGAAGTCGCCCAGAGACCTTCACAAGCCGCGTGAACGACGTTGATGCGGTCCGTTTCGATTCAGGCCGGACATCCAGTTCTTCGTGCTCGCCTCTCCATGCCGTTTCACCTCCTACAGACACGCTGCAATGCCCAACGACGTACTTCTGACGTTGTCGAGACGCCGCCGTCGTCGGTCGCTGCGATCCCCACGATGTTCGGTGTCGGGAGCACTTCCACTTTCCCCTGGCCAAGTCGCGAGCGGGCCAAGGGAGCTGGCGTCGACCTGACCTCGTCCAGGTGCTCATCTCGACGTCGGACACGTGCATTAGTCGAGCATTCTCCCGCACATCTCGTGGGAAGGGTGAGAGCTACGTCCTCCCAGATTGAGAAGGCCGGCGTGACCTCGCAATTTACCCTCGCACTCGCGCACGAAGGCATCGACTGCACTGCAAGAAGAGAGAGCACGTAGAGAGGGGTGACTGAGGTACAGAGATGGGATATAACACGGGCGAGTGGAAGAGTGGACGAGGGAAGAGCGCGGTGCGGGAGGAAAGGTACAACAACGAGGAGCGAGAGCAAAGGCAAAGGAGATGCGGAGTGCGACAAGACGCAGATCAGGAGACTAGGCGATGGCCATCGAGCGGTCGAGCGGCCGCAACCTCGGGCCCTTCCTCCTCATCGCCTCGCCGTCTTCGCCCGCCGGCATGCTCCACACCACCACGTTCCCGTCGTCCCCACAGCTCGCCCACATCGCACCGTGCTTGCTCGTCGGGTTCCACCCCACCGCATTGACTGTCTTTGAGCCGTGGCCGACAAGGACGTGCAAGAGCTGGCCGGTGTCGCGGTGGTAGACGTAGACTTTGCCGTCACGCGAGCCGGAGAGGATGAAGTTCTCGGTCGAGCCGCCGAAGCAGGGGCGCACGACAAAGTCACCTTGGTCGTGGCCTTCGAAGCGGCGGAGGATCGTGCCGTCCTCGAGCTTCAGGTAGAGGATCTCCTGTTGAGCGGGGGCTTGGTCAGCGCAGCTTTGAGAGCGAGTTCGGCTGTCGATCCTACCTTCGGCGCATGGCTGACGATGGCGTACCGCGAATCGCGGGTGACAGCGATCGACGACAGCTCTTGCGGCTGGACGAGCTCGCTGTAAGGCGCGCACCAAACCGTCAGCGACTGCCCAACGCACAGAAAGCGAGCTCAACTCACTAGATCAACTGACTCTCGCCTCCCATCTCCGCCCCGCCAATCGGCAACCTGAACACACTAATCCTCTTCTCATGCCTCGCACCAAGACTCATCTGACCCTGCCCGTTCCCATTCGCGTTTGCGTTCGCGTTCGCAGGCGTCTGGCTCCGACTCGGCAAGCGACTCGGGACGAGGTGAGGTTCAGTCGTATCTGCTCGGCCGACGCAGATAAGCTTTGAGCCGTCGGGCGTGACAGCGAGGTCGAGGATGCGGGAGGGTGAGCGCCCGAGCTGGGCAGTGACGTTCCCGGCGAGATCCTGCGCAAGGGAGTTAGCGAATAGAGAGACGTGAGTGGCAGCCCCCAGCCGACGTACCCAGAAGAAGATCTTCGAGTCCATGCCGCCCGAGACAAATCCTCGACCGTCAGGCAGCCACGCGACAGCTCCGATCGTGTACTCGTGCCGTGCGAGCGTCGCGATGCAGGTGCCGGTCTACGAGACAAGGCCGCATCAGCAGCAGTGGGCGCCGGTGAGAGGTGGAGGTACGCACCTCGGTGTTCCACATCTTGATGATTGACTCGGCGGTTGTGAGCAGGATCGAGTCGTCGGGCGACCATGCGAGGTACGAGATCGGTTCGGCGTGGTCTCGCAGGATCTTGTCGAGCGCGAAGCCGTTCTATCGAAGCGCAAGTGCGGTCAGCCACGATCGACAAGCTTCAAGCGAGCAGCGCGACGCACCCTCGCACTCCAAATGATCGCCGTCCTGTCCTTCCCAGCCGAGGCGAGGTACTCGCCATTGTGGCTCCACTCTAGCCTCCACACCTCGTCCGTATGTTCCTGCAAGACGTGCGCCGGGACAGTCGGGAATGCGCCTACGTCTCGTGGATCTGCGTCGACGAGGAGAGAGAAGGGTTCGGAGGGCGCGGGAGGGACGGCGCGGTGGCGCTGCTGGTAGGCTTGTGCTTGACCGAGGAGAGTTGCAAGTCGATGTTGCGGGAGCATGACGCTTGGCGAGATGCAGTCTGCGTGAGTGCGTTGAGCGACTTTAGTACGAGTCTACTACAAGTGGTGAGTGCACGCACCTTGGAGGTGAACGAGAAGCTGTTGTCGCGATGTGCCAGCCGCTCCGTCCCATCCTGCTCGTTGTCGCAAATCGTCCGGCGTCGAACACATGATCAGGCTGAACGACCACCTTATTAGTAGCTGAGCAATGTGAGAACGCAGTGGGACGTACCTCGAGAGGAAGTGCAGCTTGTTCGGGTCGAAGTTCAACGGGGAAAGCTCGTTGCGCAAGACGGACAACGCCTTCTTGGTCTGCTTGAGCTCCATGGCCTCGAGAAACTTTTGCTGTCGGATCGCGAACTTGATGGGCTGTGAATACAGTCCGGATGTCAGCAGGAATGGGAGCTAGGGGAAGAAGCGAGACGCACGGTCAAATCGACGGTCGGCTCGATCGGCAGATGCGACAGTAGTCGCTCGACGAGATCCCAGTTGCCGTCAAGAACGCCTTGCCGAAACTGCTGGATAGACGGGTCCTCCAGCGCAAAGCCCGACTCGGCTTGAAGCGCCTCTGCCGTCCCACTGCAAGAGTTGCGAGGTGTCAGTTCAGCCTCGCTACTGGTGCAAGAAGGTAGCGCACTTGTATCCCATGTCCTGGAACGCCTGCAGAGCAAGCCGGACGAATTCGCGCCGATCGAGGTTGCTCCCCTCCCACAGCGGGACAAACCCCTCTTCACCCTCATACTGCATCGCGTCCAGTCCACCCGTGCCATTCGAGACGCTCTTCCCGCCGTTCATTGCGGGCGAGGGGGAAGAGGTCGAGGCGAGACCGTTGGAGTGGCCGTTGCTGGCGAAGGGGGAGGAGCCGTCTGAGACGAGGGGTGCGTGGCCGTTCGAGGTGGATGCGACGGGCTGTGAGGGGTTCGTGGACTGCACCATAGCTGTGGAGGAGGACGCTGACGAGGACGAAGAGCTGGGAGGTGCAGATCCTGCGTCGGGAAGACGAGAGCGAACGGTCCCTGTGAGAGTCGACTCGAGGCGGCGGATCTTGCGCTCAGGCTCGTGGTCCAGACTCTCCGGGAGGGCCAGAGGGTCGGGAGACGACGACGCTCGTCGCCTGCGGTACGCCGTTGCTGCTGTCGTCGAAGAGGAGAGAGCCGAGTGGGGCGAGGTCAGGGTGGGTCAAGGGGAGGGAGACCAGCTCGTGCGAGGGCTGTTGCGGTCGCGGTAGACTGCGCTGAGTGTGCGTGTTGTAGCGTCGCGTCCTTTGCTCGACTGGGCGCGGCAGAGGGAGCGAGAGAGACCCTTGAACTGATGAGAGGAGGACGGGGAGAGCGAGTGGGTGGTGGCGGGCGCAGGGCGCGGTCGTGCGACGGCGTGCGCTGCTGTGAGGATTGCTCAGGAGCTGATTGAGCCTGGCGTGGCACTGGATCAGCTGGGTCAAGTCGTTGAGAGTCAGCCGGTCGTCCTCACGAGCGATTGGCGAGGATGGACCACACCTCGACTTGCATCTTTCTTGCGGGACTGACGGCCTTCTAGCTTCGTAGAACACACTGATTGCGGTCAGCGAAGCGAGAAAGCCCGTCGCGACTTTGCCGCTCTCCCTTCTCTCCTCGCAAATGGGTCAGGGGGTACGTCCGAGGTCTAGTACAACGTCGAGCGTATCTGCACAGTGCGTCTAAGCTGCATAAGAGAGCGAGAAAGATACAATATATCACGGCTCCGCCTTGAAGTCCCCCTCCAAGAACGCCTTGACCGCTCCGCCAACGCTCGTAACGTCGAGCAAGAACGTGTCGTGCCCGAACGGCTGGTTGAGCTCGTAGTACACGACATGCGGGTTCCCATTCGCCTTGAGGCACTCGGCCAACTCGCGCTGCTGCTCGATGGGGAAGAGCGTGTCGGACTGGACGCCCATGACGAGCGTTGGGTGCGACTTGAGCCGTGCGAGGCCGCGCGTGAGGGAGGGGAGGTAGGCGTGCGAGGAGGGGAGAGAGGAGATGAAGGGTTTCGGGTCTTTCTGGCGCTTCGGAGGGGATGGGTCCGAGGGAGGAGGCGGGACGGCGCAGAGTGCGTCGGAAGGCTGGGCGCCCGCGTCTCGCGCTCGTCTCCGCGCTTCGAGGTCGTCCAAAGCCTCCTGGCTCATGTCGAACAGGTCCATCGCTTTCGAGATGTAGATGAGCGAGTTGGCGTCGTACTTGAGGCAGAACTGCTCGCCCTGGTGGTCGATGTACGTCTCGATGAGGAAATCGGGGCAGAGGACGGGCGGAGAGGCGATGTGTGAGGGGTTGGGGGAGGAAGAGTGAGGCGAGAGGTCGCGTCGTCGCCGGCCGAAGCGCTGCTCCCACTCGGGTCCAGAGCGGTACGTGATGGTGGCGATTTCTGCGGGCACTCTCGAGGTTAGCGGGCAAATTCCCAGTATTGTGAGGCATCGCTCGACTCACGCCGCGCGAGCTTCATGCCCGTATGAGGCGGCAAGTCGTCGTAGTAAAAGCCCCGCTTCCAGTTCGGGTCCGCCATCAAGACTGCGCGTCCGTGGAACGTCAGCAAGCGCTCCTCCACTGCCGCAAAAGGACGAGTACGCACCACTGCGCTGAGCAAACCGCATCGCCATGCTCGCGGGACTACTCCTCGCCGTCCCGCTGATACTGACAACCTTCCCTACCCTGTCCGGCTCGAGATACGCCGCAGCGATACTCTGCATCCCGCCCATACTGCTCCCAATGCTGGCCGCGAGTCGCTCGATCCCCAGGCTGGTGAGGAACTCGAACTGCGCGCGAACCATGTCGAAGATACTGACAATGGGGAAGCGAGTCGCGTAGGGCTTCCCATCCGACGGATCGATCGAGGACGGCCCCGTACTGCCGTAGCATCCTCCGAGTACGTTCGTGCAGATGACGAAGTACTTGTCCGTGTCGAGCGCCTTGCCCGGCCCGATAAACTTCTCCCACCAACCTTCTGCTGGGTTGGCGGGTGTCGAGTGAGCGTGCGAAGAGGCTGAGAGGCCGGTGTGGAGCAAGACGGCGTTCGATTTGGAAGCGTTCAGAGTGCCCCAGGTCTCGTATGCCAAGGCGAAGGATGGGAGGTGGCCGCCATAGTCGAGTGCGAACGGTCTTCGGTGGTAGTAGACTTGGTAGCCGGTGACGACGTTGGCGTAGGCTGGTTCTGGTCCTTCTGGATCGTCTTCGCTCGAGGCTTCGGCGGGGGAAGAAGGGCCGAGGGTGTTGTACGAAGCGGCGGAGGAGGAGGAAGTCGAAGACGTGCGTTGCTGTTGGCGCTCCGCTCGCAACCTGGCGTTCCGCACCTCATTTTGAGTGACGCACGGGAAGCTCATGGCGGGGTTTGAGCCTCCCGGCGGACCAAAGGACAAGTTCTGCGCCGACGACGTCCATTCCGAGGTGGACGGAGGAGGAGGTCGAGTGCGAGCGGCGGAGTGGGCCTTGCGGGCGCTCGTTCGCACGAACGATCCAACCTTCTGCGTTATTCTCCCTTGCATTCCGACTTGGCCGCAGGAGGCGCTGTAGAGGGTGAGAGGGAGGCAAATGCATCCCAGCACGACATCGCGCCTTCGCCGAATCGCATACGCTGACCTCAGCAGACGAGTCGGTATACAGCGAAGAAACAGCTAGCAGAACGGTAAGAACACTCTCACGGCATCGTAGACATAGTGTAGAGACTTGCGATATTCGTTGACAACAGGAGGACGATGCGACGAGGACGAGCAACCATGCGACGAGATAAACCCAGATGCGACCGACGACACGCTCGCTAGAACGCAAACCCGTTGCTCTTTTTCCTCCTGAGCTTCAACCCATCCGCCGCCTCGTTCCCCATGCCGGACTTGACTTCCAACTCGCGGATCCAGCTCGCCTTCCTGCTCAGTCTGCCCTCGCCCTCCGTCACGCTCGTCAACGGCTTCAAGCTGCTCCCACCGCGCAGGGACGGGCTCGATGGAGCAGAGAGCGGCGAGAGAGCGGGCTCGGCGGCCGGAGACTTGAGGGACTTGTTGGTTGTGCCGCGCAGAGTCGAGAACGAGGCGGTCCGGACCGCGGGGAGGTGTAGCTTCAGCTGGCCTGTCGTGGTCGGGTCTGCGTTGGCGCGGCGTGATGCAATCGTGGGTGGCTGCTTCGCCGTAGTGGGCACGAGGGGAGGAGAGCGAGGACGAGAGGGTGAAGGCGATGCGAGGGAGAGGAGGTCGAGGGCGGGTTCGTTCGCGGGCGTCGCGGGGAGGGGCGAACACGCGATCGACTCGGTGTAGGAAGAGGCATCGGATGTCCACAGCGAGGGAGTCGAGAGGACCGACGAGGCCGTCGACGAGTACGACGACTCGCCGCCGTCCGAGTAGAGCGACTTGCGCGAGAGGGCAAAGTACGACGGGTCCGAGTAGTCCCCCGTCGGACGCAGACGCTCTCCCGACGGCGACGGTGCGCGTGACCCTGCGGCGGAGGGTGCGACGGACGGTGCCGGGGTCGCGGCGAAGAGGAGGGCGCTGTGGGCGAGGTCGCGAAACTGTTCCTCTGCCTCCTCGACGACCGACTGTCCGAGCGACGGGAGCGAGTCGAGGAGGTCGTCGTCGGGGATGGCGGCGTGGCGGGCTTCAAACATGTCGGCCAGCGAGAGGTTGTGGAGATCCAGTTCCGAGAGGGAGCGAGCCTGGAGGTAGAAGTCGGCGGGGTTCGTGCGTCGGTGGGCGGCGCTGCCGTGCTCGTTGACTGCTGGCGAGCGTGCTGCTGGCGAGGGTGCGGTCGAGGACGAAGCCATCCTGGGAGTTGGCCGTGCGGTGGGCGGGCGAGATTGACTGTCGGAGCGGAGAGGTGGCCGGGTGTGTGATCGCCTGGGTGGCAGCTGATTGCGCTTCCGGGAGTCTCCGTGTGTGCGTGTGCGCGCTGGTTGTGGTGAGGAACAGGAGCGGGAGAGAGGCTTGCACACCCAGAAGCAGCCAGATCGACTTGGCCAGCAAACGAGGGTTCTCCCCAGCATTTCCCCGACCTGCGAGGCAGAGCGGGGCGGTGTGCGCGGGACACGTCAATCCGGCCCGAGACCCAAAACAAAAGGGTCCAGGCCACGTGCGGATAATTCACCCGGCGGCCTCCCGCCGCCCATCCCGCCGCCGTCGCGTCGAACAATGGCGACGGCAAGGCGACGGGATGAACGAACCTTGATGAGGCGAGCCAGCCGAGGGCCAGACAGCGCGACGAGTGGCGGGATGAACAAGGGGGTCGCCGGTTATCGCTGGCGATAGACGCGGGCTCGGGGTTGCACACCTCGCGAGGATCTGCATGCGCTGGCGAGGAGCGAGGAGCGCAGCGATGCGTGCGGATGGAGAGTGATTTGCCGCAGCGTATAGACGCCAAGAGGCGGCCGGCTGCTGTAGCTGAGGGTCAAGTTCGAAAGGCGAGAAAGACTCGGCGGGTGCTTGTAACGCGTAACGGCTCGCAATGGCGTCTTGCATTGTCAAAGCAGAGTGTCGAGAAAGTCTTGACCCTTCGCTGCTGGCTGTACGCCGGGTTTTGGTCGTCGCGGAGCAGCGGTTGACGAGGACGGTCCTGACCGCGGAGCGCTGCCAGAGAAGCGATCCTTGAGGTCTGTGAGGGTACAGTCAGCAGGAGTACCGGAAAGAGAGATAGTGACCGCAAGCTACCCCTCACAGCCTGCATATGCCTCGCCTCGTCCTGCATCTTCCTCAACTCCTCCAGGTCCTTCTCATCCTGCACCTTGGCCCTCCCTCTGCCCATCCCTTCCAGCCGCATGCCAGCAGGCGGAGCCATCTTGCCCTTCCCGCCTATCCGCAAGTGCGCGAACGAGTAGTCCACATCGTCGTCTTCTTCGTCTAAGGAGGTCGAGTCGGGAGGCGGGGTGGTGAGGAGCTTTTCGCGCTGCGTGGCGAGGAAGGCGTCGAGTTCGGCTTTCTCTTCTGCTTTTCGTCGTTCTGTACAAGGGCAAGAGTCAATGGCGGTCAGCAGCGCGTCATCAGCTGTCCTCGCAAGAAAACCAGAATGGTCGGGACTCACCCTCCTCCTCATCCACCTCTTCCTCCCCACCCGCCTGCTCCCCCTCCTGTCCCTCTCCTCGCTCCTCCTCATCCCACTCCCTATACCTATCCAAATTACTCCCCAACCTCCTCGCCTCCGCCTCTTTCAGCGCCGCATCAACCGCAGCATGCTCTGCCGCTTGTTCGGGAGTCGGAGCGTGCGTGCGTTGGTACCGACGCGAGGCGGCGCGGGCGTGTTTGTCTTGCAGGACCATTGGGAGAGGAGAGAAGCGAGAGGACGGACGGAGGGGAAGGAGGAGAGGCGAGGTGCGGGAAGGCGAGGACGAGAGGGCAGGTGGGTCTGTGAGCACAGTCTGAGAAGGGTCAGCGCTCGTTCAGTCGTGCATCCAGCCCGCAGCAAGCCCCTCGTGCGTCGGCAAGTCGTCATCAATTCGAGCAAGTCGAGCGAGGATGAGAGGCGGAATGCGGCCTCGATGGGACATAGCCGTGAGCTCACCTGCTTTATAGCGCGGCTTGAAGGCGGTCCAAACAAGCGCAGGTCTGCTGGCGAGGTTGAGCGGGAGCAGCGGCGCGATGACGGCGGCGAGGAGGCGAAGTCGCTGGTCTGCTCCTGGCCATTCAGGCTCGTCGCTCAGACTGACTTGTTTGCCGTCTTGCTAGAACGCTTCAGATGCCCTCAACGGCGTCCACCTCGTCACCCACTCCCTCTTCCTCGCCGCCGCCTCCAGACGGGCGGATACCTCTCTCCTCGTTCCCGACTCGACAAAGCTATCCCCGCCGCGCATATAGGACGCTATGAGAGCGGAGATGGATCGCAAAGAGGAGGGCGCACATTACGACGGATCCGATCAGCTATGCTGGATGGACACACGGAATGGAGGACTACAACCGCGCTTGCGAGCCCTACTACAAGCAGCGACAAGGGTACAAAGACCAATCGAGGCCGTGCAGAGGCTATGTCGCGGGATCAGCTTTGCGAAGCTGCTGCGGCGCTCGACGCCCTCAAGCAATTGCTTCAGGAGCTTGACGCGCGTATCAAGGGCCCAACCGGTACGTCGAGCAATGCGACGGGCATCACGAGCACGTTCACTAGCTGACAAGTTCCGTTTGTCACACCAGGTCTCGCTTACTTGCGCAAGAGGCACTTCAAGCGATTCCCGATCCTCGACCCCGACCAGCGTCTAATCGCTCTTCCCAGCATGCGGAGCTGGGTGCAACCGCTCAGCAGATTGCTCGGCTCCTCAAGACGTCTCTGCTGCAGCAGCCGAATGTCAGCCTCTGATGGCTGTTGTCCCTTCGCCGCTCATTCTTCCTGGCTTCTCCGCGCCTTCGCTCAAGAAAAGCACTTCCTTTCGAATCAGCGCTTGCTCTAAGCGGGACTTACTGCTTGGACTCATGAGTCTCCTCGATTAACGGGCCTGCGGTCCACGCAGGTCCCGCCGCTAAAGAGGAGACGGAGGCGAGCAGGCTGGCTCCGATGGCGGCGCTGGAGGCGCAGCTGCGCTGCAGGCGCTGAGGGTAGGAAGGCTGTAACTACGACGGGTTGGAATGCGATCGACGTTGTACAAGCGAAGAAGCGAGGGTGTGCGACGGGTCTCTGCACAACTGTCTCCGCTTTTCGTAAGACTGCGACATTGCAACGGCGTGAGCAGCTACAAAGTTTCTCGTCTACGCTCCTCGGGTAATCCAGCGAGACTGGCGGCGAACCTTGTCTCCTCGCGAAGTCCTCCTCCTCCAATCACTCGCTCTCCTAGTCGAGACTCGTTGCCTTGGCAAGGCGTCCTGCTTGGCTCCTTGCGTGCTCTGTGACTCCACGCAGACGCTGTCCCTAGCGCTCCTCACGGTTCAAGTCAACCCCACCTTCCCTCAACGCCAGACAATCCACCATTGCTCGGCGTCCGACGCGCCGTGGACTATCCTGCAGAGCGATTCCGCCTTCTAGACACCCACTTGCTAGCTTGCGATGTCGGCCGTCCTCCCCTACGCCTTCCACGCACCCTCGAACTCCTCCTCCTCGCCCACCATCTCGGGCTCAAACGTCACAGGCAGCGCAACAGGGACGTCCGTGGGCTCAGGCAGCGCAGTAGGGAGCGTACCGAACTTGCCGAGCGGCAGTCTGGGCAGCACGCTCGAGGCTTTGCGGACCCTCGTGGGGAAGCGGATAACGGCGTGGACTTACTTGAAGAACGCCGGAGAGGGCAGGGTGTACTGGTTCAATGTGCGTACTCTTCGTAGCCCGTTGCGGGACTGTGCGGGCATGGCTGATCTTGCTGCCGCCAGACTGTCCTCCTCACGTCCGACGACCTGCAGAGCAGCTTTCCGAACGACAGGATGCGAAACCGGTGCGCAACCTCCTTCGCACGTCAAAAGATGCTCAGATTCATCGCTCACCTCGAGCCTGCCGCAGATCGACTCGCTTCGCCGTCCTCGGCATGTCGCTTTCCGCCCTTCTCGACATCTCGCCTGCACATGACTTCCTCCGCGGCCTGCTGTCGCTCGTCCAGGAGTTCGACGCGATGCCGGAGGAGCGGTTCGGCGGGCGAGGGGTAAGTCCAGCTCCATTGACGGCAGCTCAGCCAGCCTTTCGACCGCAATCAGGGTGGCTCACCCGCTCAACCCGCTCAGCAACAGCAGAAGAGTCTCTTCAAGGTTGGCTCGAGGTCGCGGAGAGGCGGCGGGATGCCAGGCGGAGGCGGAGGAGGAGGAGCGGACTTCTCGATGGGTCTGCCGCAGGAGGGTGGAGAAGCGAGCTACCTCTACATGCCGAACATTGTGCGTCATGACTTTGACGCCTGCGCATGTCCGGCTCGGGTGCGAGTATCCAGAGTACGGTCCTGACTGGCCACTCTCTCTCCGTAGCCCTTCGACCTCGACTACTTCCAAGTCCTCATCACGCTCTGCGAGCTCCTCGTCGAGACCTACTCCAAGATCTTCTCCTACCTCGGCCCATCGGCACCATCAGGCTCCTCCGCGACAGCGGGTCTCTTCCCGCAACCGCCCGGAGCGAGGGGAAGCGTACTCGGTGGTGTTGGCAGCGGAGCGGCGAGCATGGGGCTCAGCCAGGCGTTGACGGACGTCGTGTACAAGATCGATGCGCGGCTCAAGGTGCGGCGGCGTCTCTGCAGAAGCGACGAGGCGGAACCTCAATTAACGCTTCTTCGCTCGCAGAAAATCGTCTCGCTACTCTCGCAAGAGTTCGACGGGATCGCTCGTGCCGCCATCAAGACCGAGCTGAACAGCTTGCTGGGCTGATCGGTGCACGTCTGCCTTTGCGCCGGCCTTTCGAGCCCGCCTCCTCCCCTAGACAGACTACTTCCATTCCGCCTTACGTTCTCCCTTGTTGCTTGTATACTTCTCCTCGTCGCAATGCATCAGCGCATCGTTACTCGTCTTTCCAGTCGAAGCAGACCTGTCCGAGCCTCCTCCCTCCTGTTCTTCCTCCTCTACCTCCAACCTCTCGCTCACACACTACCAAGCTGCCTTTTCGCGTGTTCACCCGCTCTCTCGCCTCTCTCAGAATGGCTACAACCGCCGCCGCACCCTCACGAAGACGCGGCGCCTTCATCGTCTTCGAGGGACTCGATCGCTCCGGCAAGTCGACACAGGTCCAGCGGCTGGTCGATGCGCTGAATGCGCGGGGTGTGCAGACGAAGGGTGCGAGGTTCCCGGGTGCGCACAAATCCTCTGGACGCTCACAGGACTCGGTGACGTTTGGTCAGTACGTCGCGGCGCGATGAAGCGAGGAGGAGTAGATGGGCGGAGTGAGGGAGTCGGAAGGACTGGGAGCTCGATCGCAGCATTCACAGGGTCCTGGAAGCAGTCGGGCGACTCAGGCGGGCAGCGCTGACTTCTCCCGCTCCTTCGCGCAACCGCCTTCGCAACTCGCTTCGAGCCGCCCTCCTGCAGACCGAACACTTTCGACTGGCAAGATGATTGACTCGTACCTCTCGCAAAAGGCCGACTTGGACGACCGAGCGATTCACCTGTTGTTCTCGGCGAATCGCTGGGAACGAGCGTGCGTCCCCTCTCATCCTTACTCGTCCGACAAGCTTGCAGTGGCTGACGCTGCTCCACGCAGAACGCAGATCGTTGAGGACTTGCGGAATGGCGTGACTGTCGTTTGCGATCGCTACGCTTTCTCCGGAATCGCTTTCTCCGCCATCAAGGTGCGCTCTCCACCGTCCACCCTGTCACTCCGCCGCTCAGACGAATGCTGAGAAGGTCGGTGAGCAGGGTTTGTCCTGGAACTGGTGTCGAGCGCCAGACGTGGGCCTTCCTCAACCCGATCTCGTACTTTTCCTCCGCGTCTCACCGGAAGTCGCGCAACAACGAGGAGGGTTCGGGCAGGAGCGGTACGAAACGTCAGAGGTGCAGGGGAAGGTGGAGAAGGCGTTCACGAGGCTCGGTCAGAGCGTAGGTGAGGAAGTGTGGACCGAGATTGACGCGGACAAGGGGGTCGACGAGGTGCATGAGGAGATTGTGCGGCGGGTGGAGCAGGCGCTGGGGAGCGAAGCACTAGACGGAGAGGTGAAGAAGCTGTGGGAGGGCGCGCTAAGCGTCGAGAAGGACTGAATGTAGCTGTCTCTTCGTTCGCACACTTTGCATCGCATCAACCGCACTCCCGTCGCAAGGCATCCGCAACAAACGAGTCTATAACAACAGTGTCTGTGCACAAGTTCTACCACGTCTCGGCATAGAAGCGCCGCGCGTCTTCGAGAGCCGACGTCTCCACCGAGAACCACGCATTCTCGACCTCCGCCCAAACAGCCGCCCGCTTCTTCGAGTCGATCCGCTTGATCTGCATGTCGAAAGCAGCCGAGATGGGGCGATGGTCGGAGACATTGACCTCGTAGCGCTTGTAGTGCAGCGGCGTGACTTTCTCGCGGTCGGAGCGGTACAGGATCCGGTCGCACCAGGCGGGGATCCGTCGCTTCGGCGAGGAGTCGTACAAGTCGGTGCCGGGATCGTACCTGCGCGAAATCGGCATCAGTAGCTGCTCGGGAGCGACGAGAGCGAGCGACGTGCTTGTAGGTGGGCGGAAAGGTGATGCGAGGCTCCTTGAAGGACCGTAGGCGGAACGCTTGGTTTGTTGCGAGGTTTTTGAGAAGTTGGTCGTGCTCGAGGAGGCTCTCGAAGTTTCCGCTCGCAACAGCCGAGACGACGTTGTCGCGACGAGCGTCGATCTGCGAGAGGAGCGAGTTATGAGCAACAAGCGAGCTGCGAGGAAGGGCACAGCATACTCGATAGTTCAGGTCGCCGCTGACAGGAAGCGAAGACAGTCAGTTCACGTTGTCGGCGACTTAGCAGTCGACCACAGACGGGATGAGCATACCTCAGGATCGCCAGTTCGTGATCAAAGACCATCGTACCCGTGCTTCCGGGTGCGTACGCGCCAGGAGACGAAGAGCCGAGCTCAGAGAAGGAGGACTTGTCCTCGAGGATGTCGACGACGTCGCGATCCCGCTGACGACTATGCGTCTGACCAGCCGCAAGATGGCAGTTGATGAAGCAGACCGACGAGTCGTCGATTACGAAGCCTACGAGCGCAAGATGGAGTCAGCTGTGCGCAAGAAAGGGAAGGGTTCTTGCCACTCACGAGACAAGATGGCGCCCTTGTTCCCGTAGCGACCGCCCATGCCGGTCTTGACAGTGACCAAAGCGACGTCGCGCAGTTGCGCCGCCTCGCTCGTCTTGACGAAGATGCAGGTGAAAAGCTGCGATCGTCGAAATGTAAGTAGTCTGTCAAAAAACGATGCAGTCGGGCGACGCACCCCGATCATGTCGCCAACGTGCACGACGGTGTAGGGCGTCTCGGCCGGCATGTTCAGGCGGACGGCTTGAATGAGCTTGTCGTGCCAGACGCGGTATGCTGAGCTGATGCTGTCCGACATCTTGCCGTCGGTCGCTTTCTTCTTGCCGAGAAGCATTGACTCTGCGTTTACGAGCTTGTCAGTAACTCCGCAACAGACGGGGAGGTGACGACTGACTGGCTGTCAGCTTCTTGTCCTCCAAGTCGATCTGGCGAGCGAGGTGTCAGCGAGTTCGGGCCCGTGGATTCCAGCGGCGACGCACCATCTCCTGGAAACCAAACGAGATGATGTCGGGGCTGTCGACGCTCGTCAGAACGTTGCGCAGGAACTCGAGGTTGTCGACAGAGCCGTGCAAGTCGCTCGGACGGGATGCGTCGACGTTCCAAGAGATCGAGAGGGTTCGAATGGTGCGGAAAGTGCAGAAGTCGGGTTGGCGGAGGTGCAGTTCAGCATCTGCAGATGCGAATGTTGGGAGGGAAGCCGCGCGGAGAGACGGTCGCTACGAGCTTACCGATCCAGTCTTCGCGGAGGAAGCCGTCCCATAGACAGACCATGTCGCTCGACGCGCTCGCCACTTGTAAAGAGCCGTCCTGCTCGGGTCAACTCGTCAGTACGCCGTCGGGTCAACTCGTCAGTACGCTCTCGTCAGAATGGGGTGGAACGGCACGCACATGCCAGAGCGACGACGGGTCGACCACGAGGCGAGTGATGGGGTCTTTACTCGCCTTCCAGGACTTGGTGACGACCCAGACATCGGATGAGACGTCGTAGACGTTGATGTGGCCGCTGCGGAAACCCGCCCAGAGATACTTGCGGACGCCTGTAAGCGCGGTGACGCCGTACGGCGAGATCCGCTGGACCTTGACACACGCGTAAGACCCTCTCTCCCAGACCGACACGTAGCCGTTGTCGTGAGCAAGGTAGACGAGGTGGCTTTGCTCGGGAATGATGGCGTGCGAGGTGACGGCGCCGATTGAGCCGGCCGACTCGGGCGTGACGAGCGGCCGCGAGAGAGAGGAGAAAGCGCCCTTGATGCCGGCGGGGTCGAAGACTCGGATCTGAGGGCTGCGCATCGCGACCGCAGGCGCTCCTGCCTTCGTGACCGGACCCGACGACGTCCACAGCTCGTCGCCGACGAGCGCGACGAAGTTCTGCCTGTCCGGGACGCGGTGCTGCGCAGGAATAGCCGACAGCGATGCCGCCTTGCCCTCGTTCTCGGCACTCGCGCCCCAGAAGAGGACCTTGCCCGACTCGTCGACGGTCACCATGGCGCGGCCCAGCCTGTAGATGCCGACGACCGGACCTGCATGGGCATTGGTGCGGGAGCCGGACACGACCATCCGCTCCAGGTCGATCTCCCAGATCGCGCCCTCCTTCGTCCCAGCCCAAACGTATCGACCCTCGTCTTCCGCTCGTTCCGCATCAGCAGCGCGCCATTCCAGCGCGACGAACTTCTGCGGATCGGAAGCCACCTCGAGCGAGTCTGCAGCAACCTTCGTCTCTGACGGGCGCCACAGATGGATGCGGTGATGCGCCGTGACGACCTTTTCGCTGCGAACCGTCCATGCGGAGAAGATGTTTGTCGCCTGGACGTGTCGACGCTGCCGCAGGACGGGCGGTCGACGGTTGGCAAACGTAGCGTCGGGATACTCCTGCGATCGCGCAGACTCGTCGTCCTCGTCTTCGGAAGATCCGTAGTCGTTGGCGCTCTTGATGTTCGGTCGCACAGGAGGACGGTCACCGGCGGCGGCTGAACGGGTCGGAGGAGGCGGAGGGACATAGGGTGTGGTCGAAGGCAGGGTCGGGGTAGGTACAGTCGACGACGAGGTCGGCGCAGCATTCGTCGACGATGGTCGCGGGGGCACAGCAGGGATCGAGGCGCTGCGCGCAGGCAGCGGCGGTGCAAGTGGTGACGAGAGTCGGGGAGGGAGAGATGGCGAGTTGGAGGGAGATCGCGTGAAGGCTGATGGCGGGACGAGGATCGAGTTGGAGCCAGCCGGCGCCGCTGCAGCCGATTCGGCGGAGGACGCGGTTGACGAGCGACTGGGAAGAGGTGGTGGATCGCTCGGTCGTTGTTCGACGATTCTTGGTCGAGGTGGAATCGCAGGCGGCAGTGCGCGCGACTCCTCTGTCTCGCCGTCCGACGAGCTGCTGTAGATCGATCCTTCTGAAGACGAGTCGGCCTCCAGATCCGCGCTGACATCGTCCGGAAGTGGTTTCGGCGAAGACCGCGCGATGCCGGCAAGCGAGACCTCAGCCGGTTCGTCCGTCCCATTGCGAGCGGCGGCATCGGGAGCTGGGGACTGCGAATCTGCCGAGGCTGGTGATGAGCTCGACAAGGGTGATGGCGAGTTGAACCGTGCTGCCAGGTCTCGCACCGAGCCGCTTGATGAAGGCGTAAGAGACGGACGTGGCGAGAGGATCTGAGGCTGAAGGCTGCCTAGACTCGGCGTCTGCGTGTCGTCCAGAGACGGGGTCGTTGCGAGAGAGGCGCTGCTCGCTGGACGAGGCGCTGGACGAGGCGGAGCGGGTCGACGAGACGAGTCTGCCCGGATGATGCCAATCTTCGGCGGTGCAGGCGTTGATGGCGTAACCTCGTGTATACCGAGAGATGCTTCATCTGGTCGCCGAGAAGGAATTGAAGGAGGGTTTGGCAGTTCTTGCGGGACTTTGGAGGGAAGAACAGGCGCGGGCGGCGCTAGGCTGGGCATTCCGGCGACAGGCGGCGACGTGCCGTGAACAGAAAGAGGTCGAGGAAGCGATGGGGGCTTTGGCGGACGCATCGGCGCAGCCTTGACGGCCGTCTCTAGCTGGAGAGATGCGTCTCCCCGCGAAGAAGCGGCCTCAGAGGGTCCTTGAGTCCATCCTGTAGCTCCTCCGCTTCCATCGTCCCGCCCCTCTGACGCCGCTTCCCACACTGTCGTGTTCGCCGCGGTCTCCTTCGCTCGCGGCGTCGTTCTGGTAGAGGGTGCAGGTGGAGCCGAGGATGTCGAGGTTGACAGCTGCTCGAAGCGGGCTCGAAGGGACGTGACGGATGCTGGCACATCGTTTTCCTCTCCAGACACTGTGTCGCGAGGTTCGCAGGCGGTCAGCAGGTCCTGGTGGTGGGAGGACACCCTCCATCCTCGGTAGTTGCGATGAGAAGACTCACTCGTCGTCTCCGTGTCTGGACGCCAGGATGTAACGTCTGGTCGATCAAACGCTATCTAAGAAGCAGCTCAAGCTAGCCCGACAGCCCCAGCGTGGTCAAGCGAGTGGGAAGAGAGGGAAACGTCGAAGAGCACCCCTCGAGGCGGTGCAGAACAGCGACAAGCGGTCCACAGGCGCCGAGTAAGACACTCAGCAGCTTCTTATGCAGAGAATGGCATCGTTCATGGCCACTGGCGAGGACACGAAGCCGGGCGCGCTTGCGACGGAGATGAAGGTTACAACGGGGTCGTTTTGCAAGTTGCGAGGGTAACTCTATACCGCGAGAGACAGACCGTGTACATTCCCGAGAGCGGCTCAGTGACCGTGAGGGTCCTCGCCCTTCTGCTCGGGAGGGACCGTGATCTGCAGGGCGGAACAAGTCAGCAAGACAGGTGCCGAGACAGTTGCAGCCGTTACTCACCCGGTCGTCGATGCGCAGCAGTGCTGTGCACGCCTCGAGCGCACTCTTCAAGCTCTTGACCTTGCTGACCATCGGCTCGAGCACGCCAGCCTTGACATTGTCCCGCACCTCGCCCTTCATCAAGTCGAGACCGTAGTATCGCAGGCCTCGGCGGGGGTCGCTGACGGGAGCTGATTGCGCAGCATTGTGGTACGCGCGGAGCTTGGCGACGAGCTCGGTGCTGTCCTTGGCGGCGTTGACTGCGAGAGTCTTGGGAATGACGAGGAGGGCGGCAGCGAATTCTGCAATGGCGAGCTGCTCGCGAGAGCCCTGCGTCCAACGCACTGTCAGCTCGAGTCGCGCCTGAAGTGTATGGCACGAGCACCGGAGCGTACGAGAGTCGTCGCAAAGTTCTCGAGGTAGATGCTCAAGGCCGTCTCGACCGCTCCGCCACCGGGAACAACGCTGCCACTCTCGAGTGTCCGCTTGATTGCGCAGAGCGAGTCGTGCAGCGCGCGCTCCATTTCGTCGAGCAGGTAGTCTGCGCGTCCACGGGATCTGTCAGTTTGGGGACCTGCTTCAAGGCTGGTACGTCGGCAGAGAGGGGTCCAACGCACCATTCGCACCACGCAGGATAACGGAGCTCGAGCTGACGACCTTGGTACCCTTGACGAGGATGAGCTCGTCGTCGCTAATCCGCTCCTGCACGACTTCCTCCGCCTGACCGAGGTAGCTCGCCTCAAACGTCTCCTCGCCCTCGAGGTTCGCCAAACTGCTGACCATCGTCGCGCCCGTCGCCTTGGCGATCCGGCGGAGGTCCTCCTTCTTGCACCGCCTGACAGCCATCGCGCCCGCCTCGACGAACTCCTTCAAGCACAGGTCGTCAATGCCCTTCGTCGTCAGGATGACGTTGGCGCCCGATGCGAGGATCTTGCGGACGCGCTCGAGCGTGATCTCGTACTCCCTGGCGAGTAGGTAAAGGTCAGCACGGAGGGCGGGAGAGCGAGGTGAGCGCTCGGGACGCACCTCTTGCGGATCGCCTCGAGCTGTTCGGGGTCGTCGATCGTGATGTGAACGCCGAGGTGCATGCGGGTCTTCTGCAGGTTCATGTCGAGGCAAGCAATCTTGGCGCCGGTGATGCGGGTCTTCATCGCTGTTGTGGAGAACTCGTGTCAGCGTCATTCCGCTATGTTCACAAAACAGTCTCGACTTGCCTTGCGAAGCAACGGTGCAGTTGAGCGCGTAGCCCTTGACGTAGATGGACTCGGTCGCGCTCTTGCCGTGGGCCTTCAGGACATTGACAGCCTTGACGGGGTACTTGACGTCTCCGCGGGCGTTGATCGTCTTGACGGCAAGCATGGCATCGACGGCGAGATTGGCGAAGAAGGTGTCGTCGCTACGACAGGCAGGAAGAGGGTCAGCGAGGAATCCAGCACGAAGAGACTGTCCACAACGCACGCTCCGATGATCTTGCTCGACATGCTGGTCTTGGCAATGTTGACCAAGCACTCCTTGCCGAGCTGGTCGACCTTGACGCTGAGCTGCTCTGTCAAGTATCGGACGGCCTCCTTGCAAGCGAGGCGGTAGCCGGTGATGACGGTAGTCGGGTGGATCTTGTTCTTGACGAGGTCGTTCGCGCGACGGAGGAGCTCGGCAGCGACAATGACGACGGAAGTGGTACCGTCTCCGACCTCCTTGTCCTGCTGCTGAGCGAGCTCGACGAGGATGCGGCCGGCAGGGTGCTCGACCTCGATGAGTTGGAGAATGGTGGCGCCGTCGTTCGAGATCGTCACGTCCTGTTCATCGGAGCGGTCAGTACCTGCGAAACGAACGGAAAGTCGAGGACCGGAGTTGAGCAGGAAGAGGGTGGGTGAAGTGGGATCGGGAGACGTGAAGACGAAGGGGCCTCGCAGCTGCAACTCACTCCAATGTCGTCGACGAGCATCTTGTCCAGCCCGTGCGGCCCCAGACTCGTGCGAACGATGTTGGCGATGGCAACGGCCGCCTGGACGTTCTGCTCGCGGACCTCGGCGCCGCTGACCCGCTCGCCGGTGCCCAGGAGCCCGCTAGACTGCCTCGGATCCCGCGCAAACATCAAGCTGGAGGCCATCGTGTAGGTGTGGACGAGGTTGGTAAGATGAGGAGCTGAGGAGGATCTGGCGCGTCGACGAGAGGACGGCGGATGGTGCGACCGGTTCGAGTGGGCTAGTAGAAAGTCTCCTGAGCACTGTAGCACGCGTACAAGCAGTCACAAGCTGTGCGAGTCGCGGATGGGAAGCGGTTCACCTCCAACCATCCTCCTCTCCCTTCGACCATGCACAACCTCCCCGCTCACACGACGAAGCACTGCCAGGAGCTGGCTTACACGCTGCCGAATGGGACTGATGTCACCATTGCCCAAGACGACGCGTCCATTGATAGCACTGGTCCGTCAACTGCTCGCTCCTTGCTGTTCTGCCGCCGACTCGCTTTGCTCGCTCGCTTTCAGGTCGAACGGTCTGGCTTGGCGCGCAAGTGCTCAGCATCTACCTGCAGCACATGCTAGGGAGAGCTCGCCGGGGATGGAGGGCTATCGACCTAGGATCCGGGACAGGCCTCGTCGCGCTCACCCTCGCCTCGCTTGGCTACGACACGCTTGCGACCGACGTGGACTTTATCGTCGACGGCGTCTTGCGGCGGAACGTCGAGGCGAACCGGCAGAAGCTGCGGGAAGGGGGCGGAGGACGGCTCGAAGCGCGTACGCTGGACTGGTTTGTCGACCCGTCTAGCTGGCCTTTCAGCAGCGAAGGTGGCGACACAGGACAGGCCTCGGAGGCGATGATGTCAATACAGCCGCCATTCAACCTCATCACGACAGCCGACACAGTCTACGACCCGTCCCTCTCGACTCCGCTCCTTTCGACTCTCCGCTTCCTCTCGCTTCTCTCGTCATTACCACCGCCAATCTACCTCGCCCTTGAAGCGCGAGATCCAGCCCTCGTCGCCGCCTTCTTCCGCGCGGCGGTGGACGATTTTGGCTTCAAGTGCGCGAGGATCGAGCATGCTCAGGTCAAGAAGCTGGTCGAAGACAAGGAAGGGACGCTCGGCTGGGAGAACGAAGAGGACTGGGAAGGAGTTGAGCTGTGGAAGCTCAAGCTGTCTCGGGCGGCAGCAGGGGAAGAGCGGAGACGACGCCAGTGAAAGAGGAGTCGTAAGAAGCTTGCTATCGGCGGAGCGCCAGGCTGTAATCGCAGCAGGCGAGCTGTGGTATGCGGAGACGCTGTTTCTACATGGACACGCGGCGATCATGAAGGCACTGCTACGACTTGGTGAGGAGGAAGAACATGCGAAGATGGTGTATGCTGGGAACAATGCGAGGCTGTATGCGAACAAGAAAGAACGGAATGTAACAGGCGAGAGAGCGGTGAAAGGGGCGCGCGAGCATGCGCTAACCGCGACGAGCAGCCTCCCTCGCCTTGGCCTTCTCGGCGGAGATGAGCTTCTCGAGCACTTTGACGACGTGCGACATCGACGGACGCTGCGCGGGGTCCTGCTCCCACATCGTCGTCATGAGGTCGACGATCTCGCTGCCCCACTGGCGACGGAGCGGACCAGCTGGAGGGCGGATCTGCTTGGCGCCGACGTCGTGGTAGATGGCCTGTGCGAAGAAGACAGTCAGCACCTCGCCAGTACGCCTTCGCAAAGAGGCGAACACACATGCTCGTTCTGTCCCTCGAACGGGTAGCGCTTGACGGCCTGATGCCACTGGAGGACCTCCCAGAAGACCAGGCCGGCCGAGTAGACGTCGACCTTCTCGTTGTACCGCGGGTGCGGGCTCCACAGCTCGGGTGCCTGCCAGTTGACCGTGCCGACGAGCGAGCGGATCATCGACTTGGTCGACGTCTTGATGCGTGCGAGGCCAAAGTCGGCAATCTTGGCGACGCCGTCGTGCGTGATGAGGACGTTCGACGACTTGATGTCGCGGTGAATGATGGTCGGCTTGCGGAGGTGGAGGTACTCGATGCCGCGCGAAAGGCCGAGGAGGATCTCGAGCATGGCAGTGAAGGGCGGAGGGTCAGTCTTGCGGATGTAGTCGAACAGGTCGCCGTTTGCGCAGAGCTCGGTGATGATCATGACGGGAATGGGCGACGGCTGCTTCGGAATCGAAACGCCGATGAACTGGACGATGTTCGTGTGGCGGAGGTCCCGCAAAAGGCCAAGCTCCTTGATGTCCATGTCGGTGAGGTGGCCGCGGATGTCGCAAATGGCGATCGTGCGGTTGCGGAATTTGCCCTTGTAGACGTCCTACAATGAGCGATCAGCGTCAGCAAGAGGAGACGGAGCCGTGGAGCAGAGCGGGCGCACCTTGAAACCGCCGCTACCGATGCGCTCGAGCCTTGTGAGCTTGTCCGGCTGAATCTCCTTGTCCTGCAGCTGGAGACTCTCGAGGTCGAGCGTATTGACGTCCTCCTGGTGCTCGTGCTCCTTCGAGTGCTCGGGCGTTTGAGGCTTCTCGGGACTGGCCGAGTGGTCGGGACGCATCAGGAGCGGCGTCTTGGCGCCAGAGGTGCGATTCGACGCATGGCCGACAACGTTGAGCGCCTGCGTCTTGGTCTCGCCGCGAGCGGTTTCGGTCGAGACGTTCGACACGGTGGAGCCGGACGAAGCAATCGAGGCCGGCGAGGAGGCGTCCACGTCCTTGTCGCGCTATTGAGACCGATGAGATTAGCACGAGGCCGTCACAGAAAGGTGGAAGCTACGCACCCATTCGAGCAGGGCCTTGATGAGCTGAGGCTTTGTGCCCTCCTTGTCAAGCTCGCGCTCCTCGCATAGGCGCACAAGGTCGTCCTTGCGATACCGATTGAGCGTAGTTGACGTAGCAGTTGCGAGGTCAATCTCGTCCTCGTCTGAGGGCACGAAGCGTCAGCGGAAGGAACCGCGGGGGGAGGTGAGGCGATGCGGACCTTGCTCCTCGTCGTCGGCCTCCTCGTAGTCCTCGTCCCCATGCGCCTCGTCGTCCGAGCCGTTCGCCATCCGCTCATCCTCGCCGTCGCGACCGGCTGCCTGACGCTTCTTGCCACGACGGAGGCGGACCACCTGGCCATCGTGCTTGTTGCGCCCGTCGTGGCGGAGATGGCTCGTCATATGCACCGACGCAGCGTCGTCGTCGCTGTCGGCGCCGGCGAGCTGACTGCGCGAGCCCTCGCGCTCGGTCTCGCCTCCGCTCTCCTCGTCCGCGTCCGAAGGCGGGGTCTCGACTTGCTTGGCGGTGCGAGCAGAACGACGACGACCGACGGGATCACGCTTGCCGCCGGAGCGTTGACGGCGCTGCTGCGAGCTCAAGCCGGCGGCGGCGGACTGCTCCTCGGCCTCGTCCGACTCCTCAGCTTCAGAACCCGAGTCAGAATCGAGGACGATGTCGGCGTCTCCATCGTGCATCTCCTCGTCGCCGTCGTCTGCGCGGCCCTTGCCCTTGTCGACCTTGGCGATCCGGACGACAGCCTTGCGCTTCGCGAGGCGGAGAGGACGAGGGGAGTGAGCGCCAGGAGGGGGAGCGTCAGGAGAAGTGCGGCTCGGGCGGGACTGCGGTGGTTGAGCCGGCTGAAGTTGCTGCCCGCGCGTGCGATGCGCAACAGGCGAGGTGAAGACGTCGGGGGTAACGTTGACCTGCAAGCCGTTGAGCAAGCGCCCTTTCGCGCTAGCCGCAGCGTTCGAACCGGACCCCGAAGGACCTGCAGCTGCGCGGAAGGATGGCGGGACCACATGGGTCATGTCGGATCTCGTCCGGACATGGCGGCGTGGGACGGGCGGCGGGGGCATCTCGACCTCACTGGCACGCCGGGCCATGCGAGTCGAAGCAGCCGGCGGTTCGGGTTCAGCTTGTGGCGCCACCTCCTCCTCCTCAATTTCCGTATCCTCGACGTCGTCCGCAGATTCCTCGCTGACGGCCTCGTCGGACGGGGGCGGCGTCGGCTCCTGCTGGCGAGCACCGCTGCGACGCTTGACGAGCTTCTTCCGCACGACTGGCTTGGCGTCCAATACACGAGCCGCCAGGACCTTGCTCGAGCTCCGTCGTCGGCGAGGCTGCGAGGCCTCGGGACTGCCTTCGTGCGAAGTCTTGGGCAACGGAGAGTCGGCTTCGTCTTCACCATCGTCCGACGAGCTTTCGGAAAGACGTGCGGCAATGATAGCGCGGATATACTCCTCTTTGAGCCGTGGTGGGGCAGCAAAAGACGTGGACGGGGCGGGAAGACGGTGGAAAAGATTCGAGAGGTCGATAACGCGGAGGGTTCGAAGCTGGTCGGCCGTCCAGTTGTGCAGCATGGCGTCGTCTGCAGGATTGGAGTCAGTGTCTATAAGTATACCAACCTGGATGAGTAACGCACCGTCATCGTCCGAAGCGCGGCCACCCTCCCCGTCCTCCTCCTCCTCCCAAACGGCGGCCTCCTCGTCATGCTCCTCGTCTGCTACTTCCTCCGCATCGCTGATCGCCTCGAGAGACGTCCGAGAGTTGCTTCGCAGCCGTCTTCGAGGCGCATCGTCCGCGACCAACTCTTCATCCTCGTCCTGGTCTTCCTCAACGAGGCTGCGGCTGCGTCGCCGGGTCGTCCGCGATGGCTCGCCCGTGGAAGCGGGAGCAACAGGTCCACCGCTTGTGCGCCTCGTCGCGCGAGCAGCCTGCGCTGGGACGGAGCCATCTCGCCTGCGACGAGGTGGAGGCATCGGGGCGTCCTCCTCGACGGCGCGCTCCTTGCCCTTTCCCTTGCCCGCCTTGTCCATCACCGGAAAGTAGGATCGGTCGACAGAGTGATTGACCGGCAAAGGGCTGAGCGGGTGTTGCGTGCGGCCTGTCCTGGTCGTGCGGGGTTGTTGAGTGATGCCGGAGTCCTCCTTGCCGCCCTGCGGACCACGAGCCCGCGAATCCGCCGCTCGAGTACGCTGTGAGCCTTCTCGTCGCTGCGGAAGAGAGCTCCGCCTCGTCGCCATGGCGCTGCGAGAGCTGCCAGATGGCGCAGAAGCCCTGCGAGAGCGGTCGACAGCGGCGCCGGTCCTCGCGCTCGATTCGGCACGCTCGTGCTCCATCTGGTCCTCCCAATCCGAGTCGGTGTCGTTGGCGTCGTCGTCGTCGACCCTGTCCGGGTTGAACGAGCGCGCGGTGCGCATGGACGAGCCGACCTTTTGCCGCTTCCTGCTCCTCAGCGCGGGCATGCGGGCCGGGGAGGCGTGCACGGCGAGTCTGGGACGTTTGCTGGCCATCTATTGAGCGGCTGCAAGCATGTATCGGGGGCGAGTTGAGTGAGGAGTCGAGTCGAGGCACTGACAAGGGGAGGGTCGACGTCGAGCGAAAGAGGGCGGAGAGCCGAGTCGATGGGCGTGGCGGGTCGGCCGTGTGCGTGTGTCGGTGTGTCAGTCAAGGCAGGACCAGCAGCGAAGCCGTCGTGTGAGCGGTCGAGAACGAGCGAGAGCCGAGGAGGGTGACTCCTTTGTAATCGTTCCATTACTCCAAGTTGTAATCAACTGAATACTCGCGGTAGACCTTCCCTCAACACGCCCTAGCTGCGGCAGGACAAGCATTGCAGCCAAACAGAGATGTAGAGGGAAGCGACTAGGACTACACAGGACTGTCGGAGAAACAGGGAGAGGCGGAGAGGGGGATATAACCAGCGACAGACTATCTTCCGCCGTCTAGGCAACACTCGCGACGATGCTCTCGGCCTTGTTGAGGGCGGCGACCTGTGCAGAGTGGAGAGCTGTCAGCGAGCGACCCTGCGAGACGAGGGGCGGTCGGAACGCACCATCTTGACACACTCCTTCCTTCGCTGGACGACGCTGTCCGACTCCTTGAGCATCTCCTCGATCATCTCGGTCTTGTACAGCTCCGACAACAGCTCCCGCTGCATCGAGTCGCGCGCGTGGAAGACGAGGTTGAGCATGATGGCTGCGGAGGAGAGCGGCGGATCAGCTTCGAGCAGGGGAAGACGGGCGACTCCTGGCGAACGCACCCTTGGGAACCATGTCGATGAGCGTGCGCTTCGACAAGGCAAAGTAGCTCGAGATCAGGAGCTTGATGACCTCGGTCTCCATCTGCTCGCGCTCCGAGAGGGTGCCAGTCGCCCGCAGCGCGGGCGGCGGCGCGTCCATGGCCGCCGCGCCCTTCTTCTGCGCAATGGCCTGGTTCTTCCTCCCGCCGGGCCAGAACGAGCCGAAAAAGCCCTCCTCTTTCTGCCTGAGGTCGACGTCGAGGTCCTTGCCGTTGTTGAGCGTGCCGGGCGCGAGCTTGCCCGTCTTCGGGTCGACGGCCGGCCCTGCGTTCTGCGGCTTGTTCTGGTTCATGCGCTCCGACACGATCGCCATGGCCTTGTGGCCCGAGATGAAGTCGGGGTGGCCCGTGTTGATGTAGCTCGACTCCATCGCGACGAGGTCCTGGACGAGCTTGTTGGTCGGGACCATGCGCTTGCGGAAAAAGTTCTGAACCGTGCCGTAGAAGCGGTCGCGCAAGCCCGGATACCGCTTGAACGCCGTGTTCTTGTTGAGCAGCTGCGCGAGTATCCGCATGAGCTCGTCGTAGACGAGACTCGCGCACTTGAGCGACGGCTCCTCGATACGCTTGATCTGCTGCTTGATGATGACCTCGAAGGCGGTCGTGCCGACGAACAGGGCGGGCGACGAGCCGGACGAGTTGTACAGGATCGTGCGGATGTCGGCATCCTTGACGTGGTCGAAGGGGTCGAGCGACTTGACGCCGTTCGAGAAGAGCTCGTGGAAGACGAAGGAGACGCGGGCGCCGCCGGAAAGCTCGTTGAGCGCGAGGTCCGACGAGGATCCGTCGATGGCGGTGCGGAAATCGCCACAGAACTCGGTGATGATCTGGAGGATGACACTGCTGCCGTCCGTGCCGCCGTTCGGTCCGCCGAGAGACGCGAGCTCCGCCTCGTACTTCGTCAAGTTCTGCGAGATCTTCTGCTTGATGTCGGGCAAGGTCGCCTTGATGTGGTGCATGAGGATCGTGTTGAGGCGGCGGGTGAGGTACGGCGTGCCGCAGTACGACGCCTTGCTGCGGTAGCTCGGGTGGTTCTCGAAGAACTGGCGCTCGCTGTCGAGGGCGGCGTGGATGGGGCGGTTGTTGTCGATGTCGCGCTGACTGCGATTGACGACGGGGACGTAGCCAAGGCGGAGGGGAATGACGCGGCCGGCGAGGATGTCCACGACGTCCGTACCCTGGTCCATCAAGTCCACCTTCGTCAAGACACCGATGGTGCGGAGTCCTTCGGGGTCAACCTCGCGCGCGAGCTTGAGACCGTCCGAGTTGGCCAAGTCGGTGTTGGCGGCGGTGACGGCAAGGATGATCGAGTTGGGCTTCTGGATGTACTTGAGAAGCATGTTGCGGATCTGGATCTCGATGTCGCGAGGCTGGTCACCAACGGGAACCTTGGTCAAGCCGGGCAAGTCGACGAGGGTAAGGGTGAGGACGTTAGGCGAGAAGATGCGGAGACCGATGGGGACGGGCGAGATGCCTGCACGCGCGCGGATCAGTCTTTTGAGAGCAGCGCTTCGAACGGGAGCACACACCAGCATTCTTTCCCGTCTTCAACTCCGTATCGGCGACAATCTCCTCCCGAACCTTGTTGAAGTCGAAGAGCTTCTCTCCAGGACGATGGAGCTGTTGGACGACTCTGTCAGTTGCTGCCCTGCCGGCTATCGGGACGAGGCGGACTCACGAACTCGGCCCACTCGTCCGGGTTGCTCGCCTTGTCGGTCGTCGGCTTCGAGCCCTCCTCCTGCTTGGCTGACGACCGCAAGCGTGTCAACACTCTCCACTTTGCCTGCGAGTATGTCATTCACGCACCATCACCGTTCGCCTTCGGCGTTGCAGGACGGTTGATGAGCTGGAGGACGAGAGGACGACGAGTGACGATACCGGCTGTGATCGAGCGCAATCAGCATCTACTCCGCTGACAACCCTTGAAACCGCCGCGGAACTCACTTCCTCGAGGCAAGAAGTCGCGGCCGACGATGTTCTGCGAGAACAAGGCCGTGAGCATCCAGGTGTGCGATGGCAGACTAGGCTGGGCGGCTCACCTCGAGCACGGAGGACTTTCCGCTGTTGTTCAGATGGTAGAAATGGCTCGTCAGCTGCAGTCCTGCAAGATGCGACACGACCGCACACGACACAGCCCCCTTCGAGCGGCGAGTGAGTGGACAATAGGAGGACGCACGAGGACTGCGAGCCGACGACGGCGATCTGCGGCAAGTCAATGGTCGAGGTCGACAGGCCAGACTGCGCGAACGCGTCTTGGAGCAACTGCGAGCGAGCGAGTCGGCAAGGAGGATCAGCGAGGCCGTGGCAACGAGCGAAGGAGCCGGGAGAGACGCACGTTGACCGTCTTGATGAGCTGCTGATCCATCTCGGGCTACGGCAAGACCACCGGGGCGACTGGAGAGGCGGGAAGAAGGGGAGTGGTCGGTTGTGACGCGGAGGAGGGGGAGAGGAAGGGACTTGAGGCAGTCGCTGCGATTGCTCCTGCTCTGAGACGAGTGTCTAGACTGCAAACGATGCTCTTGTCACACTCGAGCTGCTCGGAAGCGGTGCGTGCGAGAGTTGCGAGATGCGAGTCGGGGTCGAGTGAGGACGCGGCGAGGTGGTCGTGCGGCGACTGAGCGGGTTGTGCGGACTGTGAGCGAGCTGACAGCGAGTCCGAAGCTGGTCTAGCAAAGTCTGAAGCTCGAGCGAAGTGCGCTGGGATGAGGAAGGGCAGCTCAGGAGTGGCGCCTCGAGGGGGCACAAGTCAACACTATGCAGAATGTGGATGTCAAGCGTGTGTGCCCGTCAGGAGGACCGCTCTCTCAGTCCCAGCGCCGCCGACGAGCTCCGCGAAGCGGTTACAGAGCAGACTTCGGAGCATCCGCTTCGCCTCGTCCGGTGTCTGCGCCCCAAGTATGGTAGCGATGCATTGCGAGTTGATGTACAGTGCCCGAACGACATTCCCAAGTTACCTGAAGGCGAGAGGAAGGCGAGGTCAGCCGTGCACAAGCAACAAAGCGGTTTTGTAGCGGTGGGGACTCACCTCGTCATGGCGTAGTCGTCTGCGAGCGGAGCGGGAAACCAGTTGAGTGACCGAATCCTGCAGATGCTGTCATGAAAAGAGAAGAAGGGGACGCACCAATACGGAGAAGCAGGCCGACCGTCTCGCTCGCCAGCTGGATTGCGCTCGTGTTGACCAGCAAAGGCTGCAAGACGCTCTCGTCGACGATGTTCGAGATTACGCCTTTGCGCACGTTCTGCGGGCCGCAGAGACCGTCAATTCTGTTAGGAGAAGCGAGTTGAGGGAGGACGCACGATTCCCGCCGTCTTCTCGCCGTTCGCATGCCGGTTCCGCAATTCGGTGACCATCGCGATCGGGTTCAGTCCGGCGTTCTCGGCGAGCGTTGTCGGGACGACCTCGAGCGCCTCGGCGTATGCGGCGAAGCAGTACGCCTCCATTCCCTTGAGCGTTTGCGCGTGCTGGCCGAGCAGGCGAGACGCCTCGATCTCGGGTGCACCACCGCCGCAGATGAGGAACCTGTGCTCACAAGCTGTCAGCAAAGCAGCTCAAGAATTGGGGAAAACCGGCCGCGCACCTCTTCTTGACCAAGCAACGAACAACGCAAAGCGCGTCGTGCAGACTCCGCTCCGACTCCTCCAGGACGAGCTGGTTTGCGCCTGTGCACAAGACCGAAACCGTCTTGCCGCTCGGGTTCTTGATGCCCGAGACTTTGACGAACTTGGCGCCGTTCTTGCTCGTCTCCTCGACGAGATCCGCCTCGCCGAGCTTGTCGCTCGTCATCTGCTCGACGTCCGAGATCGGCTTGCACCCGAATGCGCGCGAGAGGAACTCGATCTCGTCGCGCTCGACGTCCTTGATCGCCATGATCTTGAGCTTCTGGAGGTACGCGAGGGCGAGCTCGTTGACCGCGTCGCGGAGAATCGACTTTTGGATGAGAAGGACGTTGCAGCCCGACTTCTTGATCGCCTTGCACAGGTTGAGGATGTAAAGTCGCTCCTCCTTGAGGATCTTGTCCATCTGGCGGTAGTCGTTGACGACGATCTGGTTGTCCATCTGCGGGCGAGCGAGAGGTCAGCATGCCTCACTCTTTCATTTGGACTCCGGCAGCTCACGTCAGGCTTGGGAGGCGAGAGCTGGAACTGGATGATCCCGATCTTGGCCTTTTCGATGCGAGTCGGGCCGCCGGCAGAGGTGATGACATTCTGGTTCAGGAGCACGCCGTCCATCAGCTCGGTGTCGTCAATGGTGCCACCGACCTTCTTGACGAGGCGGATGTCGCGCAGGTCGACGTTGTCGGATTCGGGGGTGACGAGGCGGAGGACAGAGTCGACGGCGATGGGAGCGAGGATGGAGGAGTATTGCGAGACGATCTGTTGGAGCAAAGCGTGAGCTCGTGTCGAGAGTCGAAGAGCGGCAGGACTCACCTTGGAAGAGAGACTGGTGGTAGCGGCACGGAGGAGGTTATCCCGTTCGTTCAAGTTGACGGGCGTCGCCATGTCCTCCAGGTACTCGACCACCTTTGCCGCCGCCCGCGCGAACGACTCGGCGATGACGGTCGGGTGGATGCCCTTGCCGAGCAGCTTCTCCGCCGCACCGAGAAGCGAACCCGCGAGAACGACGACCGAAGTCGTGCCGTCTCCCGCCTCAATGTCCTGCGCTGCCGAGAGGTCGACGAGCTGGACCAGCGCTCGTCAGCTTCGGTGCGCCTTGAATGTGAAGCTGGACAGACCATGCGCGCAGCCGGGTGCAGGACACTCATGTGCTTGAGGATGGTTGCGCCGTCGTTCGTGATGACAACCTCTCCCTGCGCCGTCTGGATCATCTTGTCCATTCCTCGGGGTCCCAAAGAAGTCCGTACGGCATCCGCGACAGCTGCGAGCGATCAAGATGGGGAAGTCAGCGAGGGGGTGCGATAGAAGATGAGGCGCAACCACGACGAGACAACGCGCTGCGCACCTTTCGCGGCCGTCAAGTTGCTCAGGCGGACCTCCATGGGCTTCTCGCTGCCCTGCACGCGCGCCACACCCGCTGTCAGCCGTGTTTCATGGGGGTGCGAGCTGATGAGAGTGGGAGGGGGAGGGACTCGCCTGGAACGCGCGCTTGTGCCCGCCCGCCTGCCCCTGTGTCGCTGCCGGTGCTGCTGGTGCTGCTGTAGCCATTCTGAACGTAGCAAAGTCGCAGCGATGGCGAGTTGAGGGAAGCGAACCTTCGCGTCCCTCGCGACTTCCCTTTGACCTCGACTCCACGCTCCACACACATCAAGCCATGGTGAGTGCGGGTGCACGAGCTCGAGGAGGAGTCCTTGGAGCGTTACAGGCTTGTTCGCGGCACTCGCGCTGGCTGCGAACGTCTCCCCATTCCATGCCTCGCTTCCCTCAACTGCGACCTCCTCTTTCGCGTTCCACTAGCATCAGGACCTCGCTCGCTGGTCTCAGGCGTCGCGAAGCCTGCCATCTCGCGCGGACGGAGGGTTGCAACGGACGCGGATATCATGAGCGGGCTAGGGAGCTCTTCGCCTCCTCCTCCCTTTCGATTCCCTCCTTGTCACACGCTGTTTTGCTTGGTTCATACCCGCTGACCTCACCATTGCTTCTTGGTGACAGGCGGACATCAATGCGATCGCAAAGCAGTTCACCGACTACTACTACCAGGTCTTCTCCGCCGACGTAGGTCCCTTCCCTCCTTCTCCCCTCTCTTGCTTCACTAACCTCATCTCCGATAACAGCGGAAGAACCTTGCGCCTCTCTACGTGCGCCAAAGCTTGTCCGGGTTGTCGCGTGCCCTCTGAGCTGACCTCCTGCTTTCATCAGCGCGACCACTCGATGCTCACGTTCGAGGCTCAGCAATTCCAGGGCACCAACGCGATCATCGAGAAGCTCGCTGTGCGTCTCCTGAACTCCCTCTTCCGCTCTCGCCAACAGCGCTGATGGAGACCTGTTTTCCAGAGTCTTCCCTTCACCTCGATTCAGCACCGCGTCACGACCATGGACGCGCAGCCTGCGGCAACTGACAAGGCGTCGATGATCGTCCTCGTCACTGGCCAGCTCATCGTGCGCTCCCTCTTCTTCCTGTTCTCCCTTCCCACTTCTCCCTTCTCCCCTCCTTTCCGGTGCCTGCCATGGCTGACAACTGCCCTACAGACCGGCGACGAGACCAACGCCCTCAACTTCTCGCAAGCCTTCCACCTCATGCCCGAGAACGGCTCGTACTACGTGTATGTCTCCAGACGGCTTGTTCAACCTGCGAACGCTCACGAGACGCCTCCTGCACAGATTCAACGACCTGTTCCGTCTTAACTATGGCTGAGCGAGAGAAGGAATGGGGAGGACGGCGGAAGAGAGCGGGAAGAGGACGACGAGGGGGAGGAGAACGAGGTTTTTGTTTCGAGGCCAGGCTTCTTCTCGTGCGGGAAATCTAATGCATTGGCAACGTTGATCTCTCTCTAGGCGTTTCGGCGGCTTCGATGAGCTGGACTGGCTGCTCGGACGCGGAAGAGGAGGAGGAGGAGGAGGACGGGACCTCGCTCGACCAACTTCGACCCCTTTCTCGTGGCTCGCATGCGCTTACTACTCTTCACGAGTCGCTACAGGCTGCGAAGCGGCGCAGGCGACGAAGGACGCGCTTACATTGGGTTGCAATGGGCTTCCACGCGACACTTCCCGTCGACTCTCGCTCGACTCATTGCGTCCCGCTTTCGCTTCGCCTTTCTCAGAGAGCGCATCAAAAGACTGAAAAGGCTGCGATGCGAGTGTCTACAACGGACGAGTACATACAAAGGAGCGGTACGGAGTGCACTTCTGAAGCGGACCTCCTCCCGAAACTTCTTCGTCGGCCCAGCGTCCTTCTCCAAGATCCGTCGCCGAATATGCGTGTCCGTCTAGTCGCCCGCGCCGACCTCGATATGCTGGACCGCGGACCTCCTCGTCGTGGTACTCCTACTCGACGACCGTCCCCTCGAGACTTCCATGCGCGCCTCGTCCCACCCGCCCGTCTCGCTCGTCCTTCCCGTCCTCTGCCCATCACGAGACGTCGTCTTCAACAACAACCTGACGTCTGCGAGATCCGTAAAAGCCCCCTTGAGCGCCTCGCGCGCCTTCCTCGCTTCCTCTTCATCCCGCTTATTCGTCTCCACCTCCTCGCCCGAGTCGATCCGTCCGAGGGGTGAAGGGCGGGGAGGGAAGAGCGTGCGGACGTGGCTGTAGGGCGGAGGAGGGCGGGAGGGCGGGTCGAGAGCGAAGGAGGGGAGGGTGTTCGAGAGGGAGGAGACGGAGGCGACGGTCGGAGTCCAGTCGCTGAAGCGGGACGTTACCTTGCAGGGCTGGGAGGGCTCACGGGGGTGAGAAGGTGAGAGGGAGGAGACGAGACGGTCGGCGAGCGCGCGCGGGAGGTCGAGAGTCGAAGGGACAGGGAGCGTGTTGTCGCAGGCCGGGAGGTCGACGCAGGGAATGCGAGGGGTGCCAGGGGGCTCGAAGGCAGGAGGAAAGATGGAAGCAAGGAGGTCGTCCGGTTCAGCCCAGACCAGCGAGTCGTCACCTTCGACCCCGGCGAGGGCCTTCGTAAGGAAGTCGGGGAGGGGCGGGATGTCGAGCGAGCATTGCACGCGGAAAGTCGGAGTTCCGAACTCGCACGAGTCGACCGTGGTCGAGTCGCTCGAGGAGGAAGTGCGCCTCGAGCCGATCCCGAAGCGAGCGAACGGCGATTCGCGCTCCTTCTTCTCGAAAACGTCGAGCGGCGGCGTCTCGAACCAGGCATAGTGGAAGGTGTGGACGTCTTGCGAGCGGACGCGAGGGGCGGCCCGAAGCTTGTGCGAGTTCGGCTTGACGAGCTTCGAGAAGACGCGCTTTGTGCGCGAGGCGAAGTGGACGAGGCCGCTTGCGGACGAGCTCGACGACGAGCGCAAACTCTTCGAGTCGACGTTGGTTAGCGAGTCGCGCGTGTCTGTAGGCGAACGACCGCGGGATCAGCTACGGAAGTCGCCACCCTCGCTCGCCCGGACAGCGGAAGACGACTCGCTCGACTCACCTCGCCCCTCCTTCGACCTCGCTCTCTGTTCAGATGCCACAGAAACAGTCTTTGAGATGCTAGGCGTCGACTGGCGAGGCGGGCGAGTGACGGTGGCGCGGGAAGTGGCGTTGCGCAAGCGCAGTCGGCGAGAAGTCGTCTGCGCGGCTACCTCTGGCTCGTAGCGGCGTCCGGGCATGTTTGTACGAGCAGTGAGAGAGCTGTGAGCGAGGTGAGAGTGGCGGCGAGTGAACAGAAGGAGAGAGAGAGAGGAGCGCAGGCGAGGAAGCGACCTTCGCACGAGTCGGGCGAGCGAGCATCACCAAGACTGCGCGCGACGACCTCGAGCACATCTCCGCGGCGACGACAAGAGTAGCGAGCATGCTCACAAGCGTCGCGAGCGTGGCGAGCGAGCGAGTGAGCGGACGCAGCGAGCGAAGGAGGATTGGGAAGGTCCCCTCGTCGAGCGACGTCGTTCTATCGCGAGAGCGTCCCTAAGCGTGCTACGACACCGCCAGACCCTGAGCTACCTCGCCACCGAAACGAGCGCGACCAGCGCGCAAGTCCCTCGCCAGTCCCGCCTCCCACGCCCGCTCAATCTCGGCCGCCGTCTTGCACCGGAACGTCTCGTCGTCGCTCTCCTCGTCGCCGCAGTCGTCGTCGTCCTCCTCGTCGCCGCAGTCGTCCTCGTCCTCGTCGTATTCCTTCAAGATAAGCGGCTCCTCGTCGCTGAACCCGCCGACGAGGTCCTGCACGTGCGTGTGAATCGACGAGCAACACCCGTCGCGGTAGGTCGACGAGCCTTGCCAGCTCGAATGCAGCGACGACGGCGCCTCATCGTCCTCCTCGTCGTCGAATGCGTCGTCCAAGCTCATCTGCAGCCGGTACTCGCGGAGGAAAGTGCTGAAGCCGTTGCCTGGCGGGCTTCCGTGAGAGCGGGTGGGTGAGGGTACGAGGGACGCGGCCGGGCTGGGTCGGTGTACGAAGTGGTAGTCGGTGTGTTGGAGGACTTGGTGCAGGGGTCCCGGCGACGGGCTCGACGAAGTGCGGGTACGAGGTCGACGCGGGGGAGGGATGAGGATGGGGAGGGTGGTCGGAGGCGCCGTCAACGCTCCGGAGTGAAGCGAGGGGTCGTAGAGTGCTGTCAACGTCGCTATGAAGGTCAGCAGGTGCCCAGAAAAGCGGCGGATGCGACGCACCGGCCGTACCACCCTCATCTGCCTCGGCGTCACCCGTCCCCCTCTCCTCCCTCCTTCTGCCGAACGACTGGCGCAAGAGGCGCAGGAGACGTTGCGCCATCGTCGTCTAGCGTAGAGTGGCGGGAAGAGAGAGGGAGGGAGAGAGGACCGAGGGCGGCGAGGCGAGTTCCTTCCCGCCGCGGACCGCAGGAGGAGGGCAACGAGCCGGCGATGCCATCTGCGATGACACGCATGCCGGGCGGCAGCCTCATGCAGTCGAACGCGAGCAATGCGAGGACCGTGAGTAAGCCAGCGACGACCTGGATAGCTGTGAGAGGCGCAGGAGAGCAACGAGCACCAGCGCAGCGTTCTCACACGAGTTCAAGGCTCCGCGAGAAGATCGCTCGCTGTCTCCCTTTGCGCGGCCACACCTGCGGTCGGTTTCGAGAGGCAGAAGGAGGAGAGAAAGGGGGCTGCGAGCGGAGACGAAGGAGAGTGGGTGAGCCTGTTCTGCTTCCTGCCAGCGAGGCTCAGAAGCGTATGCGGATAGTCATCTCTCGGAGTGAGGTGGTGAGAATGGATGCCGTTCTACCGCCTCCTGTTCTGTACTCGACCTGCTCATCTACTCCCGGACGCTCTTCGCGCTCGTCCCGTCTGCGACGAGTAGATGATACCTTGACTCTCCTTGGCGTCGACGAGCGAGGGAGGCGGAGGTTGGGCAGGCGGAGAGGCGAGGTGGTGAGAGGGTTCTCCGATGGGCGATAGGAGAGAGGCGTGTTGGCGGGGATTAGTGATGGAGGCTGTACAAGCGCATGTAAAACATGTCGAGGCGTGGAAGAGGCCTCGCGATGCGAGTGGGATGGCGAGCTAGACGATGCGGCTCGACGCCGCGCGAACGGGCTCAGTAGTCGGTGACGTTCGAGAGGGTGTACGTCGTCCTCGCGTCGTCGTCGTTCGTCCACCCAGCCTGCGACTTGTACTCGCTCGCCGAGTCGGCCAAGCTGAGCCTGTCGGCCTGCGAGAACCCGACGCTGCTCGCCGCGCTGCTCATGCCGCTGCCTGGCACGCCGCCGAGCCCGTTGACGATACTGCTCGCGTCGTCTCCGCGCACACTCGCGCTGTCGGCCGACGAGAGGAAGTCCTGCGAGAATGTCGAAGGCGGACCGCCGCCGCGCTTCATGCTCGAGAGGTACGCCGAGCCGGCCTGGCCAAAGTTGGGCAAGCCGGACGAGTACATCGCCTGCGAGCGGACGGACTGCGCGTCGGACGGGACGGAGCTGATGGCGTCGTGCGTGCGGTAGTAGCTCGAGTCGAAGCGCGAGGGGAGGCCGTTCGAGCTGCGACTATCGCCCATGCCGTTCGGCGTGCCGTTGAGCATGTCGCGCGCGTCGTGCTGGAAGCGGTTCATGCTGGCGTTGCGGTCATACGGGCGGCGAGGCTTGCTGAACTGAATCATCGACGGCTGGAGGTTGTTGAGCGGCCCTTCGACGAGGCACTTCTTCTCCTTGTAGTGCGTGAGGAGGTAGTGCCACAGCGCGTGCTGCGTGCGATGGAACGTCAGCAGTGTTTGCGAGGAGTAGCAACCCGAGCGACGCACCTTGCTGAGGACCTTGGGGTTCCCGAGAATGACGAGGCCGTACTTGGCACGCGTCAGGGCAACGTTGAGACGGCGCGGGTCGTTGAGGAAACCGATGCCCTGGTGTTCGTTGCTCCTGACGCAGCTCATGATCACGTAGTCCTTCTCGCGACCTTGGAAGGCGTCCACGGAGGCCACCTCAATCTCCTTGTACAGCTCCTTCTTGAGCGAGCCATTCATCTGCATGTACGAGACGAGGTACGAGCGCTGACCCTCGTACGGCGTGATGATGCCGATTTGGGACGGCATGACGCCGGCCTTGAAGAAGCGGGTGACAATCTTCTCGACGTTCGACGCCTCCGTTCTGCGAGACGACGCATGGTCAGTGTAAAGGGTGAACGAGGGACGGAACGAACGAACACACCGGTTGAGGAAGGAAGTACCGCTCGACGAGATCTCCTCTTGTCCGAGGTTCTGGTGGAAGTACATGGGCGTCGTCGGCTGCGGCCAGGGAAAGTCCACATTCTTGCGCAGTCGCTCGGGCGCCGTGACACCGTTCTGGAGCGTGCCCTCGTAGAACATGTTCGAAGGGAACTCGGAGAGGCAGGGGTGCATGCGGTACTGAACTTGAAGGCGGATTGGGCGGTTGCCGAGGAGGATAAGACGCTCGAAGAGGGATTGGTTGAGGCCGGCACGAGCTGCCTTCTTGTTCATGATGGTCGGACCGAGCTGCGAGTGGTCTGCGCGCGACGGAGGATGAGCTGAGGAGCAGAATGGAAGGGGAGGAGGAAAGCTGCGCACCGCCGACCATGACCAGCTGCTTGACGCCGAACGTGAGCGGAATCATGCACTCGGGCTCAGTCTGTGAGCGGACTGAGGTCAGCGAAAGGCATAGACGGTCGGCGGACCGCTACGCACCGCCTGAGTCGCCTCGTCAATCAAGACCGTCCTGAACTTGAGGTTCTTGAGTCGCGGGTCGCCGCATCCGACACACGTCGCGCAGATGACGTCTGCGTTCGTCAAGATCTCCTTCTCGACCATCCTCGTCAAAGACTTGAACTTGCGCTCGTCCGAACTGCTCAACTCGCCCTGCTCCTGCTTGAGCTGGATGAGCTTCGACAGCTCCGGGTGCGTATCCGAGTTGGCGACTTGAGCGTGAAGCGTCAGGAAGGAGACGGACGACTCGAGCGCCTCGCGAGACTTGGCTGTCACGCGGACGACCTTGAGGCCCGTCTGGTGGATCTTCTCGGTGAGTTGGTCAACGGCGACGTTCGATGGCGCAGCGACGAGGACCTGGCCGGGGTTCATCTTCGAAAGGTGGTAGACGATCGAGGCGGAGGTGACGGTCTTGCCGGTTCCAGGCGGTCCCTGCGAAGGTGCGATGTCGTGAGGATCCTGACGAACTCGCTTTTACGCGAAGTGTGCGCACCTGGATGAGCGAAAGCGGCTTCTGAAGGACGCTCTTGACGGCGTAGATCTGCGAGTGGTTGAGATCAGGAAGGTTGGGCGCGGAAACCCTGCGGGAAGGAGCGAAGTCAGCGCACGGCTCAACGAGGGTACTGAGCCTCCGAGCACACCTCTTCGGCATCTGAGCACGGAGGACCTGCGGCGGATCCGCATCGTGTCCCATGAGCTTGTGGTAGATGTATCCCGACACGCTCTGCTCGTCCACCGCAAACGTGCGCATCGCCTGCTGCATACGGTCGAACGACGTCGACTTCCAAACGAAGTCGGCGGAGAAGTTGTGCGTGCAGTCGATCGGGACGTGGTCGCTGCGCTTGAGCTCGAGGGCGATCTCGTCGGAAACGTCTGCGGGATCGGGCATGAGCGGGATCCGACGGAAAGGAGAGCGGGAATGACGCACTGTTCGGCACCTTGATGACGTGTCCGACACCTTCCCACGGCTTGTGCAGCTCGCCATTGTACCGCAACCTCAACTCGTCTCCGACCGCCAACCGCACCTCGCCCGACTCGAGCTTCGGCAGGTTGAACCATGCGATCCGCTTCTGGTTCAGACCCATGTCCCATCGCACGACGAGGCCGTCCTGGGTCTGCGACTCTTTCAGGCGTTTGTCGTAGTCGGCTTCGATCTTGACGAGCGGGCCGAAGATGTTCTGATATTGGTAGGCGTCCTCGTAGCTGCGAGCGAGCGCATGCGTTAGTCTCCTAGCAGGCTGAGAGGCACATGAGCGAACTCACCGAAGCAGGATCGGCTGCGGCTCATCGTCGACACCCGGCTTCTCGAGATCCTCCAGCGTCGCATTCGCGTTATCCCGCCACAGCTCCTCGAGGCGGTTGATCTGGTGAAACGTGATCTGCTTCGCGCGGAGCTGCTCCTGCTCGGACGGGACCTTGACGAGCCACGAGAGGAAGGAGCGGTCTTCGATCAAGGGCGACCATTGCGTCGTGTCCCAGACGATGTCCTTCGAGCTCTGCATCGCCGCGCAGGGTTGACTGTAGATCGCGACTGTCAGTTCAGTACAATGCAGAGGAGCAAGTGCGGACGAACCGGCAGAGAAGGACGACGACTGTGTCGCTCTTGGCGGGGATGAAGCCGAGGATGAAGACGTTCTTCGCGCCGCACGAGTAGCATTCGGGCGTCGTCTCGCCCAAGGGCGACTCGGCATGAAGCGTGACCTCCTTGTGCTTGGCGCGAACGAGATGGTTGACGATGTGGGAGCCGGAGGTCGAGCCGCGAGCGTTGCAGAACCACTTGTTGCAGATGAGGCAGCGCACCACGCATGCCGGACTGTGAATGCCGCAGTAGCTTTTGGCAGAACGAGAGATCAGCCTGCGCAGGGAGAATGAAGGAAGCGAGCGAACGCACCTGCACGCATGCGGCGGCAACTCCTCCCGATTCAGGTCGTCGAGCATCCCGTCGAAATCCTCCTCATACAAGTTGGCCACGTTCGCTGCCGCTGCGTCCGCGTCCTGCCCGTCCAGCCCAGCGCCCGCTCCTCCCGCTCCTCCCGCCCCATATCCCGAAAGTGAGAGGTCGTCGAAGTTGACGATGAGCGCGTCCGCTGCGTCGCCTGGTGTCGAAGGTCCCGGTGTCGCCTGCGCAGACGAGAGTACGCTCGAGTGAAGCGACGAGGTGTCGTCCAAGTCGAGCGAGTACCCCGACGCTCCCTCGAGATGGCCAAAGTCGTCGTGCTGCGCGTAGCCAGACATGTCCGGCGAGTCACCAGAGCCCTTGCAAGCCACGAATGAGCGAGTCGAGCGGTGTGGTCTGTGGCAAGGAGCGACTCGACCAGGTTGACTTCGTGAACCTCGCTCGCACACCGCTCAAACCGCACTTTCAAGGGCTTGCTACGTCTCCAGGAGCTGCTATACTCGTCTATCGCACTCCCCTGTTCACCCGCCCGCTTCAAACCGCTCCCGGCGACCCCCAGCACCGCCTTCTTCGTCTCGCTTCCTCATGTCCTTCGGCCGGCCATCGAACACCTCGCTGAGCCTGGGAGGCGCGCCACCGCTCAAGGGCAGCTTCCCGCTAGATCACGACGGTGCGGCCGAGCCAGATCGAGCGATGTCGGCGCAAACTGACTCCGCTCGGATTCGTTGCAGGCGAGTGCAAGGACTACATGGTGCGGTATCTCAAGTGCATGAAGCAGAACAAGAACCAGAGTACAGAGTGCCGGTACCTGTCGAAGGAGTACCTCGCGTGCCGGATGGACAAGTGCGTTTCCGATTAGCTCGTCGTTCTTTCTTCCCCTGCCAGTCATTGCCTTACGTCAAACCGTTCCTCCGCAGGGGACTGATGGAGCGGACAGACTTCGAAGCATTAGGATTCCAGGAGGGAGAGAAGGCGGCGGGGGAAGCAGCAGGGACACAACCGACAGCGCAGGCGAAACATCAGCAACCACCAACAGCCCGGTAGCATTCGTTCGTAAGAACAGGATATCGCGGGTCCCTGTACGCTTTTGCTCGACCTGCGAGAGCGTGCTAGCGAGTGTACGCGGCTAGCGAGAGGGAGCAGTTAACTTCGAGGCATCAAGGGGCTCCTATGCGCATCCGGTCCCGACGGCTGTTCAAGCAGAGTCCGTGTCAAGCGATCAGAAAATCCCAATGGAAAGCGGGGCAGCCACAGCACAAGCCGCCTCGAGGAGGAGGAGCTGCGCCGGGAGCTGTCCCCCTCGATCCTACATTAGGTCCGTGGCCAAGTCCGGTCTGTAAGGCCCCAGCCTCCTGCATCACGTCCCTCATCTTGCAAACATCGTCGCTCCTGCCCATCGCGCAGTCTGCACCGAGTTCTCCTCCTGGAGTGATGAGAATGGCGAAAGCGCAAAGCAGCCAAGCGCAAGCGACGGGAGGTCGATCGGGCGGCATAGTCGGTACGCAGGGCTTCTTAATAGTACGTATGACAGGCAGCTTAGCATCTGGCGCTGTGTGAGAGCAGCGGCGGACGCAGACCTGCGGATCGACCGCGAGACAGCAACGTTGTGCTCTTTCACAACCTCCGCTGGGCTCCTTTGCTCGCTTGAGAACGCTTTCGTCGACAGAACAGTCCCGCCAACTAGCCGCGCCAGCCGCATAAACCGCCCAACCTCTTCCCGTCCTCCCCTCGCCTCGCCGCCCCACCTCGACCTTTCCGCACTTCACGCCGCAGACAGGCATCCGACGCCCTGTGCAACGCCTTGTGAACGACCTGATCGACTTCCAGCCGGTCCCGACATGCAGGACTACGACTCAATCATCATCGGCGGCGGACCAGCCGGTTTGACAGCCCTCAAGACGCTCACCGAGAACGGCTTCGAGTGCATCCTCTTCGAAGCCGAGTCCGACGTCGGCGGCACCTTCAAGTACCGATCCTACGAGAACGCCGAGCTCGTCTCGTCGAAACAGCTCACCGCCTTTTCCGACTTCCGCTTCCCGCCTGACCAGTCCGACCATGTCTCGCTGCCGCAGTACGTCGAGTACTTGAAGCGGTACTGCGACGAGTTTGAGCTGTGGAAGGGGATCAGGCTGGAGTCGAGGGTTCAGAGCGTGCGACGAGGGAAGGGAGGAGAGGGACATGTTGTCGAGGTCCAGCACGCCGGCGAGGACGGCACGAAGCAGTACCGCTGCAAATACCTAACCATTTGCACGGGTTTGCACGTCACGCCTCAAGTCCCGCACATCCCCGGCATCGAAAACGTCACGTCGAACCCGAACAAGCAGGCGATCCATTCGTCCGAGTACAAGAAGCGTGAACAGCTCGTCGGGAAGAAGGTGCTCATCCTTGGGACGGGCGAGACGGGCATGGACCTCGCGTACGAGTCGATCAAGGCGGGTGCGAAGGAGGTCGTCCTGTGTTCGCGAGGAGGGTGAGGCGGACGGCTCCCGAAGTAGCCCTCCACCAGGCTGACGGTTCTGCCTCGCAGCTTCCTTTCCTTCCCCAAGGTGCTCAACAACTTTTCGATCTTCGGCAGCGAGTTCAATGGCCACCTCCCGATCGACGGGCTAATCACCAACCTCTTCGAGAGCGCCTAGTCCGTCTCGCCACTTCTCCTCCTCTCCCTTCAAGCTGCTGACAGTACATCCTCACAGCGTCCATCCGTGGGTCGCCGCCTCGCACCTCCGCTGGTTCGTCAGCGACTTTGTGATCAAGCGCGTCCTGTGGGCTTTGACGGGCACCTCGGCGGGCTGCAACCAATGGGTTGGCGAGCTCCCTCCCGAACGTCTCGGGCGCGCCTACGTCTTCCTCAACAAGTCGCACAAGGCTTCGACGTACCTCAACCGCCCGTACCGCAAGCGGTCAAAGTGGCTCTCGGCGTTGTCGGAGTACCATGACCCGCCGGAAGACGTCGCGACGCCTGGAGTGGTCGAGATGGCGCCTTGGCCGGTTGGGTTCGACAAGGATGGCGTAGTGCAGTGGGATTGGGACAAATGCGCGATGAGGGGCGGGAGCTGGAAGAAGGTGAAGGAGCGGTTGCAGGACAGGCGGATCGAGCCCGAGTGCGTTTCGACGCTGCTTCGAATCGACCCGCGACTGACTCTTTCTCGCACAGCCTCGTCCTCTTCGCTTCCGGCTACAAGCACGAGTTCTCCAAGTGGCTCTCGCCGGAATACCCTCGCGCCTGGGACGCCGACGTCCGCGACATCGTCTGCTCCTCGACGCCCGACGTCGCCTTCATCGGCTTTGTGCGTCCGGGTGTCGGCGCGATCCCGCCCATTGCGGAGATGCAGAGCATGTGGTGGACGGCGTACCTCAAGGGGTGGATGAAGTTGCCGACGGACCCGCCGCATTACTACCTCCTCGCCTCGGAGATCGCGCGCATCAAGGTGCGTTGCCGTGAGTTTGCGCACGAGCTACTGTCGCTGACGCGTAGCGCTCGCGCAGCACGGCGTCGACCACTCGACGTACCAATCGACTCTCGCGCGCGACATGTCCGCCTCGCCCTCTCTCTGGTCCCTCCTCACGACCCACGGGCCCTTCGTCACCCTTATCTACTGCTTCTCCGCTGCCTTCACCTCGCACTACCGTCTCGTCGGGCCCTTCAAGTCCGACTCTGCGCCGAAAGTCGTCAAGACCGAGATCTGGGACACGGTCAAGAGGCGAGGGTGGATCGGCAACATCTTCATGGGCGTGATTCCGATGGCTTTCTATGCGCTTGTCAACGTGCGTTCGCTCGCTGCATCGTGTTTGAGCTGGGCTGACCCTTGCTTGCTCCGCAGCTCGCCGCCCTCATCCTCGAATTCCTCTGGATCGCCGCTGGCCGCCCGGACGTCCTGGGTTCCTACGCGCGACTGACCGGCAAGCCCAAGTCGAAGGCATTGGGCGGGATCGACCGGCATTCGCAGATGGATGTGCGGGAGAGAAAGCAGAAGAGGATGGCGGAGGAGGAGGCGGAGGTCGTCCCCAACTGAGGGATGCGCTGAGGTTGGGTTGCAGGCGGTGTGAATACGGATAACCTCGTATTGCTCGCACGGTACTCTTGCTGACATGGTTCGGCAGAGAGGAGTCGCGAGAATCGCCTGGCCTTCTCAATCGCGCTTCCCGACTTTCCAGCGTCTCATTCTCGTCGCTCTTCAGAGCAAACCCCTTTGTTCTTGCTTCCAGCGTCTTCAGTTCGACGTTGCGCAGACGCAGAGCTCGATGCTAGAGTCGTGTGTGCGGTTCACCATCCTTAACGGCGCTTTCCGCGTCGAAGATACCGTTCGACTTCGTTCTTTGTTACTGCTCGCTCGCGAATGTATGCCAGATTGCGGCTTGAGGAGGGTGACGCGTCCCCCGAAAGAGCAAGAGAAAAGACAGGGGAACGTCGTCGACGTCACGAGGTTGTCGGCGCGAGGGACGAGGAGCCTCTCGCTTCTTGTCCTCTTCCCCTTCACGGATTCACCTTTCCTACAAACTCAAGCACAACTAGGTGAGCTGACTCGACGTCTACGCACGCTCGCCTGCACGCCAGAGCTGACCGCGCACGCCGTTCTCCCCTGCGTCGCCCCGATCTCGCACCGGGTTCCCATCGTCGTCTGTCGCCATCTGCAGCCATGTCTGGACTCTCGTCGCCCTCGTCGCTCATCACCGCCAACGCCCAGTCGACGGCCATCAACGTGCGTCCCCTCCTCCGCCTCGTCCACCCTCGTCGACCCCCTCGATGCCCCACTCTCGGCATCACCCTCGATCCTCGATCTCGCTGACTCTCCTGCTCGCTCTGTGTGCTGCCGTGTGTGCGCAAACAGGTCTACTCCATCGCCAAGATCGGCATCGGATTGACCGGCCTCCTCCTCCCCGCCTTTGCGACCACCACCTCGACCCCCTTCAAGTGTGCGTGCGGTCTCTCGCTGCGTCTGCAACGACGTTGGGTGACGTTGGACAACGTTTGCTGACGAAAACCTCGTCGAGACCGCGCAGACGCCGCCCGCGGCCAGCTCAAGGCTTCGAAGCCCACCGCCAACACCGTCAACCCTGCCCCGGGACACCCGGCTGAGGGTTCCTTGGCCATCAGGCTCCTCGCCTCGAGGGATGTCGTGCTTGGATTGTTGATGAGGGACACGACCGCTGCTGTCGTCGTTCGCGCCCTCCGTAGGTCCCGACTCGTTCTTCAAGCTCTTGCTCGGCGCTCTTCACTGACGCCGCTTTCTTTCTGGACGAGCAGAAGCCGACGTGATGATTAGTGCGCTGGAACTTCTGTCGACCGGTGCAGGCTACCTTGAGGGCTCCCTCTCGAAGGAGACCGCTCTCTCCGTCGCGGGTGCGTCTCCCTCCGCTTTTCCCTCACTTCCTCGCGCTCCTACTGACGACCTGATTCATGTAGGCTTCTCTGCCACCTTCGCGGCCTTCGCCTTGTACATCCTCAACTACTAAGCGCCTCGCAAGACCCGGATCTCTCGACTCGGTTCTCTTTCGGCACCTCTGACTCGTCTGTGGACGCAAGCACATGCTCTGTAATTACAAGCAGTACTCCCGATCTCACTGCATGTCGCGATGAGCTGGAAGCGCTCGCCGTCGTCCGCGTTTGCCCGCGAAGGCCTGACGCCGCCGTTCCGCTTACTCGCTTTCCACCTTGTCGAGCGAGCGCTTACGCTTTAGCTACGCTGGCTCGGAAGCGTAGATGTCAACCACGTTGAGCTTGAATTCGCAGAACACGCGCACTTCGCACGATACTTGGTGGATGCAAAGGTGCGTCTTTCGCAAACACCCAACTACGCCCCCGGGTCCTTCTCCCACACCTCTGGCATCGGGTATGCTTCCTTCATGCGCTCGAGCCAGCCGGCAAAGCGCTCGTCGACGTCGAAGATGTCGTGCGCCAGTTTGGCAGACACGGAGCGGATGAGGCGGTAGCCGGACAGAATGGTAAAGTCCTGCAGGGGCAAGGGAGATCAGCAAGGCTCTTGCTATAATCGGTGAAAGGCGGACAAACTGCGTAGCCCGGCTTCGAAGGTGAGGAGAAGAATAGCCCGCTGCTGGCAAGGTGGCGAGCCGTCAGTGTCGCTATCTGCGTCTGCAGCTGCTGAACGACTTTAGCTGCGTGAGCAAGGTCAGCGGGCAGGCAACTCAAAGCCAGAGAGAGGGCCCCAATGGTACCTTCATCCTCAGCCGTCCTCGACGAGATGTACGCCCAAACGCCTTGCCCGAGGCGTGCGTCGCTGGTCCAATATGCTCGTGTCTGTTGTTCAGAGATGTCAGTCACCCATCCAGACTAGCTGCGTTGGAACTCACCTCTGTGTCGAGCAACTTGGCTATGCGAGGAGCGTAAAGGCTGAAAAGCGCCTTCGGCGGTGCCACCTTTGCGAAGTCTGCATTATACGAGGACGAGTGCTCAGGCAGGACTCGCGAGGGACTAGGTGCTTCGACGGACCTGCAGCACCCTGCCTTGCCGTCGAGTATTCCGCAGAGTCGAGGTCGACGGGCGAACCAGCGTCGGGGAGGAACAAGTTTGGCCTGTCTGGGTACTCCTTGTCGAGATACGCCGCTATGTCGTCACTGTCCATCGAATACGAGCCATCCTCCCGTTGAATGAAGGGAGCTGAGCGCGAGCGAGCGGTCAAAAGGCAGCTGCGAGTCGCTGCAAGCGCGAGTGGAGTAGGAAGCGCACCCGTCGCCTTCTGCACGCCGAGCTTGTCCTTCCAGATGAAGCGCAAGTCGTGGTACGTGACTTCCTCGACCTCGAACGGCAGCTGTTTGTGGATGAGCGCGAGGCGAGTGCGAAGACAAGAGGGCGAGAAGAAGACGCCGCCCGGCTGAGGCACGAGGTCGAACAGCTTGATGGGCATCAGGAGGAGCGGTCAGAGCGGTGAATGAGGCTCGTGAGTGAGAGGAGGAGGGAGAAGAGCAGCTCGCTCGCTGAATCAGCGCGATGCGGGGCCCAAGCGGCGGTCCAGCCGACAGCAGTGTGCTCGTAGCGATGAGAGCGAGCAGCTGAACCGAGTGCAAGAGCGTGCGAGCCTTGCGAAGGCGTTGCGGGAGTCGGCGCGAGCGGGAAGGACGAAAAGGACGAGGTGCGGGAACGCGATATGATTGAGCAGCCCGGGCAATACAAATGATACAGAAGTACAACAAGAACGTCGAGTCTTCACGGCTCCGTCCCTCGGTAGAACCCATACCCACGCAGCGCGAAAGCCTGGTCCGGATCCAGCCTGACCACTCCCGTCTCCGCCTCATAGTCCCGCCAAAGCCGCACCATCTCGGTCAGCCGCTCCGGTTCGTCATCGGCGAGGTCGCGCGTCTCGCCAGCGTCCGAGGCGAGGTTGTAGAGGCTCCATTTGGCGTCTTTGCCCGGGATCCAGACGGCTTTCCAGCTGCGCGGGCGTGCGACGGTTAGCGCAGGGTGGACGAAAGAGAGGCAAGTGTACTCACGGTCCTTGTCGGATAGCAGACTGTCCGAAGACTGCGAGACGCAGCCCAGTCAGGCCCTGCGAAGGTGAACGAGCGAGAGAAGACGAAACTCACGCTCCCAACCGTGCACCGCGTTGTCGTCGTGAACGTACTCGGCCTTGTTCGTCAAGTACTTGACCCACGAGCGTCCGCGCGGCTGGAGGACCTTGCGGCCGCGGTACTCGGGCGCAGGGTGAGGAATGTCGGCCATCTCGAGCTGCGGGAGGAGAGTCAGGTCGAGCGAGGAGGAGAAAGCGACAAGCACGCACGATGGTCGGGAGGACGTCCATGATGGTGCAGAACTCGTGCGAGATCTCGCCGTTGCGGAAGTTCGGGTAGCGGAGAAGCGCCGGACAGCGGATGCCGCCTTCCGTGATCCAGGCCTGCGCGAGCGAGGATCAGCGAGCGATGCAGGACAACGAAACTGATAGCGCACCTTGTACATCCGGTTCGGCGCCGTCGCAGCCTGCGCCCAAGCGGGTCCGATCGACGTGAACGAGTTGTAGCGGCCGATATTGTCGAGACTGTTGTCGAAGAACCGCTCGATCGTCTTCTGGAACTCTTCGCCGAGGACGGGCAGCGCCTCGAGCATGGCTCCCTCGGCGCCGTTGTCGCTGCAGAAAAAGATGAAGGTCGACTCGTAGGTGCCGGTCTCCTTGAGCCACGAGACGACGCGGCCAATCTCGGCGTCCATGACTAGCGAGCAAGCGGGTCAGCAAGCGTTGAGAGGAAGAAAGCAACGCAACGCACCCTCGATCATCGCCGCGTACACCTCCATCTTGCGCGCAGAGACGGCCTTTTCCTCGGCCGTCATCTCTGCCCAAGGCTTGTCCTCGAACGTCGACACGATCGGCAGCGACGTGACGTCCTCGTCGACGAGCCCTTCGCGCTTGAGCGCTGCGAGTCGGCGTTGCCGAAGCGCCTCGGGTCCGTCGTCGTACTTCCCGCGGTACTTGGCGACAATTTCGGGCGGCGCCTGCAGCGGCCAGTGCGGCGCGGTGTAGGGCAAATACGCGAAGAAAGGCTTGGTCGAGTCGTGCTCCTCGAGGTAGCCGAGCATGCGGTTCGTAAAAGTCGTGGTCGAGTAAAACGGCTTGGCGAAGGTGCGGTGGTCGACAAAGTTGCCGTCCTCAACGTAGATCGGCGGGAGGACTTTGACGGCGGGCGTGCCGTCGTCGAGGTAAGGCTCGTATCCGTAGTGGTTGCCGCCGCCTGGGAGCAGACCAAAGACGCGGTCAAACCCACGAGCGTGAGGAAGGCTGTCGGGCGTCATGCCGAGGTGCTGTGCGTGGAGGCATCAGCTCACAATGCGATAGAGTAGAGGAAGTGCTCGCACTCACCCACTTGCCGCTCATGTAGGTCCCGTAGCCGTTGTCCTGCAGGATCTCGCTCAATGCGGCGACCCGCTGGTTGAGCATGCCCTCGTAGCCGGCCTTCCCCTGGAAGACCTCGTTCTGAGAGATCGTCTCGGCCATTTGGCCAAGTCCAGCGAGGTGGTTGTCCGTGCCCGAGAAGAGCATCTGCGAAGGGAAGAAGGAGGAGGTCAGGTTGCAGCCCAAGGAAACCGAATGGTGGCGACGTGGGCACGTACTGAGCGAGTTGGAGAGCACGCCGACGCAGTGTGAAAGCCAGAGAGACGCATGCCCTCCTTGGCGAGAGCATCAAGGTTGGGAGTTGCGACTTCTCCGCCGAAGCAACCCAGGTCAGAGAAGCCGAGGTCGTCGGCGAGGATGAGGAGGATGTTGGGCTTGGTCGTGAGTGCAGGCATCGTGCGCAGTGAGCCAGAAGTAGCGGTACGAGAGCAAGTTGTGTTAGCGAGGAGGAGGGCCTCGAGACGAGCGAGAACTGGACGGGGCGTGGAGCAACTCGTAGTCCGACGTCGAGAAGCATCCCCGCAGCGGGACTGGCTGCCCAGCGTGGGCGCACAAGCGACGCAGGCCAAGTGTGGGTGGTCAGGCCGTCGTCCGGCCGGCGCTCGTCCTCAGCTCGCGCGAACAAGTCGCTTCCGCCGCCGTCCACCCGCTTGTTGGCTTCCGTGCACGACGGAAAGGCAACGGCAGAGTCTTGGCTACGAGTCACGCGAGCGCAGCGGGCTGCAGGACCTCGCAGTGGTGAGGGGACGAGGCGACAGCGGGACGGAGAGGGTGGGGGGTCCGCTGGCTCGATGCACGCCGCGCGAACTTGCTTCCAGCCGGGTGCTTCTTCCTGCGGATTGTCTGATTGTCTGCGTGCCCCGCCTGGAGCCCCTTGTCGACTGCCAGCCCTCCGCTGCTTCCTCCTCGTCTCCCTCACTCGCTTCTTCTCACACAAAGTGCTTCTTTTGCCATGCTACCCGACTACGACCGCAAAGACACGATGGACGACGAGAAGGCCACCGAGACTCGCATCGAAGACACGACGAACGCCACAGTTGAGCCCGTCTACAAAGTCTCTCCTCGCGCTATCGGCTGCGTCGTCGGGGCATCCTTTGCCCTGTTCGCCGCAACGTTTGGTGTGACTTCGACGGGCGTGTACGCCGCTTCCATTGGCGTCGGAGCGGGCGACGCAAGCGCCACGCCTTGGTTCTCCAACACCGCACAGGTCCGCCCTCTCTTTACCCTGACTGCAAGGTGGTCGCTGACGCCGCAGTGACACACACAGATCTGCCAAGCCATCCTTGGACCGCTCTTCTCGCTCAGCGCCGACCTTTGGGGCCGCAAGCCCTTCATGGTCGTCGGACTGGCGGTCGGCTGCATCGGCGGTATCGTCACGAGCACGTCGCACATGCACCAAGTTGCCCTCCTCGGCGCCGTACTCACCGGCATCGGTTTCGCGACACAAGGCTTATACGTCGCCGTCTGCTCCGAGGTCATGCCTCGCTCGCAGAGGCCCAAGGTTCAGGCCGTCTTGAACGTCGTCGGCTCGTCGGGCGGCGCTTTCGGCATCGCGGCTGGCGGGCTTTACGTCAAGTATAACGTCGTTGGCGCAGGATGGAGGATGGCGAGTCCCGCGCTCTTCCCGCTTGTCGACCTTCCTGACCAGGTTTCCCTTCCGCAGATCTATGCTACGCTCGCCATCGTCTGTGCGTGACACCTCCGCTTCGTACACGATGGCCACTGACCGCTTCCTTCCCAGACGGACTCGCCTCGATCACCATTCTCCTCTGCTACCGCCCGCTCCAGAAGCGCCCGGACGTCTCGGCCGTCTTCCACCAGCGCAACCCCGCCCTCGTGCTCGACCTCGTCGGCGTTGCGCTTCTCCTCTGCGGCATCCCTCCGCTGTACTACGGCTTTGTGTCCGCACTCAACCCGTACAAGTGGTCGGACGCGCATGTTCTTGCACCGCTCCTGACCGGTGTAGCCGGCCTCGTCGCCTTCGGCTTTTGGGGTGAGTCGTCCTCACTTCTTCACCCTCAGCTGCTGGGCTGACCCTCTTCTCCGCAGAATGGAAGGGCAACAAGGAGGGTCTCCTCCACCACGCCCTCTTCTCCAAGTCCCGCAACTACGGCCTCTCGCTCGCCCTCCTCTTCCTCGAAGGCATCCTCTTCTTCTCCTTCAACGCCTTTTGGTCGCGGGAAGCGAGCCTGATCCTCGGTCTGCCAGCTTGGGTGAGCCCCGACTCGTACTGCTCGCTTTACGCGTACTGACCTGTTTCTTGAGCGACAGCTTGCCGGTCTCAATTTCCTGTGGTTCTACATCATCAGTGTGAGCCTCGTCTGCTCCTCCTTTGTTGTCGCTGGGACTGAAGCGACTCTCCTCGCAGGTTCTCGCTACTCCCGTCTTTGGTTGGGCGTCGCAGCGCTTTAAGGAAGTGCGTGGCGGTTTGACGGTCGGGTTCGGACTCTTCTTGGCGGCGAGCAGTACGTAAGATCTATCGCTTGCATCCGGAGCTCTCTGACGGTCCGCTCGCGCAGTCGGCATGGCAACCGTCAACCCCGGCAGCCGCATCGCCTTCCGCGCCTACGCCGTACTCGGCGGTATCGCCTTCGCCAGTCCGCTTACCCTCATGTCCGTCTGCGCTCAACTCGCCGCCCCGCCCCAACTCCTCGCCCTCGCCTCGATCAACCTCCTCGTCTCGCGCGCTTTGGGCGGAGTCGTCGCCGTTGCATGCTACAACGCCGTGACCAAGACCAGGCTCGCCGCAAACCTCGGACCTCGACTGGCGGCGGCCGTCACGCCGCTCGGATTCCCTGCGAGCGAAATGGAGGGCCTCGTCCAGGCCGCCCAGCTTTCTGGACCGCAAGGTGTCGCCGCGCTCAAGCAGCTCAACGGAATGACGCCAAGCATTATCGAAGCTGTGCAGGCTACCATGCCGCAGATCTACGCCGACAGCTGTGCGTTCACTTTTCCTCCCCCTCCTCACCTGGAAGCTGACGCATACGTCTCCAGACCGCTGGGTATGGGTCATCGCCGCCCCCGTCGCACTTATCGCCATTGTCCTCATCTGGCAGCTCGAGCCTATCGCGCCGATGATGACCGCACGCATCGACGCTCCGGCGGACGTAAAGGCGGAGGCGCAGTCGTCGCTCGAGCGGGATGTCGAGACGCTCTGAATGGATCGAGAAAGTAGTCTGTACCTTCCCAAGTTGTGCTGTCTGTATCTGCTGAGTACAAAAGAAGCGATTCGTCGGTCGCGGACTTGGAGAGAAAGAGGCCCTCCTGGCTGTTTGATGATGCGCACCGAACACCCCTCGATGCTCAGCCGACTTGCTCAACGTTCATGTTACGTAGGGGTACAACAGGCAAGAGAAAGGGAGTGAGTTCACGCAACAACATTGAGATCCGCCTCCAGTCTTCAACCCTCTCGATTCCTAAGCACTTCACCATTACTCCTTACACCCGCCTCATGTGCTACCCGGCGTCGACGTCCCGCTCGCCTGAGCCGACCCAGCCAACCCAACGCTTCCCTCGTCGTCAGGTTGACGGACTGGGATGCGAACGAGTTTGTCGGGGAGCGTGCCGGGAGGCAGGACGACGTTGTTGACGTCTGCCTCTGTGGGCTGTGGCGCGGACGGGTCCGAGGGAGTGGCGAGTGCTGCGCGCTTGTCGGCGAGAGAGGCTGCGCGAGAGAAGGGTGAGGGTGAGGGAAACAAGGAAGGCAGAGGCCAACGCACCGAGTGCAAGACCAGTGACACGGAAGACGTTCTGCCAGTGTTCGACGACGTCTCCCACAGCTGTATGCGTAAGAACGAGCGGAGTTAGCACACTGTCAACAAGACGCGTCTCGCTGAAGGAGGACGACGTACCCTCCGAACCGCCGTCGAGGACCTCGTACTTGTCGGCAAAGCTGTCCAGGAAGTGTGCGAGGTGTTCTGCGTGCGCACACACCTGCGCGAACGCCGTGTACTCGCGCTGTTTCTCCATCAGGAGGGTCGCGGCGGGCGAAGGCGACGACGACGAGGCGGATGACGCGGCGGACGAGTTGAACGCGCCCGGGTAGAGTGACGAGCGGTAGGACATAGTCTGCAGTGCCAGCTAGCCCTCTCCAGCGCAGTCGAGCAGGCGTCACGAGCGAACCCGCGAACCCTCCTCGTCCTCATCTCTCAACCACGAACGACCCACTCGACAACGCCGGGAGGGCTCGCTGTGCCATGAGCTCACTCTCCGACTTGATCAACGACACGCTGCAGCAGGCGCAGGAGATCTCGCTGCAGGCGTGGAACACTGTCTTCCCCGAGGAGCTGAGCGAGTTGCACGACCTCCCCGCCAACATCCACGCCTCGTTCCGCACCTTGGTCGACAAGATCACGAACCAGGGCACGCTGCCGATCCCCGACCCGCGCGGCTGGCTCCCAGACCAGCTCAATCCCTCGACCCCTCCTCCTCCCCCACCTGCACCCGCATCGAGCAGGGCATCGTCCTGGCTCCGCGCACTCGGCTCGCATGCCGCAGAGCACCCGCTCGTCTACTCGGCAGTCGCAGTCGGAGTCACCGGCGGCGCATCGTACTACTTCTTCCCGCAGGCCACCCTCGGCGCCGTCTCGCCTCTCGCCAGGCTCGTCCCGCTCGCCATCCTCCCAGACCCGAAGAACCGCCCGCTCCGTCTCTTGCCAGCGACGCACGGTGTCGCAGGAGAAGTGAGGAAGGAGGCCATCGTCGTCCTTGGCGCAGACTCGCCGCAGGGAAGGGAGATCGCACTCGACCTCGAGCGAAGGGGCTTCGTCGTTGTTGCGACCGTCAGCGAGCCTGCCGAGGCCGACGTCCTCGAGAAGCTTGGACGGGGCTGGATCAAGGTGCTCGTGCTCGACGTCAACGAGGTGCGCCCGCTCCGCCTCCTCCCTGTCTTGAGCGATGCTGACCCGCTCATGTCTCGACAGTCCTCCTCGGTCTCGCCCTTCCTGCGCTCCCTCTCGACTGCCCTCTCCCTCCGCTTCCCGCTTCACTCGTCGGGCGACCTCTTTGCCCGCCCCGCCCAGGCCCTCGCCCTCACCGGCGTCGTCAACTGCCTCTCGCTGACCTCGCTGCCTGAATTGCCGTGCCCGCTCGAGGCGATCGAGAACGACCAGGCGAGGAAGCTTATCGGCGAGCGAGTCACGACTGTTATCGGTGTCGTCAAGGGCTTGCTTCCGATCTTGCGGTCGGCGGCCGCTCGTCCTGGAGCACCGACCGGGGTCCTCGTTACGCTCGGTACGTACGACGCAATCAACGCGCTTATATGACGCTCGCTGACAATCTCTCGTCCCCTTACGCAGTTCCTGCCGCCAGCTCGAACCTCGCCATCCCTTTCCACTCGCTCACCTCGGCTGTCAATGCCGCCATCTCTTCACTCCTCCACTCGCTACGGCGCGAGGTCACGGCATCGTCCACGAGCAACGTCCAGATCACCCTCCTTGAAGTCGGCTTCTTCCGCGACTCGACCATGAACCCTCCCGCTGCGGCGGCGCTTCCGATCCGCCTCGAATCGGTTTATGCACCTGCACTTGCGCGGCGAGTCGCCCCTGCTTCGGATGCGGGTGTTCGTGCTAGCTCGAGGTGCGCGAGGAAGGGAAGCGAGATGCGAAGGTTGAGCAAGAGGGTTTGGCAGATCCTCGTGCGGCCGACTCACGCTGGCGCCGTCGAGCGCATCGGCTCAGGATGTGAGTGCTCGCTGCTGTCTTGGTGAGCTCGCAGCACTGACGCTTGCCTCTCGCAGCCCGCACATACCTCCTCGTCTCGTACCTCCCGCATGCCTTCGTCGACGTCTGCCTCGCCGTTCAGGACCGCCTCTACGGCGTCTACCTCTCGCACCTCCGCCACATCCTCGCCTCGAGCCGCTGGTCCCGTCTCACCTCCCTCACCTCGCGCTCCTCGCGCCCAAACCGGCCACTCCCGACTCCCCCAACTCAGCAACAAGCAGACCACCCATCCTCGCTTCGCCCATCCGCTCCCGCTGCTGCGGCGCCTTCGCAAGTCCCCATTGGCGACCCATTTGTCCCTTCGCCAGCTGCTTCGACACCGGTCGACAGCGAGCACGAGGACTCGAGCAGCCAGAGCAGCATCGAGGACTTCCCTCTCGGCGCTTCGACGGCGAGCATGGGCGGCAGCTTTGTCAGTGTCGGCAGGGACGAGGCGGAGGGCAGGTAGGCGATTGCGAGGCGGACGAGCGGCTACTCTCGACTTTTCACTTACGGTTCGTGACCCTTGTATCCTTTCCGGCTGTACCTCCCTCTTCTTCGCGCTTCGTCCCGTTCGTTGTAATCAGTGCGTTTGGTTCGCATTCGCACTTCGTTCGACCTCGCCGTATCGAGCTTCTCTTGTTCCGTTCGCTCGGTCTCTTTCGCGCGTAGCCTTTCGTACGTCCCCTCACTTTCTCCTGAGTGCACCGCTGACTGACGAACGATCGTACAGGAGACGCGCAGGAGGCTGACGAGCGACACGGACTTTCCGCGGACTTGGCGTGCTCTTCCCGCCTTGCTGTCTCTCTTCTCCCTCTCTCCCTTCTCCGCCACTTTCGCGCTCATCTCTCCATCTGATTGACTTTGAGCAGCGCACTCTCGCCTTCCACATCGCCGCCCATTCCTCCTCCTGCTACACCCGCCATGAGTCGCCCTCCGAGTCGCCAGCATGCCGAACCAGAGGTCATCTGGTCAATGCCGTGCGCAGAGATGCTCAAGGAGGTCGTCCGGCTGATGAATGCCCACAACCCTCATGCGCCGCTCGGCTTGACTCCGATCGAGCAGGAGGATGTCAACCGATATATGCAGCTGGCGAGTCTTGCTGCGCTTGAAGAAGTGCACAGCGAGGAAGTGACGACTAATGTCCCTCTCATAGGCTTGGAACCACCGTCGTGAGGGGAAACTGCTTCCAAACGGCTCGTCAGGTCCGTTCCTTATTTCTCTTCTCTCAGCAGGCTGTCGAGTTGACACACGGTAGCTGCAGAACACGAATGGCCTCCCACCGAGGCAATGCTCGAGCACTGGCCGCGGACTCATCGTGTCGAATGGATTGAAGAAGTCGTGAGTATTGAGTTTGTGCGAGACCAAGCGTAGGTTCAGCTTCTCTTCTGCTTCAGCACCTGCGCTGATCACCTTGCGGTCTCTCAGTATCAAACGCGTCAAGCAGCAGAGCACGGATATCCTCTTTGACCCGAGCACAAAGGCTCTACCCTTCGTCAAGCGCAGCGGGTCGGTGAAGCTCGCTCGTCGCAGCACTTTGCAAGCAGGCTAATCCTGCGGTACATATCGCAGTCGGAAACATCCCGAGACTCACCGCTTCACTGTCGCCGACTGTCTCGCTGGCTTCCATCACTTCCACGACGCTCCAGGAGGGTTCGCAGAACAAGAGGGAGGAGGTTTCTATGTTCATCCGTGCGTCCTCACGCTCTTTTCATGACGACAGCCTTGACTGAGGTTGGATTGCGCAGTTCGGGGCGCCCATCCTCGACCCATTCGTCGCCCATCTCGTCTCCCGTCGCGGCCTCACCGCCGCGATTGACCAGTCGAGTGTCCGGCTACTGGGGGGAGATGCCGGCCGACATGTCGGAAGCTGGGCGAGCACATCGAGAAGGACGCCCTACATCCTCGCACTCGGCCCACCATCGTCCGCAACTTGAGGAGCGACCGGCTTCCCCCGCGCGACACGGCGAGCAGCATGCTTATGAGGCGTACCCTGCTCCGCCACGCCACCAGGGACAAGGCGAGGGTTCTGCCAGCTCAGCATGGGAGCGCGTTGGCCGCCGTCAAAACTCAGTTGAAGCGCAGGAGCTTTTCCGCCACAACTCGCAACCCCCAAATCACCTTCACCAGACGAAGTACGTAACTGGACATCGTGGTTCTGCTACGTACTGATCCTCCTGATTACACAGCACATTGCCTGTTCCGCCTTCGCACGCCCTTCACCACTTTCGCTCGAACCCGGACATGCCGTATCGCGCCTACACCGACCCGACGCAACACGCGGTGAGAGCGCTATCAACTTGAACTGTCAGTAGAGCGCTACTGATGCGCGGATGGCTCGCTGAGCAGACTCAGCATCACCACCAAGAGGGCCCGCTCCCGCCTCATCCCGCGCATGTTCCGCAGCCGCGCACGCCGGGCCTGCACCACCGCGTTCTGAGGAAGGCTAGCGGATTCTTCAAATCGTCTAGGCGTTGAAGACAGGATGAGCGTGACACTCCAACTCGATGAGAGGGAAGACCTCCGTTCCAACTCCTTGTAGCTCTGCACAGACACTTCCGCGCTAGACCGCCGAATACAGCTTTAGTTGTACGAGACTTAGGTAAGGCGAATTGCGAGAGAAGGCTGGACGCTACAACACAGGGAGATGCGAGGAGGGTACAGGCGAGCGAGTCTAACAAAGGTGGGCGAATACGGATCGTGCGGCAGAGCGTAGCGTTCAATCGGCCATGCTGGCGTCGGCGGAAGGCGGTGCTGTCTGTTCGTGCAAGAAGGAATGCAGGTCGAAGGTAGGGTAGGTCTGCGAGCAAAGCGCAGGTCAGCAGCAGATCCGGGAGTAATGGCGCAGTGCGAACACACCTTTGGCGGCTTGGTCTTGCCGTTTGAGCCGTCCTTGCTACTCGACGAGCCGGTCTGAGGCGGGAAGATGACGTTCATCTCGCGCAGGGTCGTCCAGCAGGCGGTCGCTTGTCGAGCGGCGAGCGAGATGAGCGGGAGAGGTGTCCGGAGCGTATGTTCTACGGAGCGGACTATACCGTCAGCAGAGCTTCGGTCGTGTACGACGGAAGCAGACGCGACGCACGCAGGATCGCCGCATTGACCATCTCAGCGAGCGTCTCCCGCCTCGACTGCGCCAAGTACCCCTTTACCGGGCACGTCGTCAAGTCCTTGTACGCCAATAGGCCGCACACATCGATGCTCTCCCGCTCCCAGCCTTCACGCTCCTTCCCCAGCGGCAGCTTGAGAACCTTTTCCCGCAGCGCTTGCGACTGGGCGATCGCGACATTCAAGATGGACGACGAGCCGAGAGACGAGGTCGACGCTGACATGTCGGCGTCCGACTGGGCGTCGCCGTTCGTCGCCGAGCCGCCGAAACCGCCGTAGACGGACGAGGTGGGTGTCGAAGGAGTCGAGACGGCCGAAGTCGCGTGGGCCGTACGCATGAGTTCGATGAAGGCTTGCGTTTGGAGATTAAGAGAGAGGGTTTCGGGCGAGAGCGAGAGCGCCCATGAGCCGAAGCGAGCGCCAGTGATCGGGACAGGCGAGGGCGAGGGATCGGGAGAGACGAGGGTGGATGCGGGCGTAGGCTGGGAAGCGACGAAGAAGGTTTGCGGGGTACACCGAGACTGCTTCGGTGAGAGAGGATGTGTTGGCGCGAGTTTGGAAGGCGAAGAAGCTGGATCGGAGGAAGAGGCGGAAGAAGGCGCGAGGACGGAAGGGAAGTGGTCGTTCAAAAGGTCGACCGCATGGGTGACGCGCCCGCTCAAGATGGCGTCGCGGATGTCTGCGTCGGCCGCGTCAGCAACGTGAAGGGTGGATGAGGGACAGTCCGACACGCACTCCGCCGTATCCGCAGATCCCGCAAGTCATCCTTCGTCAGCAGAGCGCCTTCTGGCAAGTCTGCATCGTCATCTGCCTCACACGTTCCGTCCTCCAAGAAGGCGACGTTCTTCCCTGATCCGTTGGCGACGGTTGCTAAAGCGCCATCCAAGCCGCCGTCCGCATCGACGGATCCTGCGAAAGGTTCCGGCGTCGCCTCGACTCCTTCCATCGCCTCGACTGTACCATCTACTGCTCCCGCGCCGTTCGCTTCGCCTGTAGGTCCTTCCACCGAGTCTGACTTCCCTGAACCGTCTCCCCCACTTGAATCCGCTTGCGCCGACGCCTCTGCCAGCTCTCTCGCGAACGCAGTCGCCGTGTCGACGTAGCACGAGTTTGTCAAATAGTCGAGGACAAGCTGCCTGAGTTCGTCTGGCTGGAAAGGGGTGATGCTGCTCGTGGACGAGGGGTTCGGAGGAGCTGGCTTGGTCGGGGGAGCTGGCGCGGCGAGCGAGTCGTTTGGCGGTGGTGCTGCGTATGGCGGGGCGAGATGCAGGTGTGCTGATACGCTGACGAGGTTGCTTGTCCCGCCCGATGCGCTCGAGGACATGGTTACGAGCGATAGAGACGAGAGGAGGGGAGAGCGGGGCGAGGAGGGCACAGTTCGAGAAGGGAATCGTTCGAGTGGGTTTGTCCGGCTTCTAGCAGCGCCTGAAGAGCAACAGTAGCCGTCCCAGCCAGCAAGAGCGCGAGAGGCGAGTCGAGTTCTCCTCCAACCTGCGTCCATCAACGACGACGGGGTCAGTCGACGTCGCTCACCACGCTCAGCTCGAGCAGCGCTAGAAATGTTCTCAAGCGGTGCAGCGGGCACACCGCAGTGCACCACGCGCCGCTCAGCCCGCGCTTCCCGCGTTGCGTCCACTCTCACCTCAACCCAGGCGACCCCTCAGCCATCCCCGCCGCAGACAGCTCGCACGCTTGGGGCCAACTTGCAGGCGGTGCAGAGGGGTCTCACGGTATCGCCGGCGCCGAGCAGGAGGACAGCGAGGAGCGTGGCAGCCGCGTCGGATGTCGGGTCTGCGATGGATGTTGAAGAGGGCGCGACAGCAGCGGGGAGGAAGGACCAGGACAAGGTGCTCGTACGAGACGACAGTTACACGATCACGGAGCGCAAGGCGCTACCAGTGGAGGTCCAGCAGGCTGTTGCGGGTTCCGGCGCGTCCTTCCTCCTCTGCCTCGTTCGAAGAGGTGAGCTAACGTCTCGCTGCTCGCAGACGCCTATACTCAGCCAGTAAAGGCTGTGCTCGATCCCATCACCGGCTTCGCCTTGCTTGTCAGCAGCGAGCACTGCTTCGTCTGGAACTGGTCGAATGTACGCCTCATCCTGTTTGTAGTGTCGCGTCCAACTGATCCCATCATCGTCCGCAGCGCGTGGGCTCTACAACGACCTACGTCTTCCCCGTCCCGCCACAAGCGCCCTTCCCGCCCAATGTCGCCGCCTACTCTCCCCTCTCCTTCGCTTCTCTTGTTCCCTCGCCTTCGCAGACTGTCCAGCAAGCCGGCCAGCGCGAGCCTGGACTCGTGGTCGTCTCCAACGTCGGCACTGTGCGTTTCTGGGAATCCGTCAGCCTCTCCTTGTCTGGCGTCGACCGCTTCAAGTCGGCCTCATGCCCCTTGAACGAAGGCGAGCTGGTCAAGGATCTCAAGCTCGTTTCTCCGACGACCTACCTCCTTTCTACGACCCAATCTCGCCTCTTCGCCATCAACATCATCTCTCACGCCGGCCGCGCCGACCTTTCCGTCCGTCCCCTCGAGCGCTCGCTCGGCTGGGCAGGATCCGTCTGGTCCGCCGTCTTCGGCTCGAAGACGGTTGACCCGCGCGCCGGTATCCTCGCACTTGCACTGTCGCAGCCTCAGCCGAACGAGGCGGAGCGGACGGTCTATGCGGTGATGGAGAAAAATGTGCAGGTGTGGAAGGTCCCGGTGCGGAGCGAGGGAGGCGAGCGCCTCCTCGTCGAGCAGGACATCTTTGCGGGAGTACTTGAGGCGTTGGCGGGCGAGAAGATTGGCAACGAGCAATGGGCGCTGAACGAGGGCAAGGTCGAGATTGTCGATGCAGCGGTGACTGCGTGCGTGCTCTTGTCTCCTCGCCCAAGCAAATAGAGCTGACGATTCCGTGCCTCTGCAGGAGCGGACACCTTGCTGTCCTCATCTCGCACGTCCACGACGGAACTGCCTCCGACTCGCTGTCTTTCGCCATCGTCATGCTCGAAATCGGCACGTCCGCCAACAGCGTCGCAGTTGCTGGCTTGACGCACCTGACCTACCAGAGCGTGCGTAGACTCGTGCATCGCTGGGCGGACTTGCGCTGACTTTGCTTTCTACAGCGACCGGATCCTCGTCCCCTTTCGACACCTCGCCTAAGTCTCGGTGCGGGCGAGATCGCCTTGGTCGTCTTCGCCGACGCCGTCGTCATCGCTTCCATCGCGCACGACTCGACCTTCGAAGAAGCCTTCCCGCTCCGCAAGAACACGGACCGCTTTCTCGGCCTCTCGATGCCTTCTTACCTCCCTTCTCCCGCCACCGCCATCGAGACTCTCTCGCTCCTCACCTCCTCGCCCTCCATCTTCTCCGTCAGCGTCTCTCCTCCGCAAGGCCACAGGCTCATTGCGCCCGGCACCGAAGGCTACAAGACCCGCCGGCTGCTGACTCGCATCGAGCAGGCCGTCTTCTTCGGCACAAACGAGGCGCAGAACCCGCTCGCGTTTGATTTGCAGCCTGACTTTGAGGGTGACTTGGCGGTCGCGGCGGTTGCTGTCAGCTCCGGGATCCTCGCTTCCAGTTCGTCCGCTTTTCTCGTTCGAGTTGGGCCAGGATTGACGGGATGACCGTGCAGGTTCCGCCAACATGCCGCTCATTCTCGACCTGCGAGCCCAACTGGCCGACCGCGTCCACCGAGCAAAGGCCTTGATCGAGTACATCAATGTTAACGGACTTCTCGGCAAGGTTCGTCTTTGAGCACGAAGTCTCTCGCAAACTTGGCTGAGTAACTCTACCGTGCAGCTCCCGCAACATGCTCGCCGACAGCTGAGCTGGGACGCAGAACGTCTCGCCGCCGCTGTTGCTCTGTGGCACAACCAGAACGCTCGTCTCGGGTGTGTTGCTTTCGAAACGCTGCTTGCCGGTCGATCCCTGGCTGACATCATCATCGTCGCAGGTCCGGCTCGAGCCTCCTGTCCGACGCCATCCTGCAGTATATGGACGAGATCGGCGAGGGCTTTGGCGAGGACCCCTTGCGGCTGTTCTTCCGAACCAAGGCGCGTTCACGTCCTCTCGCTCACTCGCAACATTCCGCTGATTGGACCTGTACGACAGGTCTCGGGTCTGGGCAACGTGCTCGAGGAGGTGACGAGGCGTGCGAAAGCGGTCGCCGAGTCGACGCAGGCTTCCGCTGAGGAGAAGTCGATGCACTTGCGCGAGGCGAATGAGGCGGTCCTGGTGCGTCCCGCAATTCGCCATCCTACGCTCTGGACTCACACTCGCCTTTGGCAGCTCGCTTTGAACGCCGTCGCTCATCACCGCAAGGAAACGTCGTCCCACTACGGCCTCGACTCCTCCTCGATCCCCTCAGAACCCTGGTCATCCCGTCCGCTCCTCCTCGACAGCCTGCAGTGGCACTTCGAAGCGACGGACGGTCTTCTACGCGAGCGGGTGCGCGAGCTTGGCGCAAGAGTTGACGAGGAGCAGGCGCGATTCGGTCGCGGCGCGGACATGTCGGAGAAGCAGGCCATACAGGCTGAGCTGAAGACGCAGATGGCGGGTGTGGCGGAGCATGTGTTCTCGGCGTTCGAAGAGCGGTTGCTGTACCTCGAGACGTGCGTTGGCGGTCCTTCTCCTCGAATCCTTCGTCATTGACATCGCTTTTGAACAGCGTGAATGGCGACGCACCAGCACCTGAGCTGCGGCAACTACGGGAACGGTATCTTGAGGTCCGGCCACGCTTCATTCGCATGCTCGGTGAGTCGACCGCCAACGCTCACCAATGAAGAAGGACTGACTCGTTTCTTCTAGTCGCGATCGGCAAGGTCGCTGCAGCGTACGAGCTTGGCGAGCGACACAGCGACTTCGGCTCGCTCGTCCACCTCTCGAACGACCCGACTCACGGCTCGCCCTCTCGCATCCGCTCGTACCTCGACCAGTACCGCCAGGACTTCGCCTTCCCGCTCTACCGCTTCTACCTGGATCAAGGTTCGTCCTTCCGTAGCTGGGGAAGCGCACGTTCTGACAGCATTGCGTTGACAGGCAAGTTGCGCACGCTGCTCGAGCCGGAAGAGGCGCACCGCCCCTTGCTTACCGCTTTCCTCGATTCGACCGACAATAACAGTGCGTCGCTGTGCTCCTCTCTCATGCGAACAGCAGCTGACGCGTGACGCAGAGCTCGCTTGGATCAACGACGTCGCTATCGACCGCTTCGACCACGCCAGTCTCGCGCTCTCGACCGAGGCGGTCGAAGAGCCGTCAGTTGCGACGAAGAAAGTAAGTCCGCTCGGCCGCGCCGTCGCTGGGCAGCGTGCTGACTTGTCGTGCTATCGCAGCTCATGGTGTCACTCAGCAAGCTCGCGCAAGTCGCGCAGCTCGACCAGCAGGCGCTCGAGGGCGAGGACGTGCAACGAGCGCTAGAGGGTGAGATAACACGAGTGCTGATCTTCGCTGATGCCTGACTGACGCGCTTTTCGACGCAGCCGTCGACGACAACCTCGACCTCGTCAACACCCAGCAGAACCTCTCGACGTTCTTCAGCTCGCTGCTGTCCGGCACCGAGATGCGCATGCCGTCGACGGAACAAGGCGAAGTTGTCGCTGCCCGCATCGCTCCCGCCCTCACCGACCGACCAGCACTCAGTCAGCAGCTAGCGAATCTCTGCACGCGGGTCTTTGCCGACGAGTCGATCTCTCCCGAAGACCTGATCGACATCCTCTCGCTTAAGGAGAACAACAACGAGCATGCGAGCGACTTTGCCGCCAGTCTCGACGTGCTGTTGCGAGCGAAGGACTTGCCGGATGCTCGTCGGAGGGTTGCGCTCGAGAACGTCTGGCGCCGGGTGTATATCCAGGACGAGTGCGTGCGACTACCCGAGCACAACATGGGCTTTCCACTGACGCTTTGCTTCGCAGCTGGGCGGCACTGCGATCTTCAGCGGGCCTGAAGGACGAGGAGATGGCCGCGGCTCTGCGCAACACGGCTTTCTACGCTACGCTTGCGGCAGCTCGCAAGTCTCGTGAGTTGCTAGCCTCCCTGACTCCACGGTGCCCACAGCGCTGACATCCGACACTGCAGGTCCACCGCAAGACATGCTCCTCGAACCGTCCCGCAGCTTCTCTTCCGCGACACCCGACGAGCTCGGCGCTCGCTTCCCCGATCTGCCGTCGTCAACCATTGACGCCATCCTCGGCGACTATGAGCAGGAAGGCCGGTTGCTGAACGAGGCGATGCAAGCCGGGCTCGAGGCCTGTTGCAAGGAGTGTGTGCGGATGCTGGATGAGGAGCAGGAGGGCGCTTCCACTGAAGAGGAGCTCGGTGGGTCGGCAGTGATGGTCGAGTAGCGACTGCAGCTGTGGAACGACAAGCAGACCTAACCCAGCAGCAGGCGGTCGTCTCGCGAGCGCCCTGAAGGAGGTAGCATTGGCGCAGCGATCGATCAGAAGAGCATCAAGGCAGCGCTTGAGCCTGAAAACAGCCCAGCGCAAGTCCCTCGCCTGACGGCAGATCCTCGTCAGTTTGAGGAGTTGAGGGGGTCGAGAGAAGGGAGAGACGGGGAAAGGGAGATGCGGACGCGACTTCGCCGGTTCCTTAGCTTTCTCAGGGAGCTAATGCAGCAGTTGCAAGCCTGCTCGAGGCATGAAGCGAGGACAGCAGCGCAGTGACGGCGGCGAAGAGGCGAGGAGGCTGGTTTCCCTCTCGCCATTCACGCTCACTGCTCAGTCCGGCTGGTTCTGCGCTTCATAGCACTGCTGAGCATGCCCTCGACGGCGTCCACCTCATCTCACGATCCTGCTCCCGCTCCTCCGCCTCCTGACGAGCGCATCCCTCTCTCCTCAGTGCCCGACGTGACGAAGCTCTTTCCGCCGCTGATTCAGGACGCGATCGAAGACGAGCTTGATCGGAATGGAGACAGCGCCTACTACGACGAGTTTGAGCAGCTGTACTGGATGTACTCGGGATGGGACGAGGAGCGGGAATCCTTCGAGCGCGAGTGGGATCCTCTGATGATTAGGATGCGCGACTACAATCGAAAGCACCTCCTCGTCATGAATACCGGCAATGTCAAGGCAAGAGCTCGATTAGCCGACGAGGACGCTGCACTCGAGCCGATCCTCGCCCAGATGAACCTTCGGCGCAAGGGACCGGCTGGTGCGCACGCGGTTTTTTTGATACGGGCAGTCCACTGATGACTTCTACTAGGACTTGCAATTCTCCGCCAGCGGCACTTCGCTCGCCACTCTGTACTCGACCCTCAACGGAGACTCATGTCCTTGCCGAGCATTCGCAGTCGTCGCGCTAAATGGACCCAAGTTGCCGAAGCCATACGGAGCTGTGTCCATGGGCTCATTGACCGATCGGTCCTAGGGCTCTAGAGCTTTTGCCGGGCTCGCAAAGGTGCGTAAAAACTCTCGGCCGCTCGCGCACTTCCGATGAACGTTTCTTGACAGGTGTTGTGTTGGCGCGGAAACAGTCTCGCATAGTCTGACTTTTCCTCTCTCTCGCAGCTCGCTTTGAACGCCGTCGCTCGTCACGCACGGAGACGTCGTCTCACTACGGCCTCGACTCCTCCTCGATCCCCTCAGAACCCTGGTCATCCCGTCTGCTCCTCCTCGACAGCCTGCAGTGGCACTTCGATACGACGCACGGTCTTCTACGCGTGCGTATGCGGAAACTCGGTGTGCAATTTGACCAGGAGCAGGCGCGGTTCGGTCGGGGCGTGGACATGTCGGAGAAGCAGGCCATACAGGCTGAGCTGAAGACGCAGATGGCGGACGTGGTGGAGTATGTGTTCTCGGCGTTTGAAGAGCGGTTGCTGTACCTCGAGCCATGCGTTGGCGGTCCTTCTCCTCGAGTCCGCCTAGCTAACATCGCTTTTATACAGCGTGAACAGCGACGCGTCAGCACCTGGGCTGCGGCAGCGCTAGTCTCGTGAGCTGCTAGCTTCCTTCACTCCGCGGTCCCGACAGCGCGGACGTCCGACAATGCAGGTCAACCGCAAGACATGCTGCTCGAGCCGTCGCGCAGCTTCTTTGCCACAACAACCGACGAGCTCGCCGCTCGCTTCCCCGATCTGCCGTCGTCGACCATTGACGCCTTACTCGGCGACTACGAGCAGGAAGGCCGGTTGCTGAACGAGGCGATGCAAGCCGGGTTGGAGGCGTGTTGCAAGGAGAGTGTGAGGTTGCTGAACGAAAAGCAGGAAAGCGGTACCGGCGAGGACAAGCCGGGCAAATCAGCAGTGATGTTGAGTAGCTTTTGACAGCGCTGAGATGACGAATGGACTTGATCCAGCGATGCGCGTTCAGGTGTTGCTTTTTCTCCATCCCTCTCTGCTTTCCCTGAAGACCGCATTGTTCCCGCTCGTTCGCTGCCGACTCGGGTCTAAGGGTCACAACTCCCAACAAATAATGTGCGTTCGTGCGCTGCGGTAAGTGGGAGAGAAGGAGGAAAACGGAGCGGATGGGTAGGTTTGTGGGCGCGCGTGAGCAGTTCTAGATGTGGCGTGGTAGCAATCGATCCAGGACCATCAACGGTAGGCCTCAGCTACGGGACAGCTCCTCGCAGGCTCCTCGCCCGTCGAGAGATCCTCATCAGTTCGAGAAGGCCAGCGGGTCGAGGGGAGAGGGGAACGGGGACAGGGAGGTGCGAATGCGGGTTCGACGGCTTCGAAAAGTATGCGAGAAGCTCCTGCAGCAATAGCAAACCTGCTCGTAGCGTGAAGTGAGGACAGCAGCGCAGTGACGCTAGTGACGGCGGCGAAGAGGCGAGGAGGCTGGTTTCCCTCTCGCCATTCACGCCCGCTGCTCAGTTGGCTCGTTCTGCCTTTCCTTGCACTACTAAGCATGCCCTCTACGGCGTCCACGCCGTCTCTCGATCCTGCTCCTGCCGCTTCGCCCTCTGACGAGCGGATCCCTCTTTCCTCCGTTCCCGACTTGACAAAGCTCTTTGCGCCGCTCATCCAGGAGGCTATCGAGCTCGAGCTCGATGGAGAAGAAGCGTCCAGCGCCTACTATGACGAGTTTGAGCAGCTGTACTGGATGTACTCGGGATGGGACGAGGAGCGGGAAGACTTTGAGCGCAAGTGGGATCCGCTGATGGACTGGGTGCGCGACTACAGCCAGAGGCGCTTTGTGGCTATGAGATCTATGGACCGGGACGCGCAGAAGGGATTGATGAAGGAGTCTGCCGACCTCGCGCCAAAGTTCGCGCTCATGAACGGTCGACCAAGAGGACCCGCAGGTGCGTCAGCAGATATTGCTTCGTCTGCAAGTCTCTGACCATCCCTCACCAGGCCTCGCCATCCTCCGTAAACGGCACTTTGCTCGACACCCGGTGCTCGATCCGGCGCAGAGACTTGTTTCGCTGCCCAGCTTGAACAGCCGACGCAAGCCGTGGAATGGACTCGCAGAATCAGTCAAGGGCGCCATTCACGGGCTTCTAGGACGACCGGTACTTGGCATCTGACCAGCAAGCCCATCCTTGATGGATCCTTTACCCTCTCGCATCCTTCGCTTCCTCCTCGCGCAGTAGCGTTCATGCATACTGGTAGAAAGCGATGCATTGACAGATGCGTAAAGCACAACATGAGACTAGGCGCGTACATGCAGAGGATGCGAAGCGAGAGGCACGTTCAGTCAATCTCGATGACCTCGACCGGCTTCTTCCCGCTGAGCGTGTTGCCCGACCCGCTGAAGGGCACTGTCGGCTTCTGCTCGGGCTGCGCCGAAGACGCCCTGCCCGTCGTCTGACCGCCGTTGGCCGCTGCACCGGCCGGCGCACTCGCTGCGTTCCTCGCCGCACGCCCGCTCAGCGTTGCGCCTGATCCGGTAAGGTTCGCGAATGGCGCAGCAGCCGAACGAGATGCCTCTTCCGCCTTGGCCTTCTCCGCCGCTTCGGCTTCGGAGCCTGGTGGCGGGCGTGCGTTTGAGAGGTCGAAGCCGAAGAAGAGGGCGCCAAAGGGGAGGTTGAGCGCCGCGGGAACCTGGCGAGAGCCGAGCTGGGTATCGGCGGTGACGATGCGGGGTTGGCTGTGTGGGAGAGCATTGTGAGCGAACATGCCGGGGAGCGAGAGAATGTGGGACGCACTCGGTACGGAAGATGCGGCTGTTCTCGTCCACCTGCTCAATCGCCTTGGCCTTGACACCCTTCCCCTTGACCCTCTTCCCGCCGAGGCTGTTTCCCGTACCCTTGAACGCCTCCCAGGAAGCCGGAGCCTCGTCCGTCTCTTTCCCCTTGCCCTTCGAGCCGACCGAAACAGGCGTCGCTGTTCCGCTGCCCCTCGCATCGACATCCTGCACGCCCTTGGTGTCCACGTTGAACTTGTCGCGCATGCTCGGCAGCGACTCGGACGGCTTCTTGTACTCGGGCTCGACGTATCCGACTGGAGGCGCAAAGTCGACTTCGAGGTCGGTGTCGAGGACGGAGATGGCGGGACCGGGAGGCGTGATCTCCATGATGAGCAGGCGGAAGGTGAGCGAGTGGTAGCCGATCTCGACGATGTCGCCGGCCGACAAGCACGAATAGTTGCGGAGGGCTTGCTCGAGACTGTCGAGCGGGAGGTCAGGCTGTGCGGAAAGGTGGATATGGAAAGAGCGAAACGCACACAGCCTTTGGATCGCTGATCTCGAGGAAATCAACGCTTTGCGGCTGGATCTTGATCAGCTTGCCCTTCGGGTAGCGGCCGCCAACGATGCGGATCGGGTCGCCCTCGTTCAAGCGAAGCTGGTCCATGATCTGCCGGCGAACGTGTCAAAACCGACCTCGAAGGCAGAGAGATGAGGCCGTAGCGCACCCATTGAGGCAAGTTGACGCAGCCTTCTTCGGCGATGAATTCGAGGACACCGGCGTGCGTGTTGAGTTCGGGCTGAGCCGGGTTGGTGATTTCGAAGTTGATGGGGAGCTCGATGTCAAGTTGAGCTGCGCAAGAACGAGGGAGTCAGCCATGATCCCGGCGAACGGCGCAGGACAGAACTCACTCAGCTCGTCGAGGGCCGATGGCGGCATGACGACTGCAGGACGTTGAGAGCTGTCAGCGTTCCCCTCCACGTGAATGAAGCGAAAGGTACGCACTCTTCCCGCCGTACATCAAGTTCGACCGCCCTCCACCATAGCTCCTGCCCTGCTGGACCTCGAGAATTGCCGTCGAGTACGCCCTGTACTGCCGCCTGAACGCACTCGCGGGAGGCCTCGCGAACGCATGCCCGCCAAAACCAGCCTGGAAGGCGTTCGGGTTGAGGAAGCGTCCGATCCCTCCTCCTCCTCCGCCGGCTGCTGCAGCGTACGCGCCGCCCATTCCTCTCATTCCGCCAAACCCGCCCACTCCAGCACCCGCAGCATCGTCGTCCGAGTCGTCATCGCCGGCAAGAGGCGCGGGAGGCGGCTGGTAGCGTCTGACGGGAGCCGGTTCCTGTGGGCGGTTGCGAGTGCTGGTGGACGCCTGCGCCTGCTGGGGCTGGCGGTCGTCCTCGTCGATGTACAGGTCCGAGTCGTATGCGTTCTCGTCGTCGTATTCGAAGTCCTGGAACTCTTCGTCGCTCGACTGTTGTCATCAATTGCGACGGGGAGTGTGGGACGAGGAGTGGATGGGACGGCGTGGGAGTTGAACGGGTGTGCAAGTAATGGTCAGCAGAGCCCTGTGAGGCTGTCAGTGAGCCGACTTGCCATGGCTGTGCGTGTGGGTCGGGTGTGAGGAGCGTCGCAAGCCGTCCTCGACCGTCATCGAAGTCCAGCAGCCGCTTCCTCAACTCGCTCAGAACCGGCTAGAAATGCTGGCAAATAATGTACTACGACCTGATACGATTTTCAAAAAGACCCAGAAGCCGAAACCGAGTACTGTCTAATGACCCTCCCTCTTCGTCCGCATCTACAACTTCGACTTCTCCGGCACGTCGACCAGTCGCAGCTCGGGGTGGTCGACAAAGACCTTGAGGCACTCGGGGTCCTCGGCCGAGCTCAAGTTCAGCTTGGCATAGTCGTGCCCGTTGACGAGCTTCTTCGCCGGGACCTGCAGACCGCGGACAGTGTCAGCCGCAGATCTCTGACGCCAAACAGGACGAAACACACCTCGAGACGCTTTCCGTTCGTCGTGTAGGGGATCTTGACGAGCTCGATGATCTTGGCGGGAACGTGTCGCGGCGAGAGAGACGTGCGGATTGCGAGCTTGATCTTGTCCGTCACCGACTGCCCGAGCGGCGTCTGCTTCGGCTTGACAAAGAGGATGCTGCGGTCATGAAACAGGGTGAGCAGACCAGCAAGTGCAGGAGAAAGCGAAGGTCGACACGCACAAGCGCTCGTCGCCGTCCAACAGCTTCTGCCCGATCGCCAAGCAATCCTCAACCTCCTCAATCTCCTCAACGACATTGTAAATCTCCGCCGACCCGAAGCGAACGCCCGCAGGGTTCAAAACCCCGTCACTCCGTCCAAGAACAAGCACGCCCTTCGTGAGCGAGTGGATCTCGATCCAATCGCCGTGTGTCCAGACGGCCGGCTGCTTTTGCGGGTAGGCTTCGAAGTAGGCGGCGTGGTAGCGCTTCTCGCCGCCCGGACCCCAAAAGCCGATAGGCATGTTGGGGAAAGGCTTGGTGATGACCATGTCGCCCTGGCCGTCGATGACGGGGTTGCCTGCGAGCGTACGAATAAGTCAGTGACAAGAAACAGCTGGAGATGTACGTGGCGAGCTCACCGTCCTCGTCCCAAGCTTGCAAATCCATGCCCAGCGCCATGCAGGTCAGCTCGCCGTGGTAGATCGGCTTGCTGCGGACGGCGCCGATGAAGAGCGAGCAGATCTGTCGATCAAGGACGAGTGAAGTGAGCCAGAGTTTTTTTTCTCGAGCGGAAGCTGCCCCGAGCAGGCTAGACGACCGCGAGGAGAAGGGCAGACAACTCACGTCGGTACCGCCAGTTCCGTTGTTGACCCAGACGTCCTTGTGGATGTTCAGGCGCATCCCTGTAGACACGACAAGTCAGCAATGCGTTTCTCGTCGGGCGAAGAGGGGAAGAAGAACACGCGGCTCAGGCTGCTTTCAACGTGAGCCAACGCAACTCACAGTCATACAGCTCCGGCTTAAGCACACTCCCCGCCGTCTGCACCTGCTTGACATGCCTCAAGTCGTACTCCTTGTTCGGGATGTACCCGTTCGTCTCGAGCGTCTGGAGGTAGCGGGGCGAGAGGCCGAGGATCGTGATCTTGTGCTTTTCGGCGAGAGCCCAGATGGTCGACGAGGAAGGGGAGAAAGGAGAACCGTCGAAGGCGGCCATGCAAGCGCCGCAGCCGAGAACGCTGCGGGGGTTACGGGAGAAGGTCAATGCGGGTTCGAACGCTAGGCGCGGATTCGTCGGCAGGCGCAGTTTCAGGAGGTAGACACCGCGACGTACGAGAGCATGTGGTTCCACATCTGCAGCGAGGGGAAAACGTGGGTCAGATGCAAGCGAGTGGGGAAACAGGAGAAACGGAGACGGACCATCCAGCCGAGCGTCGTGAACGTCAACTGCGTGTCCTCCGACGTCGTAGCGTTGTGCAGATTCCTACGCAAGAGCTGAAAGCATCAGTATGCGATTTCCACGAGCAGGTGGACGTCGGGACGCACTGGACCATCTTCTGCCCCAAGACCATGCCGCCGACGCTGTGCACGATGGCTTTGGGCTTTCCGGTCGTTCCCGAAGAGTACAAGATCCACACGGGGTCCATCGCGCTAACCCGCTCGAACTGGATCTCCGCCGGCGCGTCCTTGCCAAGCTTGACCATCTCGTTCCACGACATCCACGTCTTGCCCTGCTTGTCGGCGGGAAACTCGACCTGCGGCTCGCGGTCGTGGCTGAGCTGGCCGACCACAACGACGTTCTTGACGCTCGGAAGCTTGGCGAGGATCTCCTCGAGTTTCGGGTAGACGGCGAAGTTCTTGCCGTTGTACTTGTAGAAGTCGGCCGTGAGGAGAACCTTTGGCTCGATCTGCTCGAGACGCTCGAGGACGGCCGTAACGCCAAACTCGCTCGGGCAGGACGACCAGACGCCTCCGACGGCGAGAGTCGCGAGGCAAAGGACGACGGCTTCGGCGTTCGAGGGGGAGAAAGTCGCGACGCGGTCTCCGGGTTTGATGTCGAACTTGGTGCGCAGCGTGTGGGCGACGAAGCGGACTTGCTGGTACAGCTCTTCAAAGGTGAGAGACCGCATGAGGCAGTCGTCGAGGTCGGTCGACGACATCGACTTGGGCTCGACGAATGCGAGGACGGCTCGCTTGTTCGAGCGGGCGTTAGCGTGGCCGAGGAGCATGTTCTGTGGGCGCATCATTGTGAGAACTGGAAGAAGGAACGGCGAGCGAGAAGGTGCACCTCGGCGTAGTTCATGTTGGCGCGGATGAGCTGCCGGTTGATGGTCTCCATAGGCTTTGACGCATCGAAGAACGTGTTGGGATCACTGTCACAGGGAAGGAAAGGAGCGAGCGTGAGTTTGAAGTGGGCGGACGAGGAGGGAGGTAGCCAACACACGTCCTCTCGCCGATGACGCCGCAGTAGTCGTACACGGCTGTCCAGAATGCGTCGAGTGCGCTGATGGACCACGCGTGGAGCTCGTCGTAGTTGCGCAACTTGAGGTTGTGCCGCCGGTTGACCCATTGGCGGAACTTTGTGTCGGGCGCGTCGTCGATGTCCTGCGCGGTCGGGGTCCAGAAGAGCGTGCGAGTGGAAGGCATTGTGGCAGTTCTAAGCAGTCAACAGCGAGCAATACACCAGAGACGAGCGAGGAGGGCGAGGACCGGTGCGGGGCCTTGCCGCGGGGCCTTTGCCGCAACGAAGTGCCGGCTGGCCGATCAAAAACCCCTGTCGCCTCGTTTTCCCTCCTCTCTTTCTCCCACCGGAGCATCCATAACCATCGCAGCGAACAATTGGCATGTAACGCGCGTTGCAGGCGAGGCCGCGGCAACATCGTCTAGTTCCCGCCGTAGTCGACCAGCAGCTGCAGCTGCGACGCAACCTTGGTAGGGAAGCCTGCGGGTCGAGAGAGCGTCAGCGGCGAGCGTAGGTGAGCTTCAGGACGTGGTGAGGAGCACGACGAGCTGGCAGGACGAAGGAGGAGCGCGCGAACGCACGGAAGCTGCCCAAGTACTCTGCAAACTCCGTCAAGATCGCCTTGGCGCCGTTCCGCAGCGCTGCGTCGCGAGTAAGCAAAGCGGGAGTCAGCATGAGCACACAGCAAGTCAGTACATAGACGAGAACCGCAATCGAACGCACCATCCTGGACCTCCCCAATCTCGCGCTCCACCACTCTCCTCGCACGCTCCTGCTCTTCCCGGCCCCCAACAACCTGTTCCGCCGCACTCTGCATCTCCGCAGCAACGCTGTCGAGGATAGCGAGGTAGCGCACGAACGCCTCGAGGACTTTGGGAATGTCGCGTTGGGCGACGCCGTAGGGGTCTTCGGTGAGGGAGGCGCAGATCAGGTTCGAGAGGGCTGCGTGGGGGTACACGCAACGTAAGCGAATGATCAGCAACCCGGAGAAGCTGGGTGATCCGCACTTGCGCGAGCAGGACTCACCTTGGATCGCGCAAACCGTCTCCTGCCTCCTCGGCACACGGTTCCTCACGCGATACTCCATCGACACCTCAAACACCTTTCCCCTCGCCACCGCCGGCACGAGCTTGGCGACCTTCTGCTCGACGCCAACGACCTCCGCGACCATGTCAGGCGGAGGAGCGGTCTTTGCTGCGTCTGTGACGCTTTGAGCGGTAGAGGCGGAGATGAGGTGTGCGGATTGGAGGATTGAAGGGACTCGCGAGACGGCGGTAGAGGCACTCGTGAGGGCGGTCGAGACGGCTTGCTTCGCTTCTTGTGCTGCGGGGCCTTGACTGGTCGACGTGATTGCCCGCGACGCGCCTTGAAGGGCAGGAGACGAGCCGAGGGCTTGACTGGACGAGTTGATGGCGGCAGAGGCGAGCTTGTCGAAGAGTGAAGGCTTGGACGGGACGAAGACGTCGCCTGACTTGACGGGTGCGCGGTTCGGGCTTGACTGCTCGTCCCTCGCAACAGGCGCACTACTCGTGCTTGCACCAGCTCCGGAAGAAGCTGTCGAGTCAGATTTCGTCAGTATAGGACCGCCTTGTAGCGCAGCGCGAGGCGTACCAGTTGAGGACCGCCCCTTCGCCCGCTGCAGCTCCTTCCCGATCAACAGCAGACACTCCCTCGAGATCTCCGCCCATGCCCCACCAGCCGCACTGCCAGGCTTGACGTCCTTGAAAATCGCCTGGCGGCGGGACGGGTTGGTAAGGGTGAGGAGCGAAAGCTCGAGGAAGGCGAAGTGCTGGAGACGGGGGTTAGCCGATGAGAGTCGACCAGTAAAGGGGGAGGCGGCGTACCTGGTAGTACGGATCGCTGGCGCGAAGGCCGGACAGCAAGGCCTGGTTCGGGTTCGGCGCGAACTGCGAGACGAGCATGGGCTGCGCAGACGGGCAAGTCAGCAAGAGCGACGCCGTGCGATGTATCGTCGCGACTCACGTGCGTCGCATAGACATCGAAGCAGACGTGCGCCGCTTCCCATGCGAGGAAGAACAGCAGCGCAGAGGCGAACGCTCGGGTCGCGAGGGTGAGGGAATAGGCGCCGCTATGTCGCATCATGGCGTACATGTAGGGTCTGCTCGTGGCAAGACGTGTCAGCGCATTTCAATGTCGAGAGGATGCTGCAAACGCACCGGGACCAGGTCGGGAGGACATGCGCGAGGAAGAACCGCAAGACCGGGCGGCGCAAGAGGACGTAGGCGGACCAGAAGGTGAAGGTCGCCGATGTAGCGGACTGGAAGGCCGACGAGCAGCGCTTCCTGCCCGTGGAGGCGAGGCGGGCGGGAATGGTGAGCTGGAAGAGACAGGTCGTCAGTTCTCCTCAGCTTGTGCCGAGGTGGACCGGACGCACCGTTGCATCGTCGTCAAACTCGACCTGCGCGCGGTCTTCCACGATGTGCTGGACGGTCGCCCACGCCGCAAGGACGGCATGGAAGATCGCAAGGAGAAGGCGGCGCTCGTTGACCTGCCAGGCGTCTCGTCTGCGCGGGCACGACAAGGTGAGCAGCCGCACAAGTCCGAAGACCTAGAAGCAACTAACCCCTGGTGAAAGAAAAGCCAGCCGAGCCGTGCATCCCTCGAAGTCCAGCTCGCCGCCCAGATGTACGCGAAGTGCAGAATTAAGGCGGCGAGGAGGTAGGCGAAGAAAACTGGGAGAGCGAGCGATCGTTTCCGAATCGACGAGAGTTTGGAGAAGAGGGTAGGAAGAGGAGGGCGGGAAGCTGCAAGCGGAGAGCGAGGTGAGCTGAAGTTTCGGGGGTAGTAGAAACGGCGCGGCGTACTGGTGATGGTCTGCTTGCGCAGTACGAGGACAGGCAGAGTGCCCAAGAAAGCGATTGGCGCAAAGAGGAGAAGCGGAACGACGTTGAACAAGGATCCTGAATCGACGAGGTGGAGAGGTCAGGAATGGCATCAGGAGCAACGAATCGTTCTGCAGGGTCACCTGGCAGTTCTCGCGGGTCAAAGATGGCCAGATACAGTGCCACGCCCGTCGCGACCGCTGTCAAGCCGAAGAGGTTTCGCAACCGTCGCTGGAGGACGACCTGGCCACGACCGCACCGCCAGATCAGCGAGGACGAACGAAATGATCGCCAGGGGGATGCGCTCACCTTGCACAACTGGACGTAGCTCTGCGAGGGCGGCGGCGCGCTGGGTACGCTTGTCGAGGTGAGGAAGGACGAGAGGCTGCTTGTCGGCGGCGCCTGGCTCGATGAAGCGCTGGACAGCGCAGAGGGCGCAAAGACGCTCATCTCGAGCTAGCTTACAATCTCAGTTGACTCCGTGCGGAAGCGAGCGAGATGACAGAGTGCGAGGACCGGAATCAACCAACTCGCTCGAATGAGTCTCTCTGGGCGGCGATGTGAGGAGCAGCTGCGAAGACTACTCGCAAAGCACAGACCAGGGGTGAAGGCGAGGATGCCAGTTACAGCGGACCGAACCTCCTGAACGACGGAAGAGAACGACTAGACGGAAGGAAAGTGTCTGTTCTAGGGAAGCTGCTGCAAGATAGGGTATGCGGGCAAGCGTACGAGGGTATCGATGCGGTTGCGAGGGAGGAGAGCGGCGAGATTAGGCGGATGAGGCGGAGGCGGAGGAGGAAGATGCTTCGGAAGCCGAGGGTGCGGACGGTGCGTCGCTGCCGGTGGATGGCGCGGACGATGGTGACGCCGAAGATGCGGACGAGGCCGAAGGCGACGCCACGGCAGAAGCCTCCTCGACGACGGAAGCCTCGAGCGCGACCTCTCCCTCGCCAGCCTTTCTTCGCTCCTCGTCGCCAATCTCGATCTCGACGCCATCCTCCTCCGCAAGCGCCATCATCGGCATCCTTCCACCGCCCGTAATCCGTCCCAACCGACTGACCGTCCCCGCACTCGTCGACGCCGCACCTCTGCCCGCACCCGCCTCGAGTCGGGTCCCAGGAGGTCCGACGAGGCGCTCGCGATTCGCTTCAGCCCGGCGGCCTTCGACGATCATCCCGTTCGAAAGGACGATAGGCGAGCCGTACATCCTCGGCGCACCCCACAGCGCAGGGAAGACCTCGAGGCGGTCGTCGACGGCGACGAGCGCGTCGTCCTGCTCGAACCGCTGGGCGAGGTGTGCCGGCGGAGTCGAGGTGAGCACGAGGGGGTCCTTGGCGTACGGCTCAAGGAGCGAGTTAGACGAGTAGGGCGTAGCGGGGTAGGCGGGCACATCGGCTCCTCCGTCCCACATCTTCTCGCGGCCGAGGAGCGCAAGCGCAGTCTCGAAGAACCACTCGTTGCGCTTGAGGTAGTGTACGGCGACCGTTCCTCCGTGTTCGCGGCCGAGCATGCGTCGTTCGCGAACCGAGAGCGTGGCGGGGTCGAAGCGGAGAGTCGGGGCGGGGACGAAGCGCTCGTTGTACGACGGAACGGCGTAGGCGTGTTGGCCAAGACGAATCTGCGCGGTCGGCTCGTTGACGTAGGGCGCGTCGGTGTGAGGCGCCGAGGTCGAGGAGGCGGGCGAGGCGGAGGACGACCCGAGTGTCGAGTTGAGCGAGACCTGCTCGCCCGTCGACTCGCTCGTCGCCCCCTCAGCCGGCGACGGTCCATCCTCGAACGGCCCGCGAACGAGGTTATGGATCTCGTACTCGCCCTCCCCAAGCGGCGCCCTCGTCGGACCCTGCTGGACATTCGCCGCCCTCTTCCTCAGATGCGAGACAGCCCTGACGCCCTCCGGATCACGGAACAAGTCCTTCCCGAAGCGAGTCGTGCGCGCAGAGGGGATCGCGACGCCCCGGTCTGGCACGCCAGGCTGGACGCCCGTGACGGTCTTGTCCGGTTCCGAGTCGAGTCCTGCGCCGTCCGTGAGGCGGTCGACGAAGTGCGCGTCGCTCGAGGGACCGAAGACAACCTTCTCGAGCTTGACAGCTTCGGGTCCACGCCCGCCGTCGCTCCTCCATCCTTGCGTCGCCCACCTTCCGCCGCCCTCAACAAGCGCCTCGACCTCCTCCTCAATCGACAACCCCTGCGCCGGCGCGACATAGGGCTTCTTCCACCTCGCGACGGTCGAATAACTCTGCCACAACTCTCCTCCCCTCCTCAACCTCTCCTCCTCACTGATCCCCCTCCGTCCCTCGGCCCTAACCTGCTCGACATGGTCCGGGAACGTAAAGCCGCGGGAATAGGTCGTGCCGGCTTTCGGATGGTCGTAGATGTAGCACCGCTCGCTGATCCAGTGGATCGACGACGCGTTCGGGTGGTTCCGCATCCACTTCGCGACGCGCTGGTCTTCTTTGCCGATCGTCCAAGACTTGGGACGAGGGTAGGTCGCGAGGTACGAGACGAGGTCGGACGAGAGGGCGTACACTTCGCCCGCCATGAACCGGTTCCGGACGAGGTCTGCGGGCGCCAAGCGGATTGTCAGCTCCGTGCATCTCGAGCGGGAAGCGGCGCCAACTCACAGCCCCAGTAGGTGTTCTCGCGTGGCGTGATGCGCATGTGGCGTTCCAGTTCGCCCAAGTCGATGAACGAGTCGTCATCCGCCTTGACGACATAATCCGCCTTCCTGAACCCGACTCCGACCTGCCTCTGTCCATCCACCAGCCCGTCCTGACCGGGAAGGGCGTAAAACACGGGGACAGTCGCGTTCTCCGCCGCCCAGCTAAAGTACCGGAACGTCTTGCCCTTGTTCATGTTCTCCTCGACGTCGAGGACGACGATATCGTTGAACATCTCCATCTCGAGCGCGATGCGCTTGCTCCACTTTGCCCTCGGCCTCCCGAGGACAAACTTGAGCTGGACGTTGTGCGCTGCGGTTCCGGTGCGCGGATCGATAGGCTTCGAGTGCTTGGCGTACGAGAGGCGGATGGCGTTTCGGCGTTCGGCGGCGGCGTCGACGGAGAAGACGCCTACGAAGACGTTGACTGGCTTGAGAGAGTCGGCGAGGTCGTGAGGGAACGCACGCTGCTCTTGGCAGTACTGACGCCAGGGAGGCGGTTCTCGGTCGGACGAGAGGACGTTGACGAGGAAGGTGGTGAGGGTTGCGGCGAAGCAGCCAAAGAGGAGGAGCGAGAAGAGGATCGTGAAGGGCTGAGTGGGGAACCAAGGCTGGCGCAGGAGGGCGGCGAGGAAAGTCGAGAAGCACGAGCGGTCCTTGCCCGTTTTCGACGACGAGCCGGGGACGCCGCCGAGCAGAGGCGCGCTCGACTCGCCGCCGGACGAGGCGGACGACCGAGGACCCGTGTTCTTGCGACGGGTTTCAGCTCGACGGGCCCACCAGCCTGGTTTCCGCTGCTTGCGACCGATGACGGGCGACGTCTCGGGTGCGAGCGTACCGCCGAGCTTGCTCAGCAGAGCCGAGGTCTGGTAGTGGTGGTTGTGGTAGTCTGCGCGCACCGAGGCGAGTCAGCGGGAGTTGAGGTGAAGGGGAGCGACTCGCGACTCACACTCTGGCCCGTACGCATGCTCCTTCTCGACCGGGGTGTTGTAACCGGACGTATTCCTACTCCTGTTCCTGCTTCCAGCGCGATAGCTAAGGTACCCGTCGAACCCCCCGTCCGACATGGGCGCAGGACTGTGCGCCCGACTTGAGACGCGCGACGAGCCCGCCTCCAACCCGAGCCCGAACGAAGTCGAGCCCGAACCTTCGTCGCCGCTCCATGCGCCACCGCCGCTGCCGCCGTAGGTAAAGACGGTCGACGACGCGCTGCTTGATGCGCCCCCTCCTCCTCCCCCTCCGAGACCGTCCTCGAGGGCGCTCATGCCGAGGCCGCAGACGGAGCCCATCGCGGCGATCGACGACGACGAGGCAGACAGCGAGGACGCAGCGGTGCCCGTCCCGCTCGACAAGCGACTCATCGTCCCCGCTCCTCCTGCGCCCGCACGGTTCCTGAACGACGCGAGGCCCGTCGGTGCGCCGTCTGCCGAGTCGGTCGACGGTCTCGATGGAGGCGTTGAGGACGTGGATGCGGACGAAGCCGAGTCTGTGTCTGCGAGGAGCGAGTCGAGTGCTGCTGCGGATGCGGAGGGGGAGGGAGCGGCATCTCCGTGGGTGGTGGACGAGTGGGTGCGGGTGGGCGGGAAGGACGAGTGCGGTGTGTGAGGCGAGTACGGCGGTGGAGTCTGCGAGTCGTGCACGACTGCGAACGGGAGCATCGCGCTGGTTGGGTTGCTGTGTGTGTGTGATGAGGACGGGGCGAGGGTCGGGCAGTGAGCGAGTGCCGCTGCGGGCGCGGGCGAGTGTGATCTCACTAGATCCACACAGTGAGTCCACGGTCAGCCAGTGTGAGCAGAGTTCCAGCTAGAGTGGGAGTGAGCGAGAGGGAAGCGTGGCGACCGAGCAACCTGCTTCGAATCCTCTTACGTGCGGGGTGTTGCAAAGGGGTTGCCAGTGTGCTGCTCACTCTCTAACACGAGTTACTGGCACTACAGGGACTGCACGGGATGAGCTGCCTCGCGACTCCGCTGCGGCACCTCGCCCTCTCTCGCCAGCAGCTCTCGTTGAAGACGGTGTGCTTGAGCGGGCAGTCGTTCAGGTGGCACAGGTGCACGCCCATCACTGCTACTGCAGACGCACCGCACACGGCAGACAGCGAGGAATGGGCACTCGCACACGCTGGGCGCACTCTCGTCCTCAGGCAGGACGGTGCGCTCACTCTCACGAGGAGGAGGAGTTGGTATCGAGGGTTGACATCTCGCACGACTCGCAGACTCGGGCATCTACTACCGCGCACTGTACCCCTTCGCACCTCCTCACGCAGCCTACATCGCAGACCTCGCAAGCGACACCTCGACGCCCCTCCTCCGCACCTACTTCCAGCTCGACGTCGACCTCGACAGCTTGCACCGACAGTGGGCACGCGATGACCCCAAGTTTCGGAGAAAGATCGAGTTGGACACCGAGAAGCGCCTCGAGGGGATCCGTGTGCTGAAGCAGGACGAGTGGGAGACGCTCGTCTCGTGCGTTGGCTCGCTCTCCCTCTCTCTCTCGACGGCTCGCTCACTCTCTTTCGTCCACAGCTTTATCTGCTCGGCAAACAACAATATCGCCCGCATCACGCTGATGGTCAACCGCCTCTGCGCAGCCCTCGGTTCTCCCCTCCCTCACCCCTCACACTTCACCCCCTCCTGCGTCCACTCCACGTCCTCCTCCATCCCTGCCTCTCCTGCGCCCGCCCCAAACGACTCCTCACTCTTCTCCTTCCCCCCGCCCCAAGCGCTCGCAGACGAATCCCGCATCGACCCCCTCCTCCGCCAACTCGGCTTCGGCTACCGCGCGCCCTTCATCCCCTCGACCGCCCAAACCCTCCTCTCCACCTCCTCCTCCCTCAACCTCTCTCCAGAATCGTACCTCGCCTCTCTCAATCGCGCCCAGTTTACACGCGAAGGGAAAGGCATTGCAGAAGCGCGGGAAAAGTTGGTTGCGTTCAAGGGCGTCGGGAGGAAAGTCGCGGATTGTGTATTGTTGTTTGGGATGGGGTGGAACGAACTCGTACCAGTCGACACGCACGTCTTCCAAGTCTGTCCCTTCCCTCCCTTCCTTCCCCTCTCCCCCGACTCGCTGACGCTCCTCGCACAGATCGCCGTGAGAGACTACTCCTTCCCCTCCCCTCGCTCCGCATCCCTCACTCCAGCACTCCACGACCGCGTCTCGTCCTTCCTCGCGAGCAAATGGGGCCCTTACGCGGGATGGGCTCAACAAGTCTTGTTCTTTGCGGACTTGAAATCCTCTGCGGCGGGGGCGGAGAAGGTGACGAAGGTTGAGGTGAAGGAGCAGCAGCAGGAAGAGGAAGAGGAGGAGGACGAGGGGAGGAAGAGGAAGCTCACGTTTGAAGAAGAGGTACAGGCTTTGATGGCGGATCCGACGATCAAGAGGCGTCGAAGCGGAGCGGCAAAGGGAGTGAAGGTGGAGCGTGCGGTGGTGGTGGATACGAAGGTTAAGCGGCCGAGGAAGGCGAGGAAGGCTGTCAAAAAGGAGGAGGAGGAGGTCGAGGTGGATGTTGAGATTGAGGCGGCGGTCAAGCGCGAGGGAGAGGATCAAGCGAGGTTGGTGGATGTCAAGACGGAGCAGTTGGTCGCCGCGTCCGGGGTAGGGTTGGCTGGAGGAGCGTGAATGTGTTTCGTTGCTTTGGGTCTTCGAGGCGGTACCCTGTAGCCTTCGCTTCCTTCTGTTACTATCTGTTGCTTGACACATGCGCTTCTCTCCATCTCTCCCTCCGGCTCCTCCGAGCGAACACCAGAGCCAATCCGAGTAAAGTTGCGGAAAACCCTTGCACGTCCTCTTCTCCTTATCAGTACAACAAACACCTCCCTCCTCCCTCTTCTCCCCTCGCACATCCGCACAGACCACTACTCTTTATCAGGGATATTATGCTTCTTCTTCAGTTCCTCCAACTCCTTTTCTCGTCGCGCCAGGTCGGCTTTGGCTTGTTTCGCAGGCTGATGGTACAGGACTGCATCCTCCTTGTTCCGTCAGCTTGCGTGTGTCAGAGGATGAGGAGGCATGGAGAAGACGGACCAACGAGGTAGCGGTCCATCAGGTGGAATCCGTTCAAGTGGTCAAACGCGGTCTTGGCCTGCTCGTGCGCAACGCAATCGTCAGCTCCGACTAAGGGGGAAGAAGGGAATAGGTCGCACATCCATCACGTCCTCGTAGACGACGTAAGCCGTCCCCTTTGCTTTTCCTTCTGTCCCGAGCCGTACTTGTCGGATTGAGCCGTACCTGCGCGCCGCGAGGGAGTCTGAGGTCAGCGTTTCCTGGCGCTTCGCCTGGTAGAGTAGAGAGTGTGCGACGCACTTGCCGAACAAGTCATAGATATGCTCTCCCGTCGTCCTGGCAACCCGCGCGAAGACGAAGTCAGCCCTCGCCTCCTCAACGCCGGGAGGAAGAGAGAAGGTGTGAGGACGCACTTGTAATTCATGTTCTTGACGAACAAGATCCGGTTCACGTCCGGGCTCATGCGGACTGTTTGGCTCATGCTGGGCGGGTTGTCGAGGAGGTGGAGGGAAGAGGGGGCGAAGATGAAGAGTGGCTGGGGTGGCTGCTAGGTCAGAGGAGCGTCAGTATGCCGACTGCGCTACCTGGCCAGAAGCTCTGTCCTCTCGTCGCCGCTGTATCGACTCGATGGAACCGAAGCGATGAGGCGAAAGACAGCTCGACGCACGGGTGTTGGCGGGGCGAAGGCTGGTTCAGGAGGTGCAAGAGCGGTACAGTAAGCGCACAGAAGCTTTTTTGGGGCGATTGAGCGGTGAGAGCGGTGAGGGCGAATGTCGACCTGTCGTTCACCTCCTCGAAGAAGTTGGTGTCCCGCGACACGCTCACTTCGGCTCAAATCACTCGTCTTCGCGCTCAGTACTGTGCTCGAGTCGCTCTCGATAGCCATCCTTCGCCGCTCAACCTCCCACGACGTCCTCGACCTGCTCTCTCTCGCGCCCCACTTTCCGCGGCATGAGCACCGTAAAGAAGCTGGGCAAGCGGCCCGTCCGTGCGTGCACGGAGTGTGTCAGGCTTAAAGTGCGTACCGCCCTCTGCATTTCTAGCGAATGAGGCTGACACCTTGAACCTGCAGAGCAAATGGTGATACTCTGTTCCGCCTCTCTCGCCCAGCTCAGCGTCGCGCTGATACGTCTGGAACAGCGACCGAACGTACCCTTGCTCGTCCTGCATCAAGCGAGGAAAGTCGGCGCTTTGCGCTCCAGCGGAGGAGAGTAGCCTGCCGGCCCGCTCGACCTCTTCGTGCGTTCTTCTTCCCTGCCGCTCACTCCGTAGGCTCAACTGACCGGCCTATCCGACAGCCCTCTTGTTGACGAAAGCGGCAGCGTCGTCGGCACCTCATCCGAAGTCCGGGCAGGCGCCCGCTCCGAACTCGCTTTGTTCCGCAAAACCTTCGAGTCGCTTCAGAGTCGCCTGTCCTATCTCGAGACCCTTGTCGGCGCTGCAGCTCACGCATCTGATGATGCGGAGCCTTCGAGCAACCTGGGTCGACGGCAGCGAACGGCAGACGAAGTAGATGCGGACGGTCGGGCTTCGAAGCGGGCCGCTGTACAGAGTCCTGACGAGTTCACCATCGAGCAGAACGTGCGTGCAAGTCTACGCGCAACATTGACGCAGTTTGGCTGATTGGTCTCCGCAGGTCCTCGACTCTCAACGGGAGACGCCCGAGTTTGTCGGTCCGCGAGGACTGCCGTTCTTCGACCCGCAGAAACAGGACTCGGTGCGTCGGCTCGTTCAGCTACAGCACCTGATTCGCCACTGACATGTTTCTCGCAGGCCATGCTCCTCCCGTCAGCTCGCAACATCTTCCGCCTCTTCCCTTCGCGCAGCTCTCTCGCCGCCGTCGGCCCGACCAAGACGGTTTCCGACACGCTCATCCACCACTGCATGGTCACAACTGGCGCTCTACATCCAGTCGCCTCGGTACCTGCGCGGACACGGCACCTGGAGCTGTTCTGGTCTGTTGATGGACCGGCACAGTACGAACGGTGCTTCGCGGCTTGGCTGGTGCGTCTTGTTTTGTGAAGGAGAACATCGATGAGATTCGTGCTCGCTAACGCGCCGCGCCTCCAGGCCAGCTTCTTTGCACAGCTCGCAGTCGGCGCGAGACTCGCGACCAGCGACGTTTGCCGGACGCTGGGCATGGACGCGTCGATGCTCGAAGAACTCGCTGGACACTGGACGGACGCCTCAATCGCCAGTCTCTACTACTCCAACTTCCTCGAGAACCGGAGCATGCTCGCGCTCCAGGCGGTCGGCTACCTCGCCTTGAGCGGTCGCACAGCCGGCAACTTCCGCTCGATCAACTCGCTCGTCGACCATTCCATGATTGCGCTTCGACAGCTGCGGCTGCACCTCGACATTGATGCTGTACCGGCGCCGACGGTTGCGCCTGCGACGGAATGGGAGACGAAGGCGTCCAGGGAGATTAGGAAGCGGGTCTGCTGGGCGCTGTGCATCTCGCACTGGCTGTACTCGGAGCATCCTTGTGCGTTCGAGCTGTCTCTTTTTTTTTTCCCTCAACAAGTCAACAAGACTGACCTTCCTTTGGAACAGTCATATCGCCGGACGAGGTGAAAGGCGCACCACCGAGCGTGTGCGTGCTGTCGCTTGCTGTGCTCATGTCGTGGCTTACGTCTTTTCGCAGGATGGATGTCGGATCGACCCAGCGGTATGGCGACCTCGCCGACTTCACCTCTGTCGCCTACCTCAACTTTCTTTTCGACGTCGCCCGAGTCGTCTACGAGACTCGCTTTGCAACGGAGCTCTCGCCGCCTCGCGTCTCGACCCAACGAGCAGCACTCGACCGACTGCAGCAGCAGGCAGAACAGGACTTTGCGGACTCTCCCGTTCGTTCAGACTTTCCTCCGCTCCTCAACGACGAGGACTGACACGTCCTTATACAGTTTTTGCGCTCCTTCTCTCGCGTCACGACCTCATACTGGATCCTGCGCCTTCTTCGCCAACCGTCCGATCCACGCTCGCCGGAAACGCTCGAAACCGCACGGATCATGCTGCGTGAGGTTCCAACCCTACAAGAGCACGAAGGACACCATTGGATGATATTACATCAGATCTGCGCCGCGGCGCTGGTCATCTGCGGCATTGCAAGCGACAACGCTACGGACGACGCGTCCGGGACGCCAGCTGCGGACGCCCGGCTTCTCGACGCAGCAGAAGGGTACTTCGTCGCCGCCTCACACAACTCGATTGCTCAGAAGAGCCTTGCGCTCATTCAGCAGATGCGCCAGCCCCTCGTTCGCCGTGAGTGCCATGGCTTCCGCCTCAAAGTCGCCCTTCCTGACTGATGTATTGCCTCGCAGCACCCGAACCCAGTTCGATACCGTTTGTCGATCCTACCGCCGCTTTCCCCTCGGCTTCTGGCGCCGCTTTCGACCCGACTCTCGACGACCTGCTTGCAGACACTGCGATCCTCGAGTACAGTCTGCCGGAGTACGGCGAGCTGAGAAACGGGATGAGCGACCTCGACTTTGCGTGGTGGAGCTAGTCGTCGGGTCGTGCAAAGGGGTCATTCCGACGCTCCGATCTGTTGCTCCGGGCAGGGGTGTCGTCCTGCGGCGTGGCCAGCAATCTTTTCGAGCCAGGTCTCGTTCGCGGTACGGGCAAGCGCACACTCAGCTCTCAGGAAGCGGTTCTGAGCGAGCTGCTGCTCCTTGCGCTTCGCTTCCGCAGCTCGGAAGGCGTGACTTTGGTAGCGATACGGAGTTTACACGACAACTGGACAGCTACAGCCATTTGACATTCGTTCAGATAGCCTCCACTTCGCGCTCGAGGGATGTCTGCGCGTCGTTCTTGACGTCGGCAGGAGCGTCGACTCGAGCGGTCATCATAGGCGCGATTGGTTCGAGCAGGAGGACGAGGACGATGGCGATCAAGGCCACCGGCGCCGCAATAACCCAAACCCATCGATCTGCGCGACAGTGGGTCAGTACGGACGTATGCGGAAGAGGGGGGAAGCGCGACTCACAACTGTCGGCGTAGACTTGTCGCATGGCGAGTTGTACGGCCTTGATGACGGTCGGAGTCGCTCCCTTGAGCTCCTTGAGCGCTGCGACGCTCTCCGCGCCTGAAAGCTGAGCGGCGTGGACGAGGCCAGGAAGCTCGCTCGAGGGAAAGCCGAGCGGGGTGACGGCTGCTGCGAGGCGAGGGCCGACCAACGCTGCAATCTTGGTCTTCGAGACGGCGTTGTAGCACGCCACGGCGACGACACCGCCGAGCGCGCGCGAGACGAGGAGGTTGATTGACGCGAGGGCGAGGAGTTGAGGCGGGGCGGCGAGTTGAGCGCAGACGGACATGAGGGTCAAGGGACTGGCGAAGGCGATGCCTGCGATGGCGGCGTAGACTCGGAAGGCGATGCGGCTGTCAGGGTTAACGGTAGCCATGCCGACTGCGCGGACGACAAACCGTCAGCTGCGCTGTCCAGACCAACGTCGACGAAGGTTACGCACTACTGGCGACGAGGAAGAGACCAAACCCGACAATGAGGGAGATCTTGACCTCCTTGAAGCGTTGGGAGGCCCAGCCAAAGACGGGTGTTGCCAATGTCTGCGCGACGGAGCGGTCAGTCTCTGATCATTTCGCATTGAGAGACGTAACAGCTCACGCTGGGAATGAAGAACCACAAGAAGTTGATGCCGGCGAGCTGTTGCAGTTCGTGAGCTATCAGCCGAAGAGGAGAGGCAAGTTCGAAGAGCGGAAGCGCACCCATGCAGGAAGACCGAGGATAAGGGTTGCTTCTCGCGCCCAGAAAGCGTTGAAGGAGAAGAAGAGAATGCCTTCAAGGAAGAGGAGGGCGATAGAGAGGCCGTAGTTACGAGACTTGGAGAAGAGGGCATGGTGCAGCAAGCCTTCCTTGTTGCCCTTCCATTCTGCGGAAAGGGTGGTCAGTCTAGCATAACAACTGAACAATTTGGCTCAACTCACCCCAGAAACCGAAAGCGACGAGACCAGCAACGCCGGTCAGGAGCGGCGCGAGAACATGGGCATCCGACCACTTGTACGGGTTGAGGGCGGAGATAAGGCCATAGTAGAGCGGAGGGACGCCGCAGATGAGGAGTGCGACACCGACGAGGTCGAGCACGAGGGCAGGGTTGCGCTGGTGGAAGACGGCGGAGACGTCGGGACGCTTCTGGAGAGGCCGGTACGACAGGAAGATGGCGATGCATGCGAGGCCGTCTGTGAAGCGGAGGTCAGCTGTCGCTCGCATAAGTGAGGCGCTCGCGCTTACAGGCGATAGCGAGGGTACCGTAGATCTGCGGGAGGCAAAGTCAGGAAAGAAGGTGAGACTCGAAGAAGAGGAGCAGACGCACCATCCTCCAGCCGGCGCCGACCACGTTGTATTTGACGTAGAGTCCGCCCGCAGCGATGCCCATTGTCCCGCCGAGCGAGCTCGCGATGTTGAAGATAGCTTGCATCTTCGGCCGCCGCGAGCGAGGCATGACCTCGGAGCAGATGGCGACGTAGAGTCCTTGCGGGGAGAAGCCGATGCCGGTGAGGACGACGCCGACGAGAGCGACTTGGTGCATGTGCGAGGTGCTCGTGACGATGGCGCCGACCGCCCCAATCGCCAGTCCGGCGACCATGAACGGCTTGCGGCCCCAAAGGTCGGCGCTCAAGGAAACGAGCGGTCCGAGGATGACTTGGCAGATCTGTAAGCACCGGGCGAGCTGTCAGTTGAGGGAAGCAGTCCAGACCAAAGGAAGGCAACACACTTGAGCGGTGTTGGAGAACCAGGGAGTCTCGCTGACATTGCCTGCGCCGGCACCGATGGCAGCAGCGTATACGCCGGTCGAGGTGACGCCGAAGACGGCCGCAAAGATGGCAAAGCAGGCTCCGAGGACGCAGCCGATTGCTCGACGCGAGACGGTGTGGACGGCTTCGATAGTGACCTTGGCGTCTTCGATGCGCATCTCGGTGCCTTTCTCCTCGTCCATAGAATCGTTCCGCTTGCATTCGGGGAGCATGGGGCCAGCAAGGGGATAGAGAAGCGGGAGAGAAGAGGAAGCGGCGACGGAGGAAGCCAGAGATGTGCGGGATGGATAGAGGGAGCCCCGGGCGGGGCGCGCAGGCCGTACCACGGCCTGTGAAGGGCGGACCCGACTTCGGAAACGTCTCCAACGGCCGTCGCAAAGCTCGAGTCGTGCCCCCACCCTCCCTCTCCGCCGTCTCGCTTCCTCAGCAGCTGCGGCGTTCGCAGGCACAGCGGTAACGCGGTTTCGGCAGACAAACCAAGGCTCGATTTGCTGGTCGTGCACTTTAGCCGGCAGCGAGCGAGTGGGCGGCGGCAAAGGACTTCATCAGTCGAGCTGCTCCGGCCGGACGACGGCCTGAGGACGGCCGCCGCTCTCCCTCCTCCGCCTGTGCGCCCACATTGCGCAAGTCTCGCGCCATCTGTGGCCAGTGCGGGGAATGGCTATCGAAGCAGACTCGCGCTGGACTCGCTTCCCCCTCCCTCTTGCTCCGCCCTTCCTTCCCCTCTCCTCCCCGCTCGCATCGCTCTCGCTTCTTCTGGCTGACTGCGCACGATGCCTGCACTCACAACCAAGCCCAACATCCTCCTCATCCTCGCCGACGACCTCGGCTTCTCTGATCTGGGTTGCTTCGGCGGAGAAGTCGCAACTCCCAACCTTGATGGTCTCGCCAAGGAGGGCATGCGTCTCTCTGGCTTTCACACAGCGTCAGCGTGCTCTCCAACTCGCTCGGTGCGCCCCAGTGCAGTGGTGAGTTGCCCTCTTCAGAGCTGCAACCTGACCTCCTCCTTTTTCCCTTCGCAAGATGCTCTTCTCGGGCACAGACAACCACCTCGCGGGACTTGGCCAGATGGCCGAGACGATCTCGCGAAATGAAGTGTTCCAGGGCAAGGCCGGCTACGAGGGCATGCTCAATCAGCGGGTCGCCGCCTTGAGCGAGATCCTCCAGGACAACGGCTACGGGACCTACATGAGCGGCAAATGGGTGAGTGCGGGCCCTTCCTCTACTCTGTTGCACTGTGAGCTGATACCTCTGCGCACAGCACCTCGGCATGACGCCCGACAGCCTTCCTCACGCTCGCGGGTTCGACCGCGTCTTTGGTCTCCTCCCAGGCGGCGGCAACCACTACGGCTATGAGCCGTACCTCGACGACGGCACGCCTGCCGTCAAGGTTCTCCCGCCAATCTACGTCGAGGACGGCAACTTTGTCGACCACCGCACCTTTGCCAAACCTTTCTACTCGACCACGACCTTCACGAACCGCATGCTCGGCTATCTCGAGGAACACGACTCGACCAAGCCTTTCTTTGCGTACTTGCCGTACACTGCGCCGCACTGGCCGCTGCAGGCGCCGCCCGAAATTATCGCCAAGTACCGCGGGAAGTACGACGACGGACCTGAGGCGCTTCGACAACGCCGACTCGCAGCGCTCAAGCGGGAAGGGCTCATGGACGAGGATGTCACGTCGCTGCCGATCGTGTCGACGTTCGAGGACAAGCCCTGGGACGAGATGACGGGGGAGGAAAAGGCCGTCTCTGCGCGCAAGATGGAGGTGTACGCGGCAATGATCGAGGGTGCGTACGCTTCCTTCCTTTTGACGCTTGCTGACCCGCGTGCTCGCCAGTCATGGACGCCGAGATTGGCCGCGTCGTCTCGTGGCTCAAGGAGACCGGCACCTACGAGTCGACCTTCATCTTCTTCTGCAGCGACAACGGCGCCGAGGGAGCCATGCTCGAGGCGCTTCCTGTCCTCGGCGAAGAGTTCCAGAAGACGATCGAGCGCTTCTTCGACAACAGTCTCAACAATATCGGCCGCTACAACTCGTTCACGTCGATCGGACCCGCTTGGGCGCAGGCTGCCACGGCGCCGAACCGGATGTACAAGGTGCGCTGTGCCTCGTCCTCTCCTGGAATCGCTCGCCGACTCTCGCTCGCGCAGGCTTGGATCACCGAAGGCGGCATCCGCTGTCCTGCACTCCTCCGCTACCCGAACTTCCGCAACGGCGAGATCTCGCACGAGTTCTGCACCATCATGGACATCCTTCCTACCATTGTGAGTCCGGCATTCTCGCTTGGATCTGCTCGACTGCTGACTTTTCCTCCCGCAGCTCGAGATGGCCGACATCACTCATCCTGCTCCCGAGTACCGCGGCCGCAAAGTTCTCCAGCCGCGCGGACGCTCGTGGGTCAGATACTTGACGAACAAGGCCGAGTACGTCCACGACGACAACGCTGTGCACGGCTGGGAACGTGAGTTTCGTCCCCGCTCTCGCTCATTCGCCTTGCGTGTGCTGATTCGGCTCCGTCTCGCAGTCTTCGGACAGTCTGCTATCCGCCAAGGGCCGTAAGTACATTCGCTTCTCTCCCGTCCACCGTGCGCTCACCGTAGCACGCCCGCGCAGCTGGAAAGCCGTCTGGATCCCCGGCAAAGACGCCAAATGGAGCCTCTACAACCTCGCCTCGGACGCCGGCGAAACTCGCGACCTCGCCAACGACGAGCCAGAGCGCCTGACAGAGATGGTGCGGCTTTGGAGGGACTACGAAGCGGAGACGGGAGTGGTCAGGCTGGATCCGGACCAGGCGTTCGCATTGCGTGGGTACGGGTTCTACCGAGGGACGGAGCAGTGAAGACTCGACGTTCTTGCTGTATCTCTGTATTGTTTGTACTGCCAGGTTTGCTCAATCACGTTTTCTCCGAAGTCCCTCCTCCTCGTCCGCCCTCGCCTCCTCCTCCTCCCGCATCACCTTCGCCAAGCTCGTACGCTTCTGCGCTGGCTCAACCTGCTCGCTCTCGTCGCGACGAGCACGCTGCTATCGGCCGGACCGTCGCTTGGGCCCCGCACCGTGCTGATTCAGCGAGCGAGCTGCTCTTCCTCCTCTTCCTCTCACTCAATCCAGCTGCGACTTGCTTCGAGCGCTCCTCCTGATGCCCATCAAGCTCTTCGACCTCGTGCCCCAGCCGAGCGGCGTCTTCTTCTCGCCCTCTTGCCTTCGCACTCGCCTCGCGCTCATCCACAAACAGCTGCCGTTCGAAGTCGAGGAGGTCACGTACCACGACCTGCGCTTTATTTGGAAGGACAGGCTAGAAGTGCAGAAGGCTACCAGTGCGTAACCCGCTCTCAAGGCCGTCATACTCTCTCTTTGACGCCCTTTTCCTCGCTTAGCCCCCATCATCCAGCGCGAGGATGGCTCATACTTGATGGACAGCGACAAGATCGCCGCGTATCTTGACAAGGAATACCCGGACAGGCCGAACCTCTTCATCCCCGAAGCAATTGCGCCTGTCGACCTCGTCTCTGCCGGATACTCGCAGGCAAAGCAAGCTGCTGCCGGTGCGTGTCGCTGGCTAACATCAAGATCTGCCATTACTGACAAAGCATGCGGAGGCGCAGATTACCATGCCCATATGACGCCGCATCGTTCGGTTTGGGGCATCTTCGCTCCTCTTATGGCGAAGCTGTTCGATGGAGAGGTGCTCAGTCTCCCTCCTGCTTTGTTCATGCACTGAGCTGACTTCATCTCACCCAGACGAGGGCTTACTGGACTAGTGATGCGAGGCTCGGAGAAGGTGTTTGGGCCAAGGTGTCGTCCAGGACGGAGCAGGAGAGAGGTAAGTCCAGCTCCATCCGCCTTCTCCACCCCAAGGCGCATTGTCTGACAGCTTCGGAAGCAGCCGAGATCGTGAAGCAGTTACACGAGCGGATCAAGGAAGCCACGGCCGACAAGCTTGCGAACGGAAACCTCTTCTTCACCTCGCCCTCGAAGCCAGGCTACACCGTCCGCTCGAGCTCCGTATCTTGCGGTGTCGTCTTAAAGCTGACCACTCCTCGATACACACAGGATTTCTACGTGCTGTCTGACTATCGCCTCCTGCGTTCCGTCTCCCCCAAACTGGCTTACGACGTGTACGAGGCAGACGAGCGCTGTGCTGCATGGCTGGAGCGGATGAAGCAGGCGTACCCGATGCCGGAAGTGTGGGAGAGGGATCCGAAGGAGTAGAAGGGCGGTTCTGTAACAAAGCCTTCGATCGAGCCAGAAGTCATCTCGCGCCAGGAACGGGCAAACCGTATGGATGCCCCGCAAACGCAGGAGGGCAAACCAGAGCATGCTGGAACACTGTACTGAAGGTCATTTGCAGTTGATTCGACGGAGGTACCGCACTTTTGGGAAGGTTGCTATCCTCCTCCTCCCGTCGTCCTCTCCGCTGCTGCCTGCGCGCCGCTTGACGATTTAGGCGCGGCCGTAGGTCGGGAGCTGGTCGGGCTTGTTCTCGAAGATCTCGTCAATCTCCTTCACGATGTCGTCCGTGATCTTCGGCAGAACATCGAGAGCCTTGAAGTTTTCCTCGAGCTGCGCAACCTTGGTAGCACCCAAGATGACAGTCGATACGTTCGGGTTTTTGGCGCACCAGGCGAGGGCGACGGCGGCGGTAGTCGAGTCGAGGCGCTTGGCGACGTCGCCGAGCTTGCGGATCTTGGCCTGCCTTGCCTGCCCCTCGGGCGACTCGTACTCCTTGATCTGCTTCTCGTAGAAGTTCGGGTTGGTCTTCCAGCGCGAGTCTTCGGGAATCTGTCCAAGCGGAAGATCAGCAACGCGATCTTTTCGCAGGAAGCGCTCCTGAACTCACGCCGTTGGCGTACTTGCCGGAGAGCTCGCCGCCCGCAAGCGGCGACCAGATCGTCGTGCCGAGCCCGTAGTTCTTGAAGAGCGGGGCGTACTCTACCTCGAACTTCTCGCGGTGGAGGATCGAGTACTGCGGCTGTTCGACGATAGGGCGCTGGAGACCGAGGCGGTCTGCAATACCAATCGCCTCCTGGATCTGCTGCGCAGTCCACTCACTCGTGCCGTAGTAAAAAGCCCATCCCTGGTCAATAACCCAGTTCATGGCGCGGACAAACTCCTCCATGGGCGTAGCGACGTCCGGACGGTGCGCAAAAACGACGTCAACGTAGTCGAGCTGGAGCCTCTTGAGCGAAGCCCTCATCCCCTCAATGATGTGCTTGCGAGAGAGGCCGCGCTGATTCGGGTCGCTCTTGCCAGTGCCGAAGAAGATCTTGGTAGTGACAACGATCTGGCTGCGGTCGACGTCGAGCTCCTTGAAGGCCTGACCCATGGCGATCTCAGACTCGCCGCTGCGAGGTGAAGAGGGCGTCAGTACCGAATTGCAGCGTTGCGGGCGCTGTCAAAGTCTGGGCGACAGAATCGTCCTCACTTGGCGTAGACTGGCGGCAAGAGGCGACAACAGATCAGTACACATTGTTTCGGAGCTCAGGATCTGAATGTAAGGAAGGGGCGAGCCGAGAAGGAGGAGGCGAGGGAGAGGCGGGGGATGAATGAGACGATGTGAATGAAACGAACCTTCGGCATTGTCGAAGAAGTTGACACCGTGGTCCAATGCGCACTTGATCAGGTCGGTGTTGGTCTGCCCCTTGACGGATCCTGCGAGAAGAGGCGAAAAGGAGGTTGGGAGGGCGGAGGAGGCACAGGCGGCGGTAGTCGCGTCAGAGACAGCTTCGCAAGTTCACATCGATGTGACTTACCACCGACGGTGAGCCAGCCGCCGTACGAGAGCCTGTTGAGCGGTTGTCAGCGCCAGACCGAGATGTGGAGGAGGAGGAAGTCGGGACAAACACAGAGACCAGCAGGCCAGTCGGGCCGAGGTGCTTGTACTGCATGTTCCTACAAACATCATGTTCCAACGTCAGCCATGTCCTCGCCGTCGACGTGGGAGGTCTGCAGCCGTCGGTTTCGTGCGAGGTGGGGAGGATGACGGAGAGCGGGCGTGCAAGGCGATGGAAGCGTCGATGGATAGTCGACGCACTTCTGCTCGAACTTGTAAGGCATGTTTGCGGTTCCGAAGCTTTGGAAGCTGGTTCAAGCCGTGTGAGGTGAAGGAGAGGAAGGAGATCAGCGCGGTGCGCGGATGTGGAGGCGCAGCGACGGCCGCGAGGCTCGCTTGATCTGATCGTCCGCTCTCTGCCCCGCAGAGACATCGTGCAATCCCTTCACGACGCACGCAATGTGAACCAAATCGAGCGCATAGCAATCCAGCATTCGAGAGGCGAGATACGCTCCCCGCGGTCGACCTCGCTCTTCTTGTAGACGGTCCCGCGACGCCTGATGCGGCGCAGCTGGAGCTTGGTGGTCTGAAAAGTACGATAGAAAAGCAGCGAGACGCAGGCGCAGCTTCGCGACGAACGGCGGGCGATTCCTTGCGACCTTCGCAAGTCGACATGGGCCAGCGCTCGCCAAGAGGCCTGGTGGGCTGGCGCGAAGCAAGAGCGACCTTCCAGGATGAGCCAGGGGTCGAAATGTACCGAGCACCGTGCCCGTCTGTGGCACGGGAGTCAGGTGAAGAGTGGAGAGGTCGAAAGTTGCGAGTCGACTTGTCGCTACACCAGCCGGCGTGAGTACTGCTCCTGCGATACCTCCGCGCCCATTCGCCCGAGCCTGTCGACCGACGGCGCACCCCATACAATCTTGCTCTCCGCACCGCGTCCTCCAAAGGCTCCCTGGACCATCTGCAATACCGACGGCTGTCCTGGTACGGGCGCCGCGACAGTCGTGGCCTGAGGCGCCGCAGCAGTACTCGCAGGCTGTGGTGCGAGCCGGTCCGCGACGAGCGCCTCGTTGTACCGCTTCTCCTCCTCGATCGACCGCAAGTTCCGACGGGTATCCTCCGAGACAGGTTCGGCGAGGTCGGCAAAGTCGTCCTGGGCGACTGCGCGGATCGAGTACATGTAGACGGAGAAGGCGAAGGCGGAAATGAGGCCGCCGGTGATCATGTTGCGGGTTCGGAACGGTTGGCGAGCGCGCTTGAGGCCCTCCGAGACGCCGTAGCCCTTCGGGTGGTAGGTCGCGCGGGCTTGCCGGCTTGTCAAACCAGTATCGGCCATCGTGAGAATCTGGTGTGCTTTGTCGAGCGGGTGTGGCGCGATGGAGAGGGGTTCGAGGGAAGCAGGGAGATGAGAGTGGGAACGTGTGCGAGGGGTCTGCGTGCGTCGCGAGCGGGTCAGGATGCGTCCTGCGTGTGATCACGGGCAATGCACACTCACTCTGGCTGCTTCTGGCGTGTGGCGGCGAGTTGTCAGGAGCAGAGAGTTCGCTCCTTCATCTTGGGAAACAACCGCCACCTTCGCTCCCACTATGCTGCGCTCCGCTGTGTCAAAAAGGCTTTTCCAGGCTGCTGCACCGTGCACGCGCTGCGCGAGCTCGTCCGCGCCGCTCAATGCCGCCGCTGCCGCCGACTCGCAGACGAACCGCGAGTCCACCTCATTTCCGCTCAGGCGGGGTTAAAGCTGACTGGGATCTAACTTGCAGGCGCGGAGAAGCAGATGAAGCGATTCTGGAAGACGGTCGGAGTCGAGGGTCGTCCAGAGGGTGCGTCTCTCACCTGCTCCTCCCCTGCTCGTCTGGCTCACCCGGCTCAACTCGCTTCGCACAGGCAACTTCGCTGTCCTGCTCGACAAACGGACACTGAAAACGCCGGGCGGCGTCCCGCTGCTCGTGCCGAAGGAGCGGTTGCCGGTCGCGCTGTGCATTGCGGACGAGTGGGAGAACCAGAAGTCGGTTCTCAAGCCTCATACGCTGCCAATGGTGAGCTCACACCAGCGCTCAAGTGAAGAGCGACTCTGACAAGCCGCCTGGTAGACCTCGATTGCGGCCCGCGCGATTGACGGCTTGAACAACGAGTCGACCCGCAAGGATGTCGTCGCCTACCTCCTCCGCTACCTCGACACCGATACCGTCTGGTGCGTACTTCTGTCATCGCAAGTTGTGGAGACTCTCCTGACCTTCTCTACGCTCACGACAGCTTCCACGAGGAGTTCCCCCAGCGGCTCGTCAAGCTGCAGGAGGCGCACTGGAAGCCCCTGATCGACTGGGTCGAGAAGACCTACGACGTCAAGGTCAACCTGTACGAAGGCATCCTCAACACGAAGCAGCCCGACGCGACCATCCTCAAGCTTGGCTCGGTCGTGTCCGATTACGATGCGTACAAGCTTGCGGGTGCGTTCGCTGCTTCATGTCCTACACCGTGCTTGTGCCGATATGCGCCTCCACGCAGCCTTCGAGCGCGCAGTCTTGGCCTCCAAGTCGTACTTGATCGCCCTCGGACTTGTCGAGGGCTTCCTCTCAGTCGACGAGGCAGCAAAGGCGGCGCACGTCGAGGTGCAGAGCCAGATTGACCGATGGGGCGAGGTCGAGGACAGTGAGTGTGCTCACATCGTCGCGCGCCTGCGTGCACTGACGATTTCTCGCCGACAGCCCACGACGTCGACCACCAAGACGTTCGCGTTCGCCTAGGCTCCGCCGCCCTCCTCGTCGCCGCGCAGCCTCACCTCGCTTGATCGCAAAGACGTCGTTGTCTGCTGTACTCTTATGCATTGCATCCGGGCGGCCAGGTCGACCCGTTCCATCGAGTCGTGTCTTTCGAGACCGTCATTCTCGCTTCCTCTTGCTGGTCTCCGCTCTCCTTCGCTTGTTCCCACCCGGCTCTTGCCTGATCAGAGGCTCATCTTGCCATTGAACACGCTCAGCCTGCTCCCTGTGCGATGCGAGAACAGCGAGTCAACTCTGCGAGTCGCTCCTCTTCCTCGCTCGGCTCGCTCCCACTCCGGTCTCTCGCTCTTGATCACCCGGGATACGGAGTGAACGCTGTCTCAAGTCGCCCTGCAACCCTCCCTGCGCTGCCCAGCCCGCATACACCGTCGCCAACTCACCCCACCCTCCTCATCGTCCCCGCGACTCGACCACCGCACACCCTCCATCTCGCTGCCTGAAGACTATCTATCGACTCAGCGGTTCACTCCGTAGCTGCACACGTCTCGCCACAGCCAACGGACGCGCCGCTTCTTCCCCGCACCACCTCTCCGGGATCGCATACATCGCCGCCACCTTAACGAGTCGACTACTCCTCGAGACGCAGTGCGGAATGTTTGGCGAGAAGCACTCCGAGTCTCCGCGATTACCCAGCGTGCGCGGCGGTCTGTCCGACTTGACCCGTTCCCTCGTCGCTGATTTCCTCCTCCTGACAGCCCTGGCTCGCCCGAACCTCAAACGGCAACAGCCCTTCGCCTCTTTCCCTCTCCGCCGCCGATTCGACCTCCTCGACGCCCCCGCACGCATGGCGACCGCGGTCTCTCGAGGGACTCGACCTGCTCGAGGGTCTCGCGGAGGACTTTGACAGTATCGGCATTGGGCGAGGGAAGCTGGGCAGTCCCGTCTTGCGGTCTGACCCAGCTGAGCCGGAGCTGGAGGACATCGCGGTGACGGACACGGGGACGGAAGGACTGAAGCCGGAAGTGGATCACAAGGGGCATGTGCGTTCAGACAGCTTTTGCGGCAGTCTCCCCTCAGTTTCGCTAATTTGCGTCCACGCACAGATTGAGTACAAGCTCAAGCTCTTGCCGACGTCACTACATCGCATGGCGAAGCTCCGCACGCAGCTCAAGTGGCGGCTGATCGAGGGCGGCGGAGTCGCGGTGTACGAGCTGGGCTTGCTGGACGACGGGACGCTGGTCGGCTTGAACCAGGTCGACATGGAGGAGTCGTTGCGGACGCTAGGACAGATGCTGGCGGGACTTGGAGGCGGACGAGTCCAGATCACTCGCGTCGTGCGATTAGGCGGGTCTGCTCGACCTGCTTCTCCCGCTTCTTTCGATTCGTCCACCCCGCCATCCCTCTCTTCCTCTCAGTCTTCAGCCCCGTCGTCCGTCACAGCATCCATCCCGCCCTCTCACGCACCATCTCCCGTTCCCGCCCTCTTCTCTTCTTTCGACGTCGCAGCCGACTACGATGACCTCTCCTTTGTCGCCCTTGCCGCTCCGCCCGTCATTGATCCGGACACAGGCGACATCTCGCTCTTTCCGCCCGAGCCAGAGCGCGGACCCGTCCCTTACCCGAGCAACCGAACGGCGGAGGAGCAGGCGCAGTTGCGGCGGGACAAGCGAGATGCACGACGGGCGAGACGCGAGGCGGCGCAGGCGGCTGCGACGCTGGCGAAGGCGCGAGGCGAGGACCGTTCGTCGTCGCCCAAGCGGACTTCGCCAATAGCCATTGGCTCGACAACCTCGTCCCGTCCGCACCGAATGATCCATACCGATTATCCGACGCCGATCAAGCCTCGCGACAAGCCGCCGAAGCCGCCTAAGCCTCCTCGACGAACAGCCGAGGCTCGAGCCGAGCGCGAGGCAGCGAAGGAGAAGGAACAGGAGCGACTTGCGAACGTCGCGCCTGAGACGCCGTTCAAACCTGTCCTGCTCAAGGAAGGCGATGAGGAGGTGCGATACGTCGTCGAGGCGGTCGTGCGGAAGGCGAGCCGGGGCGACGGCCGGCGAGGGCGGCGACGAAGCAGTCACGACGAGGAGTTCGCGATGGGTGTCCTCAGTCTGGACGGCGACGACGAGCCGAGCGACGTCCTCGCCAGCCCCGACTTGGACGACAGCGCAGACGACAGCGAGACGGTTGGCGAGGGCGACGAAGGCTGGAGCTACCTGGACTTTGACCTCGCCCAGCTAAGCTCGAGCATCAAGTCTTCGGCCGCCGCCTCTCCTCGCACTTAGAGCGGCATACGTAGTCTTGCACAGTCTGCCATTGCACCTCAAGAATTTCGTCTCATCAACTCACTCTCCTGACTCCGCTAGATGCCCACTACTGGTCGCCCCACAAGTTTGTAAAGTGAGCTCCTGATAGTCTCTGCGGCTTCGGCCCACAGGTCGCGCCGGCTTTGCAAGCTGGGCAGTGAGACGAGTCTCTGCTCGGGACGAAGCATCGGATGGCGAGCAAAGTGCCGTTGTCGAAGGATGGCGAGACCTGCATCAATCTTGGTCAGCATAGACCGAACATTTACAACGATTTAGCGGACGCACCAGCCGGACCCTGTCGACGCAAACAGACTTGCGTCGCTCGAGGCAGCAGATCAGCCTCCCAGCGCGCAGCTTCCGCCCGCAGTTCCATATTGCCGCCGCTTCTGGCAGCGTAGCGCAGGCGCCTGTACTTTCGCACCTCGTCGATATTGGACGCCAAACACGCTCAAAATCCTCCCGCACTTCGTCCCATCCCGAGTACATCCAGTACAGCTGCTCGAATTCGTCGTAGTAAGCGCCCTCGGCTCCTCGATTCATCTCGGCGCAGATGGCGTCCTGGATCAACGGCGGGAAGAACTTGGTCAAGTCGGG